ATTTAACATGACTTAGTCGGTATTCATATAAATATGAATCAAATATGGAATAGTATTATGGACGTACCATCAAAGGAACAACATGTATGTTCTTCTGTTTTTGGAATTTTGTTTTTCCAATTTACATCTACAAAAATTAAATTACAAGATATATAATTGGCTCGAAGCTGTAAAAAAGATTCTAAGTGAAGAATATACTGAAGGTTAAGTCCACTCGTATAACTCAGCGGTAGCGCGTGCACCTGTTACGCAATATGTCCCGGATTCAATCCCCGGTTCGTAAAGTACTTCAGGGTGTTCGACTGAGTGGTCACAACTCGTACAAAAGGATGTTGTGTGTACTTGTATGCCTATGTATGGGTGCACATAAAAGAATACGGGGCTCCTTTGAGGAGGGGTTTCTGGGTCTTCCAGAATAATTACGACCGTATATATTCGGGAGGTATTGCTCGTCTTCATTGGTGGTAAACAAATTAAAAAGACAATACAATTATAAAGAATTTGGTTTTCAAATAAAGCCGCAATTCACATATGTGTCACCACCTTTGTTACGTTGACGAAATTGCGTTGACAAAAAAAGGTATTGCTCATCGTCATTGGTGGTAAACAGAAATATAATACAATTAAGAATTTGGTACATAAAAGAACACAGGGCTCCTTGGAGGAGGGATTTCTGGGTCTATCTTCCAGAATAATTACGACCGTATATATTCGGGAGGTATTGCTCATCTTCATTGGTGGTAAACAGAAAGACAATATCTAGCGATTACTTTCGTTACTTTGGTGCTTCATCTTGACAAAAATTATTTCAATTTTAAAATATTTTGGGCTTATATCATTCTTTGTCATGTCTATTTTCTGAAAATACCCCAAGTGTATACTTTATTTGAAGAAAACTAAAGATCTTTACAATAATGCAGGATAATTCAAATATGAAACCCCCATTTTTGCACTTTGAATCTTAAATAACTTCACCAATTGATAACATATTACGGATCTTTTGGAAGGTATTATATTTGAGCGTGTAAGGAACACATAGGTAGATCATCCATATTTGACGGTACTTCTATTCCTTCGTGTATGTATGCCGGTACGTCAAAGTAATTAGATAGGAAGCAGTTGGCATTGAAAATCCTTTGAAACTGTCCCCAGACAATATTGTGCTCTAATGAGCTAATTAATCAAAGATTAAGCCTTGTTGCAAATATATATTGTCATTAATTTATGTTTAATATATCACCTTGCTTTTTAGAAAGAGACAGGAAATCATTTCGCCACATTCCACTCAGTTACCGTATGTGTACATTGTTCAATGTATCCAAAAATTATAGGCATGGTTTTTCATTTCATTTTTCACATGGCCGCAAAAACAATTGTCATCGTTTATATTTCATTTATCAAAAACGACATATAGATGATCATTCACAGACTGTACACAATACACCAACAGTGAAGAGTAGTTCGAGTACTTATGTTTCCGTCTCATTTCGCCTAACCGTAAGATGTCATCACAAAATTCTACTTACCAAGCAATGTATCCAATGTACCATATAAGTACATCATTCATTGTTGAAAATGAAAACACAGGGATTAATGTCTAATAATGGTCTAATGCACCCATGGGATTTCCGAGATTTTTTAAAGTGACAGATTCGTTGATGTACATATAATGCCACGTATTCCCATGGTGTCTACGCTATGATTTCCCGACATTTTGAGTGATTATATAAGACACTGCGATACGATGTTTGAAAACACCTTAGGGAAGTTTAGAATAGAGTTCTCCTTCGTGTACGTTATTGATTGACATTTTAAACAGATCGTCACCTTTAGCCATAACCTAAGTCTTTTCGTCATGTATTGTTACGAACTAGGAGTTATAAGTTATTATCAGAGGCTTTACGTCACATTTAGTCATAATCTGACGCGCTATCTAAAGCCTCACATTTGCTCTACGGTGACCGCAGGGCGGTCATAGCTTCATAAAATCGATATAGAAAACTTACATCGTACTGCTTATTCCTATTTTCATGCAGCTTATTTCTTTCGATTTTTGGAAGCTACGGCCGCCGTGCGGTTACCGTAGATCAAATGTAACTGTGGTATAACTTTAGTCAGTCTTTCACATATAGTATAATTTGATCTGTTTCTAGAATTGTAACTATAATGGGCAACATCTCAAAAAATCCATATGTACCACATTAAACATATTGGTTAAAACAGGATTTGAACATTGTGAAACAATATAGGGATATTACTCATATTTAGTCGCTTCAACATAGAGTATGCGTGTTTATTCTTTATTTGCCAAGGTTCAAATATTAGGGAAATCAAAATGGCGTCTATTTGAAAGATCACGTGACTGTGGGGCAAAACGGCCAAAACATATAATTGCTGGAAATGTGATTAACATTTGGTTTGTACGTACCTTATTCCCCTCCGAAACTTATAATATGACGAGTATTATAGTAAACTATAAGAATACGTTATCTGTTTGAAGGAATATGAACATGTTTGCAATTGTGGACAAGTTCTATAAATAAGTGCTAAATACTATTCAATAGGTGCAGGTTATTTTGCCTCAAACATATGCCATTTTGCCCCACTGTCATCATAAGTATCTTTAACCGCTTGAATATTTAAGAAGATTTTTTAGACTCGAATAAAATACTTGGAAATTGTAAAACACAATCCATTGATAAAACGAAACATCAAAGTGTGCGTTGATTGACAGATAAGCACCCGTACTGAACACAGATTCGAATTTTATTTTGAGGGCCTTTTTCCCCTTGTTCCCCTCGAGGTTTAATCATGGTGATCAAAAGCAGTAGGCCTAGCATTGGGTTTCGAGTTTTTCAAAAATATAGCAAATTGCAGGTAATACGTGTTACACAGTACATGCCGTTTAGGCTCGTCTTATGCTCAACCCTGCAGAGTTGTTCGATACTGCCCTCCGACAGAGTGTAGGAAGGTGTTATCCACCTAGCTCACCCAGGGACGAGTATGGTCGTAGTTCTTTGTCGGTCATTGGATGATTTTTGACAAGCGTGCAATTGGAACTGATTTTGTACAAATTGTGAATATGGTATCAAATGGTGAAGTTGCCCAGCGCATACGTGCCCACAGAGTCCGTCAGGGTCGTAGTACACAAGTTTTTCATACGAGAATAGAAAAAGGTCTGCCAAAAGAGGAGCACAATCTATATTCAACATATTCAACTAACTTCCAAACTAGATAGAATCGTAAAATGTAACAATCATCTAAATACTACATTGAATTAGTTTCATTTCTGAAAATAATTGTTTGAAATCATTTATGTACATTGCTGAAATTTTAATGTTTGGAGGATACAAAATGTTCGACAGCAAAACCTAAATCCAACACAAAAATAACAATATTTTGTTTGATGATTTCATTGTCTGTCATTTAAGAGGTAACCTTTAAGGGCACTTTCTTGGTGAAATCTCATGCTGCATCGGCAATGTTAATTTAACCAGTGTGTTCGAGCATGGGCTTTCAAGAAAGCCCATGGTTGGAGGATATGAAATATTAGACAAATGGTATACAGCATGCATAAAACATTATTTCATTGCACGGTTAACATGCGTCTAACATCGCCCTTTTAAAAGCCGATGTAAAACATATTTTTTATTTAGTTTGAAAAATGCCAACGCAATCGATGCGCAGTATGTGCTGTAATCCGGATTTGTATCATCACAAACAAAACAAAACCTTTTTTGACAAAAAACATCATTTAAGTTATTTTTGAGAAATAATAAGCAATATTTTCAGTATACATCGCATGATTGTGATAACCAGTTGTGATGACTTTCCACACGACGCAGGTTTTAGTAGAACAACTGATTTTGAAAATATCAATTATCGTAAATTTGCCCACCAATAGAACAAAATTAGAATATTGACTCATACTTTACCTCGAATGACCTAGAACTTATTCCACTGGCTTTGAGTGATATTTAACTTTTTCCGTACTGTTTTCGGCTTCTAGAAATACAAAAATCGACGAGGCGGCCTAATCATTCTCTGATCATTAATAAACCGGAAAACCTGAAATTATGAATGATGTCAAATGCCAATCAAAACCAAGTATATCAAAATGATTTTCACATCTAATGCCATATATTCATCAATGTAATTTATCAGAGATGAGACTTTGGGATGTTATTTTCACCCAACCAAAATAGCCAATTCATTAATAAAGACTAAATCTATTTAACCTTGATCTTCATCCTTCGTTTCAAATCACCTTAATCAAGATTTAATTCTTTTTGGCTCATACAAGCAATCCGGGCCCATTGCCAGTGATGTAGCGTAGATATTTTGTACATATTCTATTTAGCCATACGTATGAACTTATTCAAGTTATTGTCAGGCAAAGTTCTACTTGTATTCGCTAGCATTTGTTTCTTTCAGGTTTTCCAATGATTCAGAATGGACGATTGGAGAGCAATCACTTATCATTATATTTTAATGTTAATACCCATCCCATCAATTATGCACAAGATCGGTCCACGGAGATTTGATTTATTGTCAAGACTGCATCTCCGACTTCAAAGGTGGTTATAATACAACGTTGGATTAAGACTCAAGACCCAGCGAACCCCCCCTCCCCCCTGGCCAAAAATTCTTTCAAAATCATGCAGTTTTTCACCATTTTGAGCACTTCTCAAGTGATTTTAGCCATATTTGGCCAAAATTGTCAAATGTGAACCCCCCTGGAAATTTTTGAAAACTCCCCCCCCCCCCCCCCCACTTGGCAAATCCTGGCTACGGACATGCAAGTGAAACCTTTTGAATAAAGATAGTCCAAATTGACGAACGAAGGACTTCACCATACTCTTTCTGAATTAGTATTGAAGTTGGTGTTTAGAGATGCTGGGTATCAATTTCTTATAAATGGTGTGTATTTATTCCATATCATTAGTAGTATATGGAGCTTTAAGAGATTGTTGTTTAATAATTGTGTTAAATTATTTCAGATCGTTGGTGTTTGGACGTTTGGTGATCAATTATGTGATGCCTGGGTATCCCTAGATGTAATGTTCTGTACGGCTTCTATACTCAATCTAACTGCGATCAGCGTGGATAGGTAAGCTTAATATTTGGAAGCTGCAGTAAACTGACCATGATAACAACTTTTATTATGCCGACTATTCCTTATTTGAATTCACGGAGTGGACGCGGCATCGGACGCACCTTCCTAAAAACGGGTACATATAGTTTGGAATATCCCTGCTACCCATTAGACACTTGATCTACACAAGAAAATCGATAGGATTCTATGGGTTTGTGTAAAAAACCGGGTGACCGGGTAACCGGGTAATCGGGTGACCGGGTACTTAACGTTCCTAGCAGGGTTAGGATTTTTTATTTATAATGTTGGATCTGGACGATACATGTACGTTATTTTCGACGTCACGTTTTGAGGTTAACTTTTAACGTTAAAATAACGTCGGTATTGAACCGATTTAGTGAGAACATATTGACATTTTGCTGAATAGTTAAATAACGTCAGATCCAAGGAGGATTGGAAGCCAGGGTTCCAACTCGATATTCTTTAATCTCCACGCATGCGTCATTTGCTATTCGTGTCTGTATAATTTGTACGACTGCATGGAGAATGACCCGATACTCTCCAACAAAGCTATCGCTAGGTGATTGTTTTGCAGAATATCGGTGTTGCATTCTGGGAGCCAATCCTCCTTGGTCAGATCAATACGGTACATGAACGTCATTATTGACGTCACGTTTTGAGGTTATTTCAAATCGAAAAAACGTTTCGACTGTAACGCGGTAAATACGATACAAAAATATGTCATATTCAGCAGCGAATATGGCATATTCACTTGCGGTGTATAGTTTTTTTTTTTAGTTTTTATGGTTTCTTTATTTTACTTTACAAAATTATCTACAAATGACAGGGCCGAGGCTGAAATCAGCATTATTGGCCCTGTTAATACAAAGTTTATTCAAATTTACAAAATAGCAACAAAATGACTACCAACATGTATGTATGCATGGCAGGAATGTGTTAAAACTATATAATTATATCAATGCATTTACACAAAAAGGATTTAAAATGCTTCAATATTGAAGAATTGCATGTTATGCTAACTCCATCTCTGCCATACATTAAGATATTCAGCTTTTGCTCTATAGAGCATCCTGTAAAGAAAATGTTCATTTCTGGCATGTTCCTGAGTTCCCCCCAAAGTTTCTCTCTTATAACATTCAACAGAGGGCATTTGAAGATTAGATGCTTTGTAGTTTGTTGTTTAAAACCACATATGCATTTGGGACTGTCAATACCTTGAAAATTATGTTGAAAAAGATGACCAGTAAAAATGAAATCACATCTTGTTCTATTCAGTAAAATTTCTTCTTTTCTTGTAAGATCCAGGTTTGTGGTTGTTAAATGCTTCACTCTCCCTGAATATTTACGTAAATTGGTTTTGAAAGTGACTCTTGATGGTGCACTTTTTAGATAATTTGGAATGGCTTCCCATTCTCTTATGGCATTTATTATTGGTGACTTTTGTGAACGTGCAGTTAACTTTGGAATAGTGTATTCTCTTGATTTTCTTAAATTAATATTATGTTGCTTGTTTTGATAACTATCAAAAATTTTTTGGACATAAGTTGGGACCAATTTCTGTCTAACATCATACATTAAACGTAATCGTTTCTCCTTTCTCCGCTCAGACAGGGTATTCCAATTTAGACATTTCAAAACCTTTACAGTAGATGTTCCATGAATGCAGCCACTTACTAATAATGCTGCTCTATAATGAACTTGGTCTAGTTTCATAATATTATACTTGGTAGATTTTTCAAATAATATACTTCCATACTCTAAGTTTGGGAGAATAAATGATAGATACATCTTCTCTAGGTGTTTAGCTCGAATCTTGGTCTTAAGAACTTTCAATGGATTTAACATTATATTACATGATTTTATGATATCCTGTAAATGGGCTTCAAAATTCAAATGCTCATCTAGAATGACTCCCAAGTGTTTATGAGTTCTGGTTCTATTAATGACCTCATTTCCTAGGTAGAGAGGAGGGTATAGGAGATTGCACCTCCTTGAGCCTTTAAAAATCATATCTTGACTTTTAGAAGGTTTAAATTTAAGCTTCCATTTCTGTGACCATTCCCATAAATTATTTAAGTCAGCTTGTAAATGCTGGTTCTGTTCAATGATATTAGCTTTCCTATTAAATGGCATAAAGATTGAACTATCATCTGCATAAAGGTAAAGTTGACTATGATTTATGACTTCATGAAGGTCGTTTATATATAACAGGAAGCAAAACGGCCCAATTATGGATCCCTGCGGCACGGAACTATTTATGAAGTATTCATTTGAGATTGCTGATAATTCTCCATTAGCTTTAACTTGAAGTCTACGATTGAAAAGATACGACTGCAAAAGTTGAGTTATAGTATCTGAAAAGCCATATGATTTAAGTTTTTTTATCAAAAGGAAATGCGGAACGGAATCAAACGCAGATTCTATATCAAGAAACACTCCTCTGACATCATGATTATTATCAATGTTATTGTCAATCAGATCAACAATTGTTAACAGTTGTTTTTCTGTGCTATGTCCTGGAAGAAAACCAGACTGATTTTGATACATTAAGTTGTTGTCTTTAACATATTTAAACATGTTATTATAAATAATACGTTCTAGCAATTTAGAAACATTACTTAACAAGGTAACTGGTCTATAATTTTTTGAATCACCCTTTGATCCTTTGTTTTTATATAAAGGTACTACAGTTCCCAATTTCCAACAAGTGGGAAAAACTTGTTTGTCAATTATTATATTAAATAAGTCAAAAAGAGGTTGATCAATACTATCACAGCACATTTTTAACATTTTATTTGAAATGCCATCTGGCCCCCCTTGTTTTGAGACATCAAGATTTTGAATAAGTTTATTAATGTCTCCCTTAGTGAATTCAATTTTATCAAAAATCATGTCAGTTTTCAAAGGTATTTCTGGTGATTGAGTTTCATCATAGTCATGATGGAATTTAGATAAAAATTGATTAAGCAAAAAGTTTGCATTTTCTGAGCTGTTTTCAGCGGTGTATGACAGATTCAGATTCACCTGCGGTATATGGCATACACACTAACCAATGAGAACGTGATACGGAAGTACGCAATTGTCAATTGCATCGAATGAACGAACAAGTAAAATGTTATAAATTGTTATAATGATTACTTAATCAACAGTACTGTGTATCGAATATATTAACTTAGCAGAAGTATCAGTCACCAATCTCGCGTAATAGACTTACTCAATCAATCCAAGATGTATATATTAGTACTCGACGCACTAACTATATTCGTAATCCAGCGTAGTTTTACATTTAAAGTCGATTCTCGCAACCAATTAAATCAAGGCTTTCTGTATCACGTTTTCACCTGTGGTATATGTCATATTTACCTGCGGTATATGGCATATTCCGCAATTTAGTATGACATATTCCGCAGGTGAGTATCGGGTATTCAGTGAAATCAATGTATCGCATATTCACTGCGGAATATCGCATACTCACCTGCGGAATATGCCATATACCGCATGTGAATATGGCATATTCACCCGTATCAAAAATACCGCGCAACCATGAATGTATGCCATATACCGCGTAACATCGACAACGTTAAATGTTAACGTTAACAATACGTCGGAAATGAAACGACTTAGTGAGAACACAAAGTTTTTGTCATGTTTTTTCCACCAAAAAATATTTGGATATTAAAAGCCTATTTTGACAACGTTAAATTCTAACGTTTGAGTTACGTCACATATGGACCAACGTAGTAAAAAATCAAACGTTCCTGTTTGTTTTGTTTTCCACACTAACGAACTTTACGGACACGTTACAACAACGTTCTTTTTATACCATCAATAGATGTCTCATGTTTACGTTGCCTCGATGTGCAAAGAACGAAAATGTGCAACGTCTTCTTGGAACTTATATGCTACTTATGAGCAACGTGACATGGACGTCATTGTTTGCTGGATCGATTATTTTAAAAAGTGCTCTGTCTCGTATAGGGTAAAAATATCGAACAGCAGTGCACTCGGTAGGCTAAGTCTGTCAAGTCAATTCGCTACTATATATCGGGGGAAATGTGGAACTTTGAAAGTTGGTAACCCTGCCAGGAACGTTAGGTACCCGGTCGACCGGATTCTATCCTTTTTGCAAAGTTATTCCAAAAATAAAAGGCTGCATTTTTGAATCACCCTATACCATCTCTTCCTTCCACCTGTCTTCTTCTTGGACCTTGTGTCGAGTTGCTTATGCAGGATCCCCTCAAATAATTTCTACTTGTATCCAGTCAAAAAATGTAATCGTGTTTTGGCCAATGCGATTGAAACAATAAGATATACCACGCTGAAAAACATTGAAAGCGAAGTAAAATATTCATAATGTTCCTACTATGTCTCTAGTAAATTGGATTTGTCAAGGGACAGAAAATAAGAAAAATAAATCAAGATTAGTGCGAAATGGGGAATTGGGTATGTACTCGACAATGTATGGTGAGCTATGTGACAGGCTAATGTAAGTGTTGAATAATGGCCGCGCCTCTTGCTTCGGTGACTAAACATCAGCCTAAATTGCATGATTGACCTGCCCGTATGAACAAGTCTTACACACATCCAAAATACATTGACAACATACCAAATGGAAAAATTAATGTTTCACTGTGGAGAAACTCTTCAAACTAGTTACAGAAACGGTTCCGTTTACGTAACAAAATGTCGCAGCCTTGAAGGTACGATTTCACGAGTTGTTGGCATAGAACCTTTTTGGAACAAACATGTTGCTGTTACTGCCATACATTTTTGCCCAAAATGTCGTGGACATTCTACCTACATCTCGAGTAATCATGGAAAAAGTAGAATGGTACCTTCGTAGCTGCGACATTTTGTTACGTAAAGGGAGTTTCTCCACAGTGTGTTAGTGACAATGGTGGCTTCGAATGCATCGATTACGTAAAATGTACGTTCTATGAGGCGTTTCGAAATCGTAGACGAAACTGTATTGCTCACATCCGTATGATCCTAGATTAGGGTACAGCTGTGAATCTTGTTCTAATGTCACAGCCTTATTTATAGACTAAACATGAAATGAACTCTAAAAGATTTACGATACTTGCATATGCCTGGCAGTGTAGCAATTTGAGGAGACATATTTCTAAGATTGTAGTGGGATTTCCCCTTTTCATCTCAACCATAAAGAATCGCTGAGGCAATTTGGATTCAATCAAGGTGAAAAATTCAACCATTGAAAACTTTTGTTCTTTGGCAATTTATATTTGAGATCAACTTAAGGTGAAAATCCCCATCCATTTGGCATCGCAAAGAATGAACTATTGTATCAGGAATCATTGACTAACAAATTCAAATCATATACATGTACATGTATGTAGCCGCATTGGATAATAATCCACGCGCCACTGTTATAAAGATTTTTGCAAATAAATAAATAAATAATAACGTCAATCTCACCCCCCCCCCCCTTCCCCTTACTTACTTACTATTCAAAAACATTGTCCAAAGCCAAAGACTATGAAGCATTGCGTCCATAATCAAAACACATGTTGAAGAGAAATTTAAAACATCAAAGTTAGTTATGGAAATGTTTATATATTTTGTATTTTGTACCATAATTTGGTGATTCATTATGGTACAAAATTAAACTTTGGACTATTCTTAGATAATGAGGATAAGAGTCTTCAGGTGTGATTGCAAGAAATGATTTCTGTGCAATCTCTAGAAATAGAACTTCATTAATTTGTGCTAATTCGAACCTCCTAAACAATATAATCAGAGATCAGTCGTATTTCATTGCATAAAACTTAGTTGAATTTCAAAACACGTACATTGTCACGATCAATATATTCAAATCACGTACAAAGAATAAGGTTTACCGGGGGGCTACAGCCGTAAGCTCTTGATAATCGGGGGAATTGAATTATCTATTAAGGGGATGTGATTCCTATGAGAATGACCAGAATCAAGAGGATCAAGAAACTCTTTGTCAGCGTTCGTTATTTTGATGACACATGATGTTCAACACATGAGATTATAAATTGCTGTGATTCGAAGGGAAGGCCTGCAAAACTACAGATACTTGATATTCCCATAGGAGTTGTAGTGTTTCTGTTTCTCTTTTGTTTTCCTTATGACTGACTTATATTTATCTTAGATATTTTGTTTTCTTGTTCTGTTTTTAGTAGACCTATTTTCCCTTTGGCACTTGTGTATACAATTTCATCTGATATGCACTTATATTTTCGAAAGTTCATATATTTTATTAGTACATCAACACAGCCCTCATAATTTATCTATGGGATTTACTTAATCTAGGTAGGATACTGTTTCAATTTGTTGTGATTAGTTCTGATATGTTTCAAAACCTTCTATTTGTCTTTTCAGATTTATTGCAGTTACACAGCCAATAAAGTATGCTAAACACAAAAACTCAAGACGTGTTTGGGTTATGCTTGCCCTAGCTTGGTTCATCTCTATCGCCATTGCGTCTCCCATCGCCCTGGGTATGAACTACAGTGCAGACCTTGAACCAAAGAGGGACCCTAACCTCTGCATATTCTACAATTCAGACTTTATTATATCATCATCAATGGGATCATTTTATATACCAGCATTAGTAATGGGGATACTGTATTGGAGGATATTCAAGGCTATCCGACTAAGAGCGCGGAAAAGCCTTCAGCATAAAAAGATAAGCAGTACATGTTTTGAAAATCAAAATACCCAAACTGGGTCAGATCATAACGATAATGGAAAGAGTTCCGACGTAGACGGGTGTGTTACAGACAATTCCCTAAAGGAGCTAGTCTCCCCATCCTCTCCCCGTCGATACAGACCAAGTTTAACTGCTGACTCTGGCGCCATTTTGAACACTGTTACCATAACGACAGAAGAGGAGACAGATACTGAGGTAATAAGAAATCAAACTGCGACAAGTGAAGACTTGTTGTCACCTACTGATGGTGAAAAACAAAGTGATAACAACAAACTTAGTCCTGTAAGTGAAGACAGTCCATCTGGACTGGAATTTGAACGCAATGGTGACTCTGGTTACCATGCCCCAGTGACAGTAGAGGCAGAGACATCTTTTAACACACTCACAGTGCCCTCTGCAAAAGCGCTCACAATACAAACTCCTAGATATATGCCAAGTCATACTGGGGGTAATTATAAAGGAGTTAAGTATAAGAAACGATTAAATCCTAAATCAAACGGGACGACACATAGGGCGCAGAGAAAGAGTGTTACCAAGTTCAACTTCCACATGCGAAGTAGTAGAAAGAGAAAGGAAAAGTTTTCCAGTAAGCGGGAAAGAAAGGCCACGAAAACACTTGCCATAGTTCTAGGTGAGTATCGAGATGTGATGAGGTTATCTATTATATGATACCCTAGTCGGCCATCATCAAAATAAATACATGATTTATGTTATTGATTCAGTAGTAAAATGCTATGTGCTAATTCTGATTGACCAACTATATCATAATCTCACTACCAGAATGAATTTATTGGACTGCACCGAGTTAAGGTAATTGGTCAAGATTATTTACGAGACAGTACCAGGTTTACAGGGCACATTGGGACATAAAATTAATCAAGTGATTATAAGAGGTTTCAAACATGATTATCGTACTCATGAATAGCTTACTCAGCTATTATCTAAATTCTCATTTGTCATGAGAAACTAATTATTTCACCTAGATTGAAATCAATTTATCTTCCTGAAATTGTTGGTAATAGACGCAAGTGCTTACAACAGAATACACAATATTATATCATAATGATCACTTAACTAAAACGTTCACCCCTCGTTGATGTCATAAAGCCGTCTTCATTTAACAATGGCCATTTATTGAACAACCACAATCAACATTTTGGTCCACTAGTCACCTTGATTCATCATAGTTATGTTCCCTAGTATGAAATTACAAATGTGATGCATGGTATCGTCTGTTGATTTTTTCAAAATGTAATGGTTGTATGGTATTGTGGTTTAGGTTATTGGCATATGGTCGCTTTATTTATGTATTTGACCAATGTCGCGTGCCATGGATATAAATAAAGGCATCATGGGTATCCTGTCGAGTGTTGAACTCTTTCATTGTTGTTGTTGACCATGTCTTTATTTTTGTGTTAATGATTTGGGAATTTGGAATTTTGGAATTTTTCTGTTTCGACAACTATTTCTATGGATTCCATGAATTATTTCAAAGTGCTGTTGCTTGGTTTTACTGTATTAGTTGGCACTCGTGCTTTTACACACATTTCCTTTGATATCTTGAAAATATAGGGATTGGCTGATTATAAGTGTGCTTTTTGGGGGATTAGACTATAAGAAACGTCATATCTTTCGTAAACCATGGTTTATGTAATAAACAATATTGTTTTGTAATACCAATCACTTGATATCTAAAAGAAGCAGTCTCTGGAATACAATTCTGAACCAAAAATACTCCTAAATATTTTTCAAATTCATAATGATCATTTTGTAAGAAATATCGTGCATTATGCCGGTATCCAGTTATTCTTCGATGTGCTGTTCTCAATGACAGAAATAACCCTTGGTTTTACGTGGTTTTCGATAGTACTACGGGTTGTCTGATGGGGAAGGAGGTCCTTTGAAATTGATTCTTTGTATGTTTGATAATTGCTTTGGACGTTGGGGTTTGTTTCCTCGTAACCGAATGCCTTTTCATTTTCTGAGACAATTTCTGTAAATTATCAACTTAAAGATATTATTCACATTGTACGTTAGATTTCAAAAAATGTTAGAACATCTGCTGGTGACGAGAAATCATTTTTTCAAACCTTAATTTTTCAGAAAGGAAGCTAAGTATGAACATGACTGTACTACATGATCATTTGCATCATTGAGGGTATTCAGCTGTATGCGCAGGACTGGTTTGTGATACTACAGACATCAATTCCAAACTCAGACTAGCCGTGAAATCATCATTATGGTGTCAATGCACATCATGTAAAACGTGTGATAAAAAGAATATAGTATAGCTTTGTTGCAAATGATGATCTCAAATCAATTAGCTAATTGTAGTTATCTATCGTGGCATGTCGAATAATGTGAATGGGGTACCAGGAGACCTATAACTACTATGGAATATATCATGTCGTATAATGATCACATCACATATCCCAGGTGTATTCCATCATGAAGTAACTGTCCTCATATTCGTATTCAAACTCAAAACCATATAGATATTTATAAAATATTGACAACGAACAGGACGACATGTTATGAATAGTTAAGCCACATTTAGGCCTCCTAGACTTCCAACAACGCAAACATCAGTTCTGAGCTCGCGAACTACGTTCCTTGCGCTCGAACCACGATTCTCACGTCGCGAACGTGAAATTTTTAGTCGCACACCACCATTTCCACGCTCCCGAACATATTTCTCCACTGCTTGCTTTTTGGATAATTGGTGTTCTGACTGAGGCAGTGCTACAAAAGTTGACAATGCCATATTTGCGAAACTAGTAGACTGAAACTATCTTTAGATTTTTATACTATTAGGTCTACAAATCCAATGTACATATTATAGAATATTCAAAAATACAATCTTTAGCTGTTTGGAAACTATTGCTTGTAAAACTTGAAATATGTAGTGTATCCATCGAATATACCTTTGAATTTCATGTTTGACAATACAAGCATTCAATATGTTCCGCATATATTTCATCGCAGGGTCAATAACACCAAAAGGCACATTATACACATAAGCCCTCAGTCACAAAAGATTGAATCTTTGTAATACCTTGATTTATGGCATCAATTCTAACGGAGTCAAATACCCTGCTATCAATTAATTAAGAACAAAGCCTTGTCTAAGACGCTATCAAATAAACTTACCCACACCAATATAACTACAAAAAATTCAATTTGTGCCTAAGATGAATACAGGGGAAGATAAAGAGAACATTAGCAATGGATTCAATCAACATCAGGTTTCAAACAATACCAGTAGGATTCTTCAAAGTTACTGTCTTAGACACAAGACATAAATTCCCAGACATAAACAAGCGCAATCCTATTTGTCACCATTTCATTCTAATTCATCTCCGTGTTGCGTCTCTGTTGTGGAAAGAACTCTTTTATCAAATAGATAGGATCGATAAACAACGTTTGCTTAGAACAAATATGTTTATCTTTGTTTGAACTGTTGTGGTTTGCTCTTTTTGGAATAATCGATGGACTCATTGTTATTCGTATCTAAAGAAAGATGCATATTCCTATGATTTAACAGCAACGTTTAATACTTGTCGCCGGTGGTCACCTGAACTTTCTCGTTAGAAATATACGTATTATTATTCACATCAGGAGCGATCATCTTTGTTGTTTATTTAATGATTATAATCTGACCTCGTATTTTGAAGCAGATCGTGATGGAATGGACGACAAACAAATGAATATCAATGCATAAATGTTTTTTGACTTTACCATGAAATGAACCATTCGATGTTAATCCATCGAACGCAACAATTCTCATCCATTACTATTCATTAGTATATATAATACTCGCAGGCCAATCATAAAATGCATCTATCACATCAGCATCTACCTAAGGGATCCACCTACCATATCTTCCCTAACATATCTGCTTAAGCATGATATACACTCTATACTAATATAATGGGTGAATCATTACGATGAATGAAGATGAATTGTCAGAAAGGTTAACATGACTTCGGCTGATAATGATGTTAAACTAAGTTAAATAACATTAAATGAATTGGTGTGCAATCCATATAAGAGGCTAAACACATTAGTGAAATTCGTCTGATCTATTTGAATAATACGCATTTCCATAACCCTTGCTTTTAAATAAGATAACCGAGAGGGTGGGATTTTCTGACAGTTCAAGATATTAATTCATTCTTACGATAAGTCATATCCTGTGAGAGGATCTTGTATTTTTGAATGATAGTAAATGTCAGATTGCACTTCTATTCCTTAAGTGTATTAAGCAAAAACTCACGTTGATTGCTTCATGATTTCTCTACTTGTACAACCTGTACAGGCCGTAACCAGGGGGACCTGGGGGTCCCATCCCCCCGATATCTCCTACAATATGTATCTCTATCTTTACTGCTTTTGTCAAGGATTTTTTTTGTATTTCGAGGTGGAATTAACATTTTGGAGAGCATTGTTTTTTCTTAATTTTTCACTGTTTTCCAAAATTTAAGATTTAGTGCCCCCCTCCCCTTAACAAATACTGGCTAAGGGCATGCCGTGTAATGTGTCGTTGGAGCAATTAATCTATCCAATCGTCATTACATTGATTATTTTTTAATCATGGATGGATACGGCATTACTTTTATATATTAAATAGTAAAGATTTTTACACGAAGCCATTAAGTTACATTCATGTCTGCTTCTTAAACAGCAAACACAATTCACCTTCTAGATGAGAATTGACGTAACACTGATTTTTCTATTCACTTGTGATTAGCTCCTCATCTCAGTAATGGCAGGTCTTTCATAAACAATTTAATGCCATCGAGAAAAGTTAGTCAATGTACTTTTTAGTTATCAAAACATACTCTACAATACGTCTTTTAAGGTCTGATAAATGATCAATGAATTCTTTAGTTGACATATGCCACATTTCATCTACAATATCGAGGAACAATTAGATAAAATATTATGTTTATTGTCAGTAGTCGTTTTCATTGTTAATGTCGCCTTACTGCCAGACTACTAATATGGCACAATAATGCCAGTATAGATTCCAGAGGAGTAACAAAAACATTAGCTTGGTGAAAAAACTGAATTGAACCGAATTGTACTAAGACTGACACTAAAAGATGGAGGTTAAGCGACACGTTTTTAAGTGAACCTGTGGGCGAATGTGTAGAATAATGGTTGTCTAGGGATAAGTTCTCTTCGTAGTATTTACTTGCCTGATCGAGTGTAAATGAAAATAGTTATGGCTTCCTGGAAAGCCAATTGAGAGGGTGACACTCCGTCACACTAACCCCTGGGATCATAATATTACACGTACAACTATCGGTCCAACTATCTACTATAAAACGTGTAGCTTTACCTCCCTATTAACTGTACGCTATTCGTACCTAGTGTACAATGGGCATCATTTGTTGGAACACCGAAACATCATTACTAGAAATGTATAACATCCCATAATGATGTCCTGCGCAATTAGTTTATTACGAGTACGTTCGTATTTGGCATGTAACATTTAGGAAATGCAATCATTTTCATGAATAAAGAAATATGTATTTCCCAGCTGACTCCAGTGTATTAAATAAGATTTTTGCTTGTTTTCAGGAGTATTCCTCATATGCTGGGTGCCGTTCTTCACAGCAAATAATGTAAAAGCCATATGTATTCGATACAAACTTCAAGACAGACCCGAATGCAACATAGATCCAGTTTTATTCAGCTTTTTCGTCTGGTTAGGATACATAAACAGCTTCCTAAATCCTGTTATATACACGATATTCAATGTGGAATTTAGGAAAGCATTTAAAAGAATTTTAGTTGATGCATGTCAGCATTCCAACGTTTGAGGTAAAGAAAATGCTGATGACGTAAAATCTCTCGAAAACAATTAAAGGTGATGTATGTGAAAATTCGAATCTGAAACAGTAAGCCGTTCGCTTTTCTACAGAAAAATAGATGTGTTCGACTATTGTCGTTATACATTGCAGCTTCGATACGACTGTACATGTACATTCCCTTATTTCAGCATTTTCATTGATGCATAGCAGAGCACAGTGTCATACCATTCATCAATGGAAACCCTAAATCTACACTGTACATACACGTACCAATAACGGATAACGTATGCACTAAACTGCACTATATGATGCACTATGTGCAATTAACTTGATCTGATATTAAAAATAACAGAGGCACAGTTGACAAGACGGTGCCTAAATTAAGATATGTGACATCACAGAACTGCATGAACTTATAAATGGTATGGTAAATGGTTACAATAATGGTATGGAAAATGGTTACAATATGGACAACTGAGAATGTGTATCAGTCACTTGTAAACTGTTTACATATGTAAGAATCTCAATGTGTTAGCTGTGATCTAATATTCTATGATAAACAACATTTCAATGTGCGAACAAAAGCATTAAAAAGTATTGTTCAATGCATAAGAGTGAAGTACTGGTACTAAAAACAAGATGTTGCATAGTTTTCAGAAATAATTAGACGATGCATACAAAAATGATTATCAAGCTAAGGTTTATAATTACATTAATACGCTAATTGGGAAGTTAATGTGTAAAAATGTGTAAATATAAAGCCATATTGGTTGAATGTGTAATTGTACATCGCAAAAATGGTGCTATTCATTAGTGTATATGATATAATCGCATGTACATTATCAGGCAGGATATAAAGATGTAATCTATAAGACTATATTGATGATGGGTACATTAATCAATTGTGCAATTGTTGTATGTGCAAGGATTATGAATGTAACTATAATGTACAGCAATATACAAGTATCGCCATCTTTGTAGTATGTAGAGTATTTAGCAGTATTTTGCAATACATTGGTATTTTGTTTAAAAGTAAAAGCAAATTTGGTAATTAAAGATAACAGGAATGAGTCAAATACTCAAAGAAGATTATGTAAAGATATACAAGGGAACGATAAACATTGTAGTCATTAAGTGTCAGTGAAGCAGTCAATTAGCATTCAACAAAAATGTAAATAAATTAATAGAAAAAATGATAATAATTTCATAAAGCAGTCGATTAGCGAACAATAAATCAAACGATGATGGCATTCTGTGTATTAGTTAAATAATAGCAATTCATAACATATTTCAATTTCCAGGAATGATTTATTCGTCAGAGTGGAGTTTGAGAAATATTTTTAGGATAACATAAAGTGAGGAAAAATTATTGAATGAAATTTTGTTTTCCTGCTAATATCCACAAATTGTGGGGATTTGTGCATATTAGCATCGTGTGTACCGTTAATAGTTCAATTAAAACGAATTCATATTGTTTAATATGAAAGTATTAATTATTTTCTATATTCATTTGTATTTTGTATTGTTAATTTCTATTTTGTATCGTTTATACCTGTGATACAACAATGATTATACGCTTCCATTGATATAGCAGAAATAGGCATTCCAAAATGATAATAATTCTGATTTCATGATCTATTAATGGTATGATACCACATTAAGGTGTAACATAATCCACCATTTTACTGACGGGAACTGCAGTTATGTATTAAAGCATGTCCAGGAATAGTTAAATGTTTAATTTAATTTTAATGTTAATCAAAATAGGTCCACCATTGTTGATAACACCAACTGCAATTACTTTAAAGCAGGTCCCCAAAAGCCAGGAAAAAGAATTTGAATTAGGAAGTGTTTTGGATGAGCATACGTCTGAAATTACAACAAGTTATTTATCTGTATGAAACATTTTGAAGATATGTTTGATATTTGACTTAATCAACACATGTAAGGAGCATTATCAAAATATGTGTTTCAAATCATAAAGCCAACACCTACAGTATCTTAGATATCATACCCTTCTTTCTCACAGGGTGGATTATGATAGAAAAGGGATGCATTTGACTATATGTCTTAAGACTCTTAACTATGAAAAAGAATTGAAATACTTTCGATATGCAACAACATCTTGTATTATATTGATTTTTTCTTCAATAAGTTTTAAATATCGTTTGTATATCTATTCATCACAATGACAACAATAATTCTTGTGAGAATCCCTTTTATTTACAGCTCTTAACCGAACATGCTCCTAATGTGTTAAGATATTATTAAAATGTCAATACACGGTGCAATACATTGTTTCTTCTATTTAAGTTACAGTGTTCAGACACTGAGATAATTTAATAGTTAACGAAACTGGTATATTTAGATAATGGTTGTATATTGTAGGCCAAGCTCTGACTGTAAATGTAGCATAATCAATGATTAATTAATATATAATATTAATTAATTATTTATTAAATATCTGTTAATCTTTGCTAATATGGAATAAAGCTTTCATGTATTTTTGAGAAGAAAACCTTAATTGTTTTGTTTAATATAAACAATGTATATGTCTCTAATATGGTCACCATTGTGCCAGTGCACTACAATTACTGAAATAACTGTATTTAGTACTAACCAAAAACTTCAAAAAGGCCTAATAGAACTATATTAAATTGAAAATGGATTCTAGCAATACTATCCCACATGAAAATAATTATATATTTCTAACACATTCCTGCCATGCATACATACATGTTGGTAGTCATTTTGTTGCTATTTTGTTTTGAATAAACTTTGTATTAACAGGGCCAATAATGCTGATTTCAGCCTCGGCCCTGTCATTTGTAGATAATTTTGTAAAGTAAAATAAAGAAACCATAAAAACTATCCCACATGAATATACTTTTCTGAGAAAATTAGAATTTTGTACCTATATGGTGACACCAATGATGGTATCCTCATGCTAAGTCAATAGTCAATGGTGTGTATCCCCATGTTAAGTCAATACAACCTTGCTGAAATCCTCATTTTCTCAGAAGAGCTCAAGTTGATCGAGTCTCAACAAGCAGATTCACGTTGGTTAGTATTGCTAGAATCCATTTTCAATATTAAGAATAGGAATTCTTAATACAGGACATTAAGGGCTCGTTGGCTCTAATTGAGCATTCTAAACTCTGTATATGAATAATTTTTACTTCAGCCATCAGCAATACCTATAACTGCAGTTACGGCACTCATGCTGATGCCCAGTGAGGACTGTTGAACAAGACAATTCATGAATGTTAAGGCAGACACATCGTTTTAAAATGTTGCACTGGTCATCAATATTACATTCCAACAATATGAATAAACTTCCTGTTTTTGCATTTTGCTAAATTCTCGGGAATAAATCTTGAGTTTGTGCCACGAAAAATACTAAATTCCAATTCTAATGTTCTCATTTTATGTGTAATACTTTAAGATACTTGGCAGACAGTGAATAAAAACAAATTTAGAAAAAATGTTTATTTATTTTCATTAACCAAATTTGATAATATAAACAAGCACATCAAAATTGGAATGCTCGGAGTTATGGTAAATGGGAACACCTGAGAACAGCTGATGTTAATAACAAACAGATGTAGGCTAATCTTAAACAGTAATGGAAAGGGCATCCCTGAAGTATGGAATTCATGAATACAAAATATATAATTTACATTTGGTTAGTACTAAATATATTGTATGTGTAAACAAAATCGTAAAACTGTCTCGGAAATTAAAAAGGCGACTTCGAAGTAACAAATGTATTATTAAGAAACCCACTTGTTTATAACCGTCAATACAATATATTGAATTGAAGTTAATGTAATTTTTGCTTGGTTTCTAGAACCGTTTACCCATGGACTGTAAGAGTTGTGTACCTTGTTTTATTATTCAAACATTACAGACAATATTATGTGCTGCCATCTATTTTCAACATGAGCATGTTTTGGATGGAAGTAAATAAATTAGTAATTTTATACTTAGGTTTAACTATTCAAAATTGATACCTTAATTACTTGCATGCATATTAGTCTGAACAGTATAATTCCTTAAATAAAGTAATTCGTTATCTTTAACTCACCTGTATCTGTAGCTTGCGCCCACTATGTAATCAACAGGTTGCCAAGAAATATATACACAAGGAACCTATTCAGTTCGTATTCCCAGTGTCCAACAAGATTAATTAAATCCAAATGGTTTTTGTTGAGTGTTCTCTGTTCCAAAATCGAGCCTGTGTCTATTAGAGTGTACTACTGTTTGGGTGTGACCTGCAAACACGAGTTTTTGTTAAGGCACAATAAACATTTAGGAATATCTGCCCTAGTTTGAAAACAGAAAGGTTTGCATGATGAGTATAAAATGATAATGCTCGAGTTTAGAAACTTGAAAGGTGGTGAGAATGGAATGGTATTACTGCATTGTCTATTGTTAGAGGCTGTTGTATGCCACAATAACATCCCTTGATATTTGATTGAAAAATTACCCATGTTTGTCTTTATCTTTAGAAAATGTAAATTGATGTTATATCTTGTGTTATGGGCTATTCTATGACTTCAAGTTATTCTCAGAAACCGTTTTTGATTACATCAAGGTACGTTTTAAAGTTACAGCCCGTATGATATTGAAATGATTAATATCATGATAAAACAAAGAGTAGTGTTTTGAACACTCGAGGTGTTCAAAACATACCTGATTTTGTGTAGCAATCTCACTTTTTGCAATATTTGCTATAACCAATTTAACGCTCTTTTAAATGTTATTGAAAATATACGATCTGGCTGATAAAGGGAAAACGAGCATTGGAATATATATTGATCTTACTAAAGCTTTCGACACCGTTGAACTTTATGGAATTAAAGGAACAACACTACCTTAGTTTGAAAGTTATCTTGAAAATAGGAAAATTATTACTGAATATACCAAACATGATTTTGAAATTGACTCAAGTACTACAACAGATATGAAATATCAATCATCTACTTCTAATATTGAATATGGGATACAACGAGGTTCTGTTTTAGGTCTCCTCCTATTTATTATCTTCATAAATGATATTTATTTAACATCAGATAAAATTAAATTTGTTCTCAAAAGATTTTCCATCTCGAAATTTCAAGGATTTTTTCAAGAGAGAATTGACATGATACATTCCCACGATCCGTGAAATAAACATAATTTGGTAATAGTGATTTTTAGAACTGAAACTGGTCATAAATCAGTTGCGGTCAGCGGAGTGACACTTTATAATTCTCTGTCAACAGATTTTAAAAGGCAAACCATATAACAGTTTAACAGTTTGAAAAAATTATCAAACATGATCTTATTAATCAATACTAGTGATACTTTGTGCTTCCATCTGTTCTTTTTTTCAATTAAATTCAAATTGCTTGTGGTTAACAATTAAAATATGGTTGTTGAAAATCTAATGAGCCATGAAATGTATACGCCCCCTGGGATGTCTTTTTCATGTAGTGTATGAAAAATTATATGATTGATTTTTAATTTAATAAATTGAATTGATTTGAATAATGTTCTTCCTTGTTTCACTCATAATGGTAACACCAAGAAAATTCATAGATGGTACTATTTCAAAGAGGTCACAATAATAGGGGTCACAATACAGACCCCCGAGCAACCCAACAAGAAACAAAGCTTATCTCTGAGTATACACCTCCTCGAGAGTCCGTTCCATGTTACATGAATCATTCGATATATCTAATGCAGTACTTCTGATACCATAGTATTCCAGCCTAGAGCATAAGATATCACGATAGATATTATCAAACGCTTTAGAAAGGTCAGCAAATAAACCAAGGGCATAATTCATTGTTTGATATTTTATTTCGTTGGGTTTTCTTTTCTTTATTCGGCTTCAAGAAACAAATATGTGAATAAAATATATTCTCGTTAGTATGAAATATCATCGGTTTCATGTCTCTCGGGAAAACTACAAATGACTAAAATCCAACAGTTTCTTTAAAATCTAACGGTGAGAACACCTACCAAAGTGAATTTAATCGAGTTGATTGAGAAGAATGGAAACTTTATTTTGGGAGACTTTGTTTTACTTTCTCCATGCACTCTATAATCTTTTGAGTAATTATTTCCAAATTCTCCCAACTTCCAGCTTCATTCACCTTGAGCAACTTTTCGTCCTGGTGTTCAAAATACAATTTATTCCCTTTCAAAACAATGAACACAAATCTAAACCCATCTGATAGAACATTGAAGAATGGAATATCCATAGCGTCAACTTCACAGTTTTCATACATCTCTTCATGCCATTCTGCCTGGATGAGCAACAGTTGAAGGATGCATTGTGGGACACTATCTCGATTCATTGAAGACCCCTTGGCCTCTAAACAACCAACACATTGTTTACTGATGTAAAATCTATAATCATATCGGTTGTTTGGTAAGATTTCGCTATGGACCTCATCCTCTGTTCTCACACATACAGAAATAAACTTGCAAATTGGTAGAAATATGACATCCAGTATTACCCTTGCATCAGTTTCACATGTTCCTAGGCATTCTAAAGCAGTCTCGGAGGGTTTAGACTGCTCATTGCCTTTTAATTGTAAGACATTCCTCCTCTCTTTAATGTCAAGTCTAATCTTCTCAAAAACCTTGGACGTTGATTCACATTTGTTGAACTCAAGACGCATGACGGTGTCCTCAATGTGAATATATTTGCTTAGCAGAGGAATTGTCCACTCGCTACCTGGTCTTTTAAAGTCTGGTTTGGGATCTTTGGGCTTCCTTTTTGGTTTATTTAATGGATCTGAATGAACGGTGAAAGGTCCATCAGGAAGTTCAAGTTTTGCTTTCTTATCGTTGACTTTACCGTTTACATTTTGGGACTCTCGATTCATAGGTGATGTTGATTCCTTAGTTCGATTCATTAGGTATTCAAAGGCATTCAGATCCTGATGCAGTGAGGAAGAATCCAATGTTTCTTTCTTTACAACAGTGTCTGCATCAATTTTACAATCCTTTTCAACACTACTGAAATCATTGATGATGATAACAGCATCTTCTGAGTCTGGCTTAGAAATAGTAGCTGGCGGTACATTAACTGAAACGTCGGCTTTTCGCTTAGATCCAATAGTAGGATACCTGTTTTCTAGAATGTCACTGATTTCAATATCCTGTGCTGGTGGAACTGATTGAGTGAGACTTTCTATGTTAGATGGACTCTCAATTACTACGTGGTGAGCTGGTTGCAACGTAGACATTTCACCTTGATCCGCTTCTTTCTTTAACCCTAGAAGCCCTAAGGTAAAAATAGTCACACGAACACCTAAGGGGGGGTCAAAAGGGCACCCCCCTTTTAACTTTTTTATTAGCAGAGCTAGGATGTTCAAACTTTTTCCACATATACTTTATTCAATTATCTACAACTTGGTGTAAACACTTTAACTACTACGATGATGTAAGATTGTGTAATTTTATTCTTAAGACAACACGTATGGTAGAATTAGTGCTAGCTTTTTTTCTGATTTTGTCTATTGGAGCTGATGCTTACATCATAATAGATTAATAACAAATTAGTAAAGCTAGGATGTTCAAACTTTCCCAAAATATACTTCATTCAATTATCTACAACTTGGTGTAATTACTTTAACAACTATGATGATGGAAGAATGTGTAATCTTATTCTAAAGATAACATGTATGGTAGAAATAGTGCTAGCTTTTTCCGATTTTGTCTATTGAAGCTGATGATTACATCATAATAAATCAATTACCCTGTGTACAATCTTGCTGATTTTTTCAGAAAACATTTGTTATATCTGTAGCTTCAGCTACTGAAAATTTGAAGACCCTACCAGGTGCCAATAAAAAGTTATGGGGAAAAAACTTAACAGGGGGGGTCATTTTGACCCCCCCTTAGGGCTTCTAGGGTTAATGACACAGAGGAATCATTCTGTTCATTCTGTTCATTCTGCAACGCTGTAGGAAAGAACGAAGTATTGCTACCCAGATTCGATGGCGTCGTTTTTTCTGACTCATCTGGTGACTCTTTATTTTCAATATTTATGGAGACTTCTGATGCCACGAGGTCTTGATGTTCTTTTAGCATTAATGATAGATTGGAACCATTTTGTTCATACTGTGATGCTGAGGGAACGGATATAGTATGGCTATACAGATTTAATCGCATAGTTTTATCCGACTCATTTAGCGACTCTCCGTTCTCTTTATTTATGGAAGAAGCTGGTGTCACGATAGGAATGTCTTCTCGATCCTCCTCTAGCATTGATGACACATCAGAACCATTATGTCCATGCTGTAACGCTGTTGGAACGGACGTAGTATGGCTATCCAGTTTAAGCGTAGTTTTATCTGGCTCATTTTGAGACTCACTAATCTCAATCTTTGCGGATGAAGGTGTTGTCAACGTTGAAATGCCCTCTTGACCTTCTTCTAGCAAAGACAAAGTAGACTCTCTCGTCTCTGACTTTATCAAAGAAGCTTGTGCCACAAAAGAAATGTTCTCTCGATCCGCTTCTCGCTTTGATGACACAGTGGAATGACTTTCTTCATACTGTGACGGTGAAGAAACAGGCTGAGTATGGCTATCAAGTTTTGGCGTCGATTCATCAGACTCGTTTAGAGGCTGTACATTCCCAATCATTTTTGAGAAAGCTGGCATCACAGTAGAGATGTCTTCTCTATCCACTTCTAGATTTGATGTCGAAGTGGAACTGTTCAATCTTTGCAGCAACGTTGACGGAACAGGTTTAGTTTTACTACCCAGGGTTGGCTTAGTTTTACTGGATTCACTTGAGGGCTGTTCATTCTCCTTCTTTGAAAGAGGAGCTGGTCTAATGGTGGGGTTATCATCTCGACTCTGTAATAACATTCGTGCAAATCTCGATGACAGACATTCGGAGTTTATGGAACCAATTGCAATAATATTCTTTGGTCGTTGTTTAGATTTTCCCGAACTTGAGCGAGAGTTGAGTGGACTGAGGAATTCTTTCCAGAGCTCTGCCATTATATTTGTTTATGAATCTATTCTTCTCGAAATACTGAAAATAAAATGAAAATGGTAAAGATAAAACGAATTAACATAATGTTGAGCATTGCAATGTATACCACATGTACCTAAAGTGTATGTTTTATAATATTATCTTTAATCACTATTTGGGCGTTGTCATACAACTGCCTTACCCAAAATTTACAAAGATTTTATAATAAATAAATTAAAATATGAAAATAGAATCTAATGATAGCGTGTTATTGCCTCTAACTTCATGTGCCTCACCTATTTACAGATTTGCTTTTCCTAGACCCTGGCTAGTAGCTACGCCCCTGTCACTTGTTGACGTTAACGACAAAAAAGTTACATACATAAAGTATATATTACACTATAATAATCGTTAGAAATATCGCACTAACTTATCGGCACTCTTATATGTGACCTAAAGGACTGTAATCTATTCGTTATCTACGCATAGTACGTATTTATATGTATAGAGTGGGCCAAAAACAATACACAAATTGAGAATGAAATAAATTTGTATTATTACCACCTTGCCGGGCAAGTTCTAGGGGTTTTAGTGCTAGTTTAGAAGGCATTCATTTTACTATATCGACCTGAGAAATGTGTGACGTCATAGTGGTGGTCCATATGGACAGGTGTAAAAGGGTAGGAGGTCCTATCAAATTATGGTCCTACTCTCCATTGATTTATATGGTGACCTAAATACAACTCTTTCCCTCATTATCTAATACACAATCAGGGCCAGTAAGGGCCATTAAGAAAGGGGACCATAATCCCTGGGGGACCATCATTTCTTTCACACCGGTCTAGAATATATTCTGGACCGGCAATTTTCCCCGGGAAATTAGATTTCGTTCAATGCGTAAGATTTTCTTGCTGTTTCAGTCCTGGTCGTTAACGGTGGTAATAATATTTCTGCCCTCGGTCCAATATATAGAGGTTATTTAATGGGAGGGATGGAATATGGATTTTATTCCGAGGGAAAATATGATATTGGCCAAGGAAAATATCATATTGACCGAGGGCGATAGCCCGAGTGTCAATATGATATTTTCTGAGGCCAATATCATATTTTCTCAAGGAATAAATCCATATTCCATCACGACCATCAATAACCTATTTATTTCATAATATATTTTTTTCAATTTTTGTATGTCATCATCCAATGATTGTGACATAAAATTATACAATTTATCATATAACATTTTCAACTTTTATTATCAAGTTTTACTTAAAAATATAAATAATTTATAACAATAAATGGCTCATAATATGGCAAAATAAACACAATATCATGAAACGTCTTAATGAAACATGTGGATGTAGAATGGGCCATACTTATGTTAATGAAAAAATGTTTGAGGTGGTCATTAAGATCATGGGGATCTATCTCCTCGATCGGTCTGAGTTCATTCCTCTCACTCCGTAAAAAATCTACTAGGATTTTTATGTCACTTTTAGTTTTCTTCGAAGTATTGATATTTTCTTGACCTTTAATGAAGTCATCAACATCCTCTGTTGCATACCTAGACATATTTGTCACAGTAATAGACCTTTGTCACAGTAATAGACGTAAACTAGATGATAATAATTTCAATAATTTCAATTTTCCAAACGATTTTTTTACTTCCTGTAGAGATGTGCTAGACGAAAAGCGTAAAACTCAAGAGAAATTACCGGGAATATTTCTGATACGGGATCTGATACGGGATTTTTGCTGATACGGGATCCAATACGGGATCTGATACGGGATTTTGGCTGATACGGGATCTGATACGGGATTTTTCAAATAACACTTTTATTCCCTGTTATTTTCCCAGGGAAAACATGTTATTATGGAATAATTCACTATATTGCCCTTAGAAATGACGTTATTGTACTATTTATTTCACATTATGAAGATATATCATCATTGTGAAATAATCACCCATGATTTGATGTGTTACATCATAGTGTAACATCAGTAGTTGATCCTTCATCCTGTTGAAAACAGCAAAATCAAGGACTGTCTCATCTGGAGAGTATGCTATGGATGGGGCAGTTTGCCATCTATTTTGCTAGTTATTTGTGTTGGTTTCATGCAAAATGTTAGCAGTGGAACCGGGTGCATTATCCTGATGGAAAGGGTTGGCTGAATGGTTAGGTTTTAATCAACTTACCATGGCATAATACTCTGTGTTGATTTTCTGGCCCATCGGTACAGCATTGACTAGCAGGATTTCAGAAATGTTTATGAAAACTATGAACATCAATTTTCGCTAAAAACATTTGTAATTTAAATAAGAACAAATAAAAAATAGGGATCCTTCATTTACACAAATTGATAGATTTCTGTAATGGTAAAATGTGTGACGTAAAAAGTGCCCCGCCTACCCAAAAGTCAGGTTACCATAGTAACCCTTATTTTCGACGAGATGCTGATATTTTAAGAATCAATCAGAAAGTATTTTTATACATTGTGTGCACATTTCATGAGAAAATACCAGAAATCTTTGAAATGAGAGCATTTTCCGTGAACTTATTGGTATGTATGTTTGCTAGGTAAGCTAATTCCCTGAACTTCTCTTTCCTGATTTGTAGAGACCTATTTTAGGACCAACTCAATAGTACAGGTGTGAAAGAAATTATGGTTCCCCATTTCTGGCCCTGATTGTGTATAAGATAATAAGGGAAAGAGGTCACCATATGAATCAATGGAGAGTAGGACATTAAATTGATAGGACCTCCTACCCTTTTACACCGGTGCAACAAATAGCTCCGGATGCAATCCAAATTTCGTGATTATCAAAGTGTCATATTCAAGTGGTATACACATTTTAGGACTCATGGGACACTTGGCACATTCAACAGAAAAGATAAAGATCGTTCAGCTTGAAGGAGATCTCCAAGAACTGCAGACAAGATTGACTCGATGGCTCTCCTCAGTTACAGTATCAACGTTTTGGGCATCACTTGGTTGCCATATGGGTTTTATTTGTGCCATGTAGTGTGGGCAAAATTTTATGGATGCCACTTGTCTAGTTTGGGAGATTTCCCTACTTCAATGGCTTCCTTTTTCTGGTCACCCTGTGTATCTACGCATATTGTGTTATTGGAGAAAAATATAGTAGTGTGGTCCCTAAAAACTTGTTTAGTGATATGGGATGGGGCTAGAGTATTAATTATATACTCGTTTGTCTTGTCATTGTGTCATGTCATGAGATATCGAACTTTGGATAAGTGGATAAGTGATTAGAGGCGTACAGTGTTAACACGTTCAAAATAGTTTCAAAATGTTATAACCAGAATGTTCAAATTAACAAAATAATGTGGGATTTGAAATTCTTCACGTACCATCAAGAATATACCCTTTGCATTCGTTTGACTTCACTTCTTAAAAGTGTAGTTTAACTAGACTCTGCGCGCAGGGTATCAAGAATAGCAGTGTTCATGAGAACAGTTAGACTGTCGACAACATTTAGCCTAAAGGATTTTTATTCAATGATTAAGATATACAATAACTATGCACAAATGGGTTTCGTGTTGTATTTTGCTCTGTGTTCAAATGTTTGTGTTTGAATAAATTCGAAGTATTGTTTCATCTAGATTTTCATTATAATAACACTTCAGTATCAATAGGTCAAATAATGGGGATGTTATAAGTTAATCGTTTTTGAGAGAACCTGCACGGACCCACAGGGATTACTGCCCCGCTCTCAATTCTCTTCTCCGGGAAACTAATTACAATTATTTTCCGTGTTCCTTTATACTCGATAGGCCAAGTAAACAGTACAAATGGAGGAACTAATTCACAGATGACAATAATTCTACACGTTCACGAACACGTTTTTAAAAAATCTTTACCTTCCTAATGACAAGTTTCGTGTATGTTGGCTGCATCTTCACAAAAACAAAGAACCCTGATTTAAATACAAAATAATCAAACTACCAAAAAATGAACAATCCTAGTTTATTTGGATTTGGATCTAATCCAACGTCAATTGATTCCTGTGCTTAGAGTTTGGTATCAAAGGTTAATCACTTAATTCCCTAATTTGAGTACCATGGAAAGAGCTAATGTATTTCCACTGGCGGATCTGGGGGGAGCTGCCCCCCCCAGATCCGCCAGTGGAAGTTTTTTCTATGACCTGAAATTTGCCCCCCCCCCCTTGTTGGTTCCCAGATTCGCCCCGGATTTCCATGCAGGATAACAGGGATAAACAGCCAGAAAAGATACTTGAGAGACCATTTTAATAAGATTCTAAAATGATAAAATACAGATCTAAACATAAATTTTTTATTTTTCTGTATCTAGTTATGGTACATGTTGTAATTCAAACATAATTAGAAAAGACCAGTGATTTCAAGCATTCGATTTTCATTCCCTTTTCGGCATAATTTGCTTTGAACATTGAATTTCGATATTGTTGAAGTATCGAATGATCTCGCCACCAAAAACTGAAGCTAAAACTGAAAAGAATAGAGATCAAGTCTACTTGCATTTTGATATTGCTACAAAAACAAACTTAAAAGTTAAATAATGCTGATTTGTTAAGAGATTTTATTCATGGTAAATAAAATTACAATCTACATAGAACACACAGATAAATAATGTTGAGTTGGGTTACAATCTGGTTAAAATAAAATGACTTTCAATTAATGTACAATAAACGTTCAACTAAACTCATGATAGATATAGGCTAATATAGTTATTGACATAATAAATAGTACAGATTCTATGTATACAATTATAGTACTTTATACAGCTAGGGTTGTCATGTATAAAATACAATTTGGTTTTGAAAATGTCTGAATATTTGTGTTTATCAAGCAGAAGGAATAACAAATATTGCATTACACTTAAATGTATAAGTACGAGGTTATAATCTATACAATTATTAAATAAATTAGTTATATCATGTATACAACCGCATATCCTGAATAAGAAATAATGAAATACATTTTAATAAGTGCATTGTTTAACAATTACATAATTTTGAGGTATAGCTGTATTGTTTGACAATGAAAGCTACATAGCCTCAATGACACTCCTCTTACGCAGAACATAATACCGTAACTCATTCTTGGATATTTTAAAGTAACATACACACTGGCGGATCCAGAAGCTAACAGGGGGGGATTTTGAGTCAGGGCACAGATTTGTTTCTGCCCCCCCCCCCCCCCTCATTCTAGACAGTCTAGAATTGGGTAGGTTGTGTGAGATCAAGTCTTGTATCTAAAACATGACATATTTTGGTAATCTTTGTTACCACATTACCATATTAGGTATTACCACATTACCATATTGGGTATTACCACATTCGGTATTACCACATTACCATATTAGGTACCACAAACATGCTCAGTCTTAGATGTGTGTAGGTCTATGACCAAATGTCAGCAGTTGTAAAAAAGTTAATTTTCTTAGGAGAGCTAGTAAATGATGGTTTCAGGTAAAGAAATGTGAAAATTGAAAACATTCAAGTGAGAGGCAAATCAAGGGGAGGTTTGACCACAAAGCAACTTAATTTTTCAACAACAACTGTGAACAATGCAAGTGCTGAGTTCACAAATGCTTCAATACAAGTTATTTGCTCGCTTATAATATAGGTGACTGACTACAGACATGTTCAACACTACATGTTCTCTCGTTTACTATCTTTGATCATAAACACATTTAAACAGACCTAATAGCAAATACAGACACACATTCTAATTACAGGGCAGGGCAGGATAACGAGCTATGGCACATTTGGTGAGCGCTATAATATCATTTGGTTTACCCAGCATGCCCTGAAAATGTCAAATCAATCTGTCGGGGCAGTAGTCTGGAAATATACAGACAGGAAAAGTCTGACACCTTCACCTGCATGCAAAGATGACAAAGTTACTATCACAAAGAAAACCTCTACTACATCGACCTTAAAACTACAATTATCTACTTCAAACCTACACACTACAATGTAATAAAAATACAATTATACTGCAATACAATTGTGCATATTTCAAATTGGAATAGTTCTTCAGTTACTTCTATGCATTTAATTCAGCGTGGTCCCTGCTACAAGCGTCAAGTTTATAAAAGTTACAGTTGTTTGTGAAAATAAAATTGAATTGAATCTCATTAGTTTACAGTGTAAACTTTACACATAATTTAGTCTATCACATAGCTCCATATACTTTGCTTATAGTTTGAATTTGTCTCAACTATACTCTTTCGTCATGGTTGTCTGTGTGAAAGATTTAAATATAAATGCAGTACTTACAACATATAAAAAAGTCTCAAATTATTTTAAAAACACACTTTTTAAAGTATACAATGTACATTATTCTCCTTTAAAGCATCTTAACAAGGGTTCATAATTAGGTAAGGTGTGCATGCCATTAAGGACAACAATATGTACATGGCTGACACAAATATCCTAACAAGTATGTCATTTCACATGCTGAATAATAATTTTTTTTATTAAAACTCTCATACCATTTCCCAAGAAACTAATGTTCTCTAAAACATTTGTATAATTTTACAATCAATAGCTAGCTTCAAAGCTGCTGAAAAATAAGAAGCCAGATTATCATGCTTCAAACTACGATGTCTCTCTCAAGCCTATCTTATCTTCTACCCTGTTTCCACTCCAAGAATTCTCTCGCATCATACCCCTGTCAATTGTTGCCCATTTCCAATGTCAACTATGTAGACATGGGAATGAAGGGCAACAACACAAGGGATCGATGTGACACTACATTTACAATCATTTTCTCTGAAAGCACTCCACCTATAGGTCAGCATAATTTATTACTGCTAAATATAAATATGTTTTTATATATTTAAAGCTACAGTGCTAGACTCAATGTTTAACATTGTATATTTGTAGAATGTTTTGCTTTTTCATATACCCCAAAAAATAGTTTGTTACCTATGATAAACATTCTGCTGTCAGAAATAGATTTAATAAGTTAAAATAAAAGATTTGTTCATATGAATACTGCACGTGTTCTATTTAAGGAATAAAGACCGAGATTTTATGTTTTTTGGGCGTAATATATGACCGAAAATTTGATTTTGTTCATTGTTAAAAGACCAAAATTGCGTAGTGATTGAGGTCTTTGGCAATGGCCAGAATAAAATTTGAGGTCATATATTACTCCCTAAATCATAAAATTGAGGTCTTTATGTTACGATTCTAATATGATAAATAGACAAGAAACACAACTATTTGCATTTATGGATTTTAGCGGTTATATATACTCCAATATAGACCAGTAAATCAATTGTTCTAGCTTTTGTGTTGTCACGTATAATATTAGAAGTTTTATTTATACATTTAAACAGAGATGGACAGGAAAAAAATATGCAAAACGTTTTATCTATTTACCATGGCTTAATAAAATAAAGCTGACTGACTCTTTATAATAATTACTACTGAAATATAATATATATATATGTATATATAACCTATTTAATGTATAAATTAAAGTACTTATTTACAGTGAAATAAAATTATGACAAACGTCATATGGATTTGATATGTCTACATGATTTTGAGTTTCAATAAAGCAGTTCAGCTGTACTGTTAAGAAACTAAAATACACAAAGAGATCAATAAACTAGACAAACTCTTTTAAAATTAGTTTTTCAATTTGTTCAAGAAATGACATATTTCGTCATTTTGCATTTTTAAGGTTAGAATATTAAAAATAAAATCTCGACTAGCTTTATTTTACTTAGTTAATTCCAAGAATAAGCTTGTGTAAAATGATGTGCTTGAAGCGTTGTTGAAAATTGTTTAAACCTCGTATTGGGAAAAGTATAAATAAATAAAATAAGTAGTAAAATAATCAGTTAAATTACGACGGTTGATCACAAATTAGTCAATAGTTTTGGACGACCTATTTCCTTTTTTACACACTGTACATATATTTGATTTTCTTGCAATAAACAACATTACAAGTGATCTCCCAACATAGGGAAATGAAGAGAGTATTTTGCGAAATGGCGGCAGCATCGTACAACATTAAGTAAAAATCAGCAAAACAGTATTTTGTAAAATTTTGTTAAGCAAAAATGACACTTAAATCTAGATTCCATAGTAATCAGGTCTAAAAATCAGTTGAAATTTAAATTTCGGTGCAAATATTTCACATGATACTAACTAATTTTCCTTTCCTTTTTTTAAAATTCAAGTGAAAACAAATATGAAATGATTTTTATAAGCTTAAGTAAAGTATGGTTTTGAAATGATTTTTTCACTAGATGACCATGGTTTTGAACTTTTGACCATCCTTCCCTTTTTCACTCTGGTTAATAATGCAAATCGTTCACCCACTTAATTTCCTTTATAAGGTGAAACAAAAATCAGAAAATAAAATGCAAATCTGAATTATGTCATGGATCATTAAGGAATATATTTCTCGAAAAATGAGAGAAATGTCCGCTGCAAACATTTACAACGATTCGATCAATCCATATGTAGAAAAAAACTATTTTGATTAAAATAAAATTCTGATCACAGTAGTGTTTTTGTAATCAGCTTGAAGCTAAGTGTGTTATTTGAGAATATTTGGGTGAAATCTCTCCAAGGCCCATTGTATGGACCATATACACAGGGGCCTCATGTACCCCAAGGACCTGTAGTAACCTCCCTCCATATAGGCCTCTGGGCTCTGGTAAGCAAGACCATAATCCTCATAGACTGTGCGGTAGGCACCATATGCTGTCTGAAATCCCATTTCTACCTTCCCCTGAAAATCAAAATAAATCCATCTCTAATTTGCAGGTCAAGAAGATTATATTTTTTATCATGATTTTAAATTTTTATGAAATCAAAAAACATAAACATCATTTTATAGTTGATATATCATAAATGCTAGGAAAATAAACCAATGTCAGTATCTGTGCCCCATGCAATAATCCTCTGTTGTCTCACAACGAACCTGCATAACAAATTCAAATAATGTATCTTTTCTGAGTTTCTTTACTTACCTCTTGTATCATGGTAGCCCCTAGTCCATAGGTAACTCCAGTCCAGAACTCCTCTGATTGAACACTGGTTAAATCCTTCTTGCCATTGGGCCTCATACCATTGATGGCTCCCATGGTCCCATTCTTGAATGGAAGGATGTTATGCTTGTATATTGTATCCAGTGCAGTATGGATGTTCTCCTTTGGAAAAACCTGAAAAATAAAATTATTCTTATATGTACTCTGTAAAATGAATGGAATTGATGAAATTGAGGTGCATTAAAATCTATCAATGAAGACATTTCTTTAAAGTTGATACCTCAAGAACTTTTTTGCCAGGTTCAACGGATATTCCATTGACTTTCATATATAGGCCTACATGTAATTAAAGGATTTCACCCCAGGGCCCAACAATTTATTGACTATTTTAAGCACAACGCCATAACAGAATAGAGGCAGCTGATATGACAACAGGACTCGAAGCAGTCAACCTCGATGAGCATTGGAACTTCTAGAACCCCCCCCCAAATAGGACTCATCTACTTACTGCATCATCTGGTAGGCCTGATGCCTTCAGGAACCAGTGTCCAGCCAGTTGGTCAGACATAACGCTGTCATGATATACTGCCTTACTGCTGTCATAGTTGTAATAGCTACCTGCATATATACAATAAAATACATTATTATATCACTGTCATATCCCCCATTCTTTCATTGGTCAAACATAACGCTGTCATGATATAACTGCCTTACTGCTGTCATAGTTGTAATCACGCCCGGTGATCGTGAAAATGGGACGGAGGGGGGGAGCAGGCAATTTCCGCTAGAAAATTCAACAAATCTGGTAAAATTATTTTTTTAAGACAGAGTTTACGATTGAATTGCAAATTGAATAAGCGCACGGTATGATAAAATATGTTAGGTATTCTAGGATTATTTTTCAACCGATACTCTTTTAAGATATAAGATCTATTAAAAAAGGCGCAACGCAACCAACGTGCAAAAGTCTACGTTTTTGCTATAAATCAAGCAACAACGGACTACACGACCTGTAATAAATACTTGTAAGTGATGTTATCATAACTAAATAATGTCATTGCTGAATTTATAAAATAAGTTTCCATACGTTAAATAAAAAATAATCGAAAATAATTAAAATGGGACGGAGGGGGGAGGGGACGGAGGGGGGGAGTAATAATTCTATAAAGTGAAACAACTTCACACGAATTCTTGTATTTGAAAAATGAACTCATTAACTTAGTAAGAAACTGGATGATATACCCCTGGAGACTGAAAAATGGGGACATTTGGAGTAAAAGGACTTAAAGTCGCGAAACATCTCTAATCATGTATTATATACATATTGCTCCCCCCCTCCGTCCCCTCCCCCCCTCCGTCCCAAATTCATTATTTTCGATTATTTTTTATTTCACATATGGAAACTTATTTTATAAATTCAGCAATGACATTAATTTAGTTATGATAACATCACTTACAAGTATTTATTACAGGTCGTCCAGACCATTGTTGCTTGATTTATAGCAAAAACGTTGATTTGTGCCTGTTGATGGCCTTGCGCCTTTTTTAATAGATCTCATACCTTAGATGCGTATCGTTTCAGAAAAAATCCCAGAAAACCTAACATATTCTACCATACCGTGCGCCTATCCATTTAGCAATTCAATAGTAAACTTTTTCTTGAAAAAATAAATCTTCCAGATTTGTTGAATTTCCTAGCAGAAATTGCCTGCTCCCCCCCTCCGTCCCATATTCACGATCACCGGGCGTGGTAATAGCTACCTACATATATACAATAAAATACATTATTTTATCACTGTCATATTCCCCATTCTTTCATTGGTCAGACATAACATTGTCATGATATAACTGCCTTACTGCTGTCATAGTTGTAATAGCTACCTACATATATACAATAAAATACATTATTATATCACTGTCATATTCCCCATTCTTTCATTGGTCAGACATAACATTGTCATGATATACTGCCTTACTGCTGTCATAGTTGTAATAGCTACCTGCATATATACAATAAAATACATTATTATATCACTGTCATATTCCCAAATCTCTCATCTACACATTACATTAGATATAAAAATAAGGTGTGTCATTTCATCCAGTGTAAATCTGAAAGTGATGCGAATAACCAAGTTATATAAGGTACAAATTACAAATTGTTTTAAAATTAAAGCCCCTTTAAATCAAAACCCAAGTAATGTAAAGGTTCTTTTAAATCAAACACCAAATTGTGTAAAAGTGAGTCTCTTCAATACAATTAGGGTAAAGGAAAAAGCAGATTTAAACGAACACTGATTTGTGTCTTAAGCTAGGTGAAAGTCCCTTTAAATCAAACATCAAACTATGTAAAGGTATAAGTCACTTTAAATCAAACACAATGTTGTGTCGAGGTGAAAGAAGTAAACCGATATCCAATATTATTTCACACAATAGAAGATAACAATACATTGACTACAACCTGAACTTATAATGAATTTGAGACAGTGGCACTTGAATTCTTATCTCCATATATCAGGTTAAAGACAATACTATGTTGGACTGGGGTTACAAAGCAGTTCCTAATGACAAGAGTCAATTGACAATATTACACTTTTCATAATAAAAGAAATAAGAAATGATGGCTAAGTATTAAAACATAAAATATTTCCTCAATCTAATGAGTTTTCTCGAAGATGACCATGATTAGTTATGGATTGAATAATACTGGAACAATTGTAACGACTAAATCCTTGTTGATGAGTAGCCCTAAAAGGGGAGTATCTCTACTGTACATGTACTTAAAGTCACATGACCAATATAGAAACAGATGCTCAAAATGCAAGACCTTGATGTAAAGTGATGTAATATTGCAATATACCATTTCAAGATTTTGGGGGTAAGTATTATAGTACAAATACAACATATTAGGTTTGTTTCTACAATAATTGCGCTAAATTTGATTTCTCAAAAATAGATAATTTATTGAGTACATAATAATTCAGATTCTAATGAGGAGATTTTCACAGGAATTATCTTCAGTTAATCATTCTTATATATTGCTTTCCTGAATTGCAGGAATGTTCAGTTGACTAAAAGATGGCAGAAAATGGTGTTGTATCGAATACAGAGTCAATTACAGAGACAATCAACAATGATCTATTTACTTGCTTAGCTTGTAAAAAAGATCTTGCATCACCATGCACTCTACCTTGTTTGCACACATTTTGCGATGCATGCATTATAAAACCCACCAATAATGATGTTGTCAAGGCAACAACTTGCCCAACATGTGGTGAGAAAACAAAGCTCCATGAAGATACTCCAAAAACATTGAGCAATTTTGTGAGTGAGCTTCAAGAGTATCAAAAATCGAATGCAAAGTTAGAGAAATGTTGTAGCTTGTGTACAGATGAGAAACCAGCTGATTTTAAATGTTTTGACTGTATGGACTTCCTTTGTGGAGAGTGTGCGGAAATGCATGGTAAAATCAAAGTTGCAAAGGACCACAAGGTATGTACGAGTATCAAGATGTTATACATGTAAATGTGATTTCCGTTGAGTACATATAGTACTATAATGTATTATCATTTTGCATAGAGCATATTTAATTACTTTGTTTTGATCTATTTATTATAAAAGGCCTCGCATTATTTTAAAATATGATTCTAAAAAGATATTCATTCAAAAAATGGCAGATTGGTTAATAGGTGGGGCAATTTGATTCCACAGTAAGTTAAGTAGCCACATTCAGTATATCTCAGTCCAATGCAATCTACTTGCCATTTAACTAGTCCCGATCTCTCCCTACTTAGGCTCTCGCTCCCTTTTTTATCCTTACAATTATTTGTATACATTTAGGTACTGAACATTGATTCATTGACAAGTAATGATGTAGGAGAATTATACCGTGCCCAACCTAAGCCTTGTAACATCCACCAAGGGGAGTTCCTGAAATTCTTCTGCAGGCCATGCTCAAAGGTATAAAAACATATTATAAGCCACTTATTTCATCCTACATATATTTTGTTATTTTCTGGGTCATAATTCATTTTTCTATATAAATTGAATTGCACAACAAATATACTGCCTGTTTTGGAACAATGTTGCCAGCAAAAGATTTTTTCAATTCAACATTTTTACAATTAGTAGTGTTTGGAATCAAAACCATTTTCATTAATAGAAAGCATCTAAATCAACTGCAAATCTACAATGTTCATTGAAAATAGTACATGTACACTCAGTGCTTGAAAATAAAAATCATGTACAGGCTAGACTGAATACTTTACATATTTATTTATTCATTTATTTATGTGTGCAATAACCAATCAGGAAGATAAACATCATAATATGTCAACCATTCAACATAAATTGTTGTTATTGAGCTACATGTTAAGAATGAAATGAATAAAAAATGTTCCTTTTCAATGTTTTAAAATTGTTTTTAAGGTCATATGCCGAGATTGCAAACTAATTGAACATGAGGGCCACAAATGCGTCAATATAGCAGACCAAGCAGGACAAGACAAACAATTGCTGAGTACAGCAATGGAAAATATGAACCCAGTCATACAAGGGATAAAAACAAATATTTCCGAGTTGACCAAAAATGAACAAGAACTGAGCGATAGATGTAATATTGTACGTGATGATATGAAGACACGTCGTGATAACCTACACAAGATAATAGACGAATGTTATGAAAATATGAATGCTGAGATGGTTACAATGTATAACACTAACCAGAAGAAAATCGATAGTTACAAAGATGTGTTTGAGACAATGTCAAAGTCACACTCAGCTACTTTTCAGTTTGTCCAGACATTCCTTAAATATGGCAAAGATGCTGATATCATAGATGAAAAATCGAATGTCACAGTCCGCCTGAATGCGCTAAGAGATGAGAAAACACCTGTTATTCAATTGGACAACTTTAAGGAATGGGGATTCATCAAAGGGGACTCAAATGAAACAGACCTCAAAGTGTTATTTGGTCAAATCAAAACACCTCCAAAGCAAGATGACTCCAGCTCAAACTCTAAAGAGACCCATAGTGGTTCAAATAAAAGCGAAGGATTGACTGATGCTGAGCGTAAATCAAGCACAGTAAGCACAGGCCTCGATGGCACTGAGGGAAGGTTTATCTCGTATATAGGGACAATTTCCAGCACTGCAAGCATTATAAAGGGTCAACTTGTCTCCTGGTTCAACAGTAAATCATCTAATGATAGTGCCCGAGGGAACATCAGTGGTATTAGTAAAGCTCCCCTTGGTCTTTTAGCTGTAATTGACCACAACAATCGCAAAGTCAAATTTTACGACAATGGGAAACTGAAGTCTGAATTCAGTGGCTCGGGAAAACATCGTCTCCAAGGTCCATGGGACGTTGTTGTGCTTAGCAATACAAATATGGCTATCAGTGATCGTACATCAAAGAGTATCAAGATTTTCAGCCCACAAGGGAAATTTGTGACCTCGATTGGGAAATACCTAAAAGAACCATGTGGAATCACAGTCAATTCGAAAGGTCAACTTCTAGTGGCAGATTACGCCAACAAGTGTGTCTACATCCACAATGAAAATGGCTCCGTCTTGCATACTGTCCTCAACCTCAACAACAACTGGCCAATCTATATTTGCGTTAACCAAAGTGACGACATAATTGTATCTGACTTCAAAGCGCATTGCATCAAAGTTCTTAACTCACATGGTCGTGTGAAGCACATTTACGGAACCATAGGCCCTGATCAAGGTCTCCTGAATGGTCCATTGGGAGTGTGTACAGATTCTCATGGTCATATCATCGTGGCAGACTACAACAATCATGCCGTGCATCTACTAACTCCTGATGCGAGATTTAAGTGCTACCTTTTGACAAGGGAGGATGGGATAGAGAGTCCAAGGGCTGTGGCCATAGATGGCAATGGACATTTGGTAGTCACTGAGTTATCTGGTATGGTCAAAATATTCAAATATATTGAGTAACTTTGGTCACTAGACAGTTGTTGTGCCTAAAGATGATAATGGACACTGTTGGTGGCCAATGAACTATCTGGTATGGTCAAAATATTCAATGTTTGAGAATCCAAACTGACCACCATGTTATCTTTAATATCAAAAACATTTTGTTTAGCTCACCTCACATTTTGATTTGTTGGCAAAAATTCCAAAGCATAAATGGATTCAAATAGAAGACGACAATGTATTACTTCAAAGTACAATAAAAAATACTATGTTCACGATATATAGTTTCTAAATAATATTCACTCTCTAAAATGTTACTTATAGCGGTAAAATCATATAGCATGTAGTTATGTTATCTTTCACATAGATAAGAACCCCTCAATAAATACTGACACTTCTGGGCATTCCACTGTAAATAGATAATAAATAAAAATAAATTTTTATAAAAAAAATATTCCTTCGTCCCTCAATAATTTCACAGACGCACAACTCTAAGTAATCAAGACTTACCATTCCAAAGTTTAGTTTCGAAAGACACTTTGCCTTTCTCTAGAATTGCATTGAAATATTGAGCATCTTCAGGGAGATCGAGTTTCTCAGCCATTTCTACCATTATCTTCAGTGCAGACAGCCACATTCCTCCACAGTATGCACTGAAATCATTTACAGTTATTTTAGAGCTACATAATATTTTACCTTGAGTGATGTCATATTGGGTTACCATAGCAACCATGATATTGACCAATGAAATATTTAATAATTTTAGAGTGATATCTGAAAACCTACCTTGCTCCTGTCACTATCCAGGCATCATATGTCTGGTCTGCAAAACCCCCATTGTCTATGATACCATCATCATCCGTGTCCCAACGCAATGAATTGTTCATAACATCCTATGGATAACAATGCATATTATAAATGAGAATGCTGGGATTAATAAACCTACATTGTCAAAGACAGCATCGCTGTACCTGTATTTCAATGAAATAATGGCATATGCAATAACTTTCTCAAGACATATTATAACTTGTATCCATTTGCAATCTATTCTACAATATATTCTATGTATAATTTTGTCAAGACAAACATCTTAGGAGCGTTTATACTGCTTCCAAATACATTCATTTGAACATAAATAAATTGCAAATGCTTATACACAATAGTTGACTGAATGAGAGAGTCTTTGAGTTGCCTCGAAACATTTCTACTTACAGTATGCGACAAATCACTCATAACCAAATATTTACTACTTAAACCTACCTTGGCGAGGGGATACATATCTTTAAGATATTTCTCGTCTTTAGTTCCTGCGTAATCTCTGAATACTTGGAGCACAAACTTTATGTTGAGATCTTTCCATTCACTAGTTGGGTGGACATGGTAAGCATTGTTCAGTAGCCATGGCTCCTTTATAAAACATAAAGTGTAAATCAAAGTTTCAGACAACAAGTTAACATTTTTGCAGTGTGTGTTTCAGATTTATCATTGGCCAACCTGAAGTGAATTATGTGCCCATTTTTGTGTTATTCATCAAAACAGGTTTACTTTCAGTTAGTTTCATCTGTAGTAGAAGTCAATGGTTCATTCATATGAGCTATGCTGTAGTAATATATCGGTTAAGAGAATAACAATAGGTCAAGAATTTTTTCATGAATTTCTGTATCGCTTCAAATAAAACTTTAATCTAATGGTTCCTTTTTTCTTTCTTCGAAAATTTCATATTTTGGAACTTCGGGGCTAATTTTTATTTATCAATGACCGACCCAAAATGACCAAAAGAGGGCTCTGAACTTACATCTTCAGGGTCTCCTATATCATGGGGCACCATATCTTTCACTTTAGCAAGGTTTTTGTTGCCATCCATAACAAACTTCACTGAGGTACGGTCTTCCATCCTGATAGCATTAGCTACAACATACAGGGTGATCATTAACTTACAATATCAATTATTTTTAATAGCAAGTTTTTGCACATGAGGTTTCATAAATGCATGCACATTTTGTTTATATATTAAAAGCAAATTAGTAGTAAAGGGTGCTTCAAAAGATGATGATTCAGAATTTGGAACTGAATCCTGAACCAGCAATAGTCCTGTAATAGTCATTTTTCCTGGGGATTTAAATTCTTGTGACCAGCTTATGGCTTCATTCATATGATAATTATCATATTCCCTCATCATGAAATCAAAATTCCATACCTCCTCCATATAAATTTTATATTGAAATCAACTACAGTATAAAAATACAGGGTGTTACAAGATTTCACAATTACAACCCCTTACCTATGTCATATTGAAGGCTAATCTGCAGTTTGGGCCACAACATTGCCAGAGCAAACGAAGCATAGTGGTGGACGTCATATGTATTGTACATCCTGTATTCATGTCCTAAAATGTTTGTCAAATACTTAGCGTATATGTATGATACATGTATTTATTATAGCTTTGCTTTAATGTAGTTAACATCATGTACGATGGGACTTTGTATATTTTATTTGTCTAATGGGAGCTTACTTCCAACAAATGTATGCATTTTCATTGAGGAGTCGACACAACAGGTTTTTACATTTAATTATCACAAAGGAAGACATCTAACACTTTAACATCGGCAATAATTGGTATGAGGCCAATCAAAGAAAATTGTGAGGCAAAACCTGAAGAAAGGAGCAGCCCAGTTTGAGGCACTTCTAAAACGTCATAAAGAGATCAATTGTCAGAATGACTGGGAATGATGATGATGAATTAGCATGAAATACTAACCTTCCAGATAAGCAAACTTCCCATACTCTTCTTGTAGAGGGTTTTCAATTATATGGTCAGATTTGTTGTAGTCTGGATCCTGCTTTATGTCCACCCAAACAGTCCCACCATCACTCACATAGTAAAGCTCATTGAAAAGTGCTGACTTGTACCACGTGGGCAGATTTCTATAAAATAGAGCATAGAATATGTTAAACAATATTGAGACTACAGTAGCTCAGCATGGCATGCTAATTACAATATATATAGTACCAAAAGGAACATTTGACAATTTTTTATTATAAACTTTCCTTTTACAGATAAAAAAAACAAAAATTACATTTTACTCTGAAACTAATAATTTGACATCATTTTCAAAGTGAATAATAGCTCTCCTGTAAGTAAAATTAATGATGTTTTGATTATTTGAGTATTTAAAAGTTATGCTTCCTCAGTCATTCAAAACACATAGGCGTATTCTCAAATGGAGTGTTTCAAATGGCATCTTCAGATAATACTGAAAGACTTACAGATTTTGTAATACTGGATTTTGCCATTCTTCTATTTTCTTTTCCCACATTGGATAGTTGTTCAGGGCATAGCTTGATAGTCTAGGAGATGCATCACCCTCGCTACCAAACCACCGACAATACCGCCTGGAATGAATTATGCATATAAAAGACATGTATACAAAAGAGGGTTTGAGTAGAAAATAAAAAAAACTTGAAAATAAGTGCATTTTGAACTTATATGACTTGGCCTTAAAAATGGCATGAACTTTTAATCAGCCTTACCTGCAGTATAGTCGACCTTTGTTAGCAAAGTGAATGACGGGCATGTCCCAAGTAAGACTGAGTTCTACGTAGTTACTGGAATTAGCTTCCACTGTACATTGAGCACATACTGCCCCTGCTATCTCTTTACCTTTAGTAGTTTCCTTACTTCTTTCTACAAAATTCAGGCATTTGGAATAATACTTTTGCAAAGGGAACGACATACATGACAAACAAGTTTTCTGAATAGTTTGGAGTGGTCCTCATCTTTAAGAGGCACATGACAAAAGGGATTTATTCAGAATGAACGAGGGGAAGTTGTGATGTAGTCCTACCAGTGACTGTCTAGTATGTACAGAATTACATGTATGATTTTAATGATCTCCTAGACATATGTGCCTGTGAGACATACTGGTTTAAAATATAATGACCTCAAGTTGTAGAGCATGGTGGTACAGATATTGATTTGTTTCCATGAAAACCTGGCCAAATTAAGCATGGAATAAAATAAAATGCCCCAATTACTCACAATTAATTTCTAAAAATCATAAATCCCATAGCCATACCTGTACTTTGCCCAAGTACTCCATTCTGCATCAAATCATACCATAAATCCTTGGCTGGAGTTTTTGGATCAAATGCGACACAATGGCTCACTCTGACTCCCTCCTTAAAAATATATGAACTATTCAAATTAATATCACTAGAAAAATACCTCACTTCATGCAATGTTTGACTAATACCATCATTAACCCCAAAAGTTCATTTACTCAAGCAACAACATTGTTTTCCTTTTTGAAAGGAATATACCAGATACTGCTATTCCAACATTCTTCTCAATCACAACTAGTAGACAGCAGAACATACTTATATTTAAATACATATGCATGTGTTGTACAAGGAAATGAAACATACCCTATGTCTAGCAGATATAGCCATAGTACAAGGATTATCCTTGAGTTTTTGGTGTATAAGCACACCTGATGTCTTATCTGCCACTTCCTCATTAGAAACAAAAGGCTCATTCCATGCCCCTCCTGCAATTAATCACATCAGAATAAATACAAATGCCAAAATGCCTATATATACCCAATCCTCTTGAAAAAATTAATATTCGATCCATATCACAAAATCTTGGATATTTGTTAGTCGAAATAGGAAGTTTTATTACTTGCACTCAGAAAAACATTAAGGAAATACTTCATAGTATTTAAGGCCTAATAATTAAGTCTTACCACTTCCTATTAAGAAGTGCAACTTTCTGTTTTTAAAATATATTTTGTCAAAAATCATTTTGTCAAAAACAACTTTTTAAGTCATGGGGAACACTTTACAAAATAATAAAAATATATTTTCAAACATTACATGGGACCTTTCAGTATATAAAAGCAATTTGAATACCTTTCAAGTCTTGTGAGCTCCCCTGACCATTCTTGAAGGTGAATGTTATACTGACATCTATTGGCTCACTATTCCTGTTTTCTACGGTCCATACAAAAACAGCTGCAGGTATAGTACTTTCCTGAAAATAAATCAGGATTCAAAGTGTTTTTTTTCAAAAAAATTAAATAAATTAACAATATAGATCTACGTAGTATAGTGTTGATAACTGTTTTTAGATATTTTGAACAAACTTGAAAACAAACACTTCAAAGTGTGAACACTTTTTAGGATTCTTTTTTAAGATATCACATTGATTCTCACATTATCAGAACGTCAAAATATGAACACCCTTGAAAATGAAAACTTCAAAATTTGAACACTTTCTCTATTCCACTTTAGATATCACACTCCTACATTGTGAGAACCTCTAAACATGAACACCCTTAAAAATGAACACTTCAAAGTGTGAATACTTTCTCATTTTATTTCCCAGGTTGTTAGAGCCTCCCTCCAAATATCCTTGAAAATGAACACTTCAAAATGTGAACACTTTTTGCACTCTATTTCCAGTTATATCATTGACCTACATGCTATTAGAATTTGAACATCTCTTAATGTGAGCACTTAAGCCACCCAAGCAACTGTTTTGCTGTAATTTCAATATATCAATCCCTCTTTAGGGTCTCAAGAGCTTTTAGGACTGACACTTCAGATTCCAGTACTGTTCTTACTCCAATTATATCAGAGTCTTAAGTAGATCATCAATCTTTGGGTTTATACTTATCTAGATCAGCTCATTTTCATTTATATTGTAAGAAAAGTGGCAATAGGTTAAAATAACTGTTAAGTGGTATAACTATTAAGCAAAACATGAATTACTTGAAGCTACTTTTAAATAAAAGAGGAAATTAAAAATGGATAGCAAACATTTTAGATAGAGTCAATTTCAAATGTCATGTATATTGTTTAAATCCCAGATCACATATTTCATTTAATGTTTTCAACTCAACAGCGTGAAAAGTACTGAATTTAGGCACTTTTATTGAAGCAAGAACCTCTACCTACCTTGTAATCATGAGGAATGACTGGGGAGATCTGCCGGCACACAAGAGTGACATTCTGCCCAGGTAGCTCGTAGACAGTCCAAGCTCTTGGGTAAAGGCCATGGTAGGTAGCAAACTCTCCATTATATGCCCAGTTCCAAGAGTTCAGGCCCTTTCCCTTTGGTCTCTTGGTAGATAAGACCTGTTGGTACACTGTTTGACCCCTTTTACGAATGTTTACAATAAACTGAAAACACAGCAATTATTGTATTACTATTTATTCAATAATAAAATTATGAAGAAAAGGTAAAAATATTAATCTGAGGGACCTATCAAAATGACAACTACCACTTATCAATATAGCTCCAAAAATAATATAACTCTGATAATATTTTCACCTTTTTGAAAAGAATATGACACATATCTATCCCTAAAAGGGAAGGGCATAACCTCTTATTAAACCATGGTAGGCATTTGATAAAGGCAAAAAATGTTAAATTCTAAGTATTATGGTCTGACTTGATGACATGACACAAATTTGACCTTTGTTTTACAAGTCTGCAAGTCCACAACAGGCGAGCATTTAACTAGTCAATAAATAACAAAATAATGAGATTGAACACTTCAATTTAGTGTCATCTTGGTAAGTGTACATTATATGGTATTAATATACCCTAAGGGCAGAAAATAAAAATAACCTCTGAGTAATTAAGAAAATTTTTATAGTTTTACAGTTCAGCAGCTCCAACCCAAAACTGGAGGCCATCACAGCCTGGGTCATAAATTAATTTAAACCAAACGCACCAACATTTTCAAATATGTTTACAACATCGATCAATACTGGGTAGTGGGTAAGCCATGACTTAAATGAATGACACAATGTTTAGAGAATTGACCTGCTTTCGAGGACAAGCTCTGGTTGGGTCAGCAAGTTCAGAGGAATTTCTTAAACTTAAGATTGTGAACAAAGCTATCTTTCAAGAAGCTAAGTCAAATGAAAGCAAAGGGTATATGGGAAATGAATTAAGAAATTTTTGAATATTCATTTAATGTTGCAGAGGGTAATTAATACTAGGCTCCGGGCTTCCTGGTCTTTTATGGTTCTAAAATATTTTTTTCAAATAGAACAGATTTGTATGATGTTTTATATCAACAAGATTATTTTTATTTATCAAGTTCTATCAAGTTGAAAAATCAATACAGATATTCCTAAATGTACAGTATCTAAAATATATCTAAAACATTTTTTCAAAAGTTAAGCTAAAGTTTTAGGAGTTTTATAGTGAAAATTTATTTGTCAATCTTATTTCCAGTAAAAATATAACCATGCAAAGACATATTGGCAAATTCATTTACCATTCATTTAAGAATTTAGCATGGTCATAATGCATTGTGTGTGCACCACACTATTATTGTTACCTTATATATTTTTATATATTTTTTGAATTTTTTAGTTTAGTTGGTGTAGTTTAGACATGTAGTTTACCATAGTTCTGACTAATGTAATCATGTTATGATACAATATGTCAATAAAAGTTATATATAGTTGAAAGAGACATAGGGAACCCTTCCACTTTTGAATAAATATTCTGAACCTTTGGTTTTTCTCCCTCTCATTAACATTTGAATTCCAATTGTTTACTGATGAAGCCACAGATAAGTGTGATATTACGGCCTTGTGAATTTAATATTCGTTTAACTTTCGTTAATCTACTAGCTTTTTAGACTTTTATTTTAAGATTTTTTATTATTGTCAGTAACAAAACTTTTCAAAAACAGACAACATGATCAATTTTTCCAATTTATTTGCTTAAATAACAATAACCTGAGTCTAATAGCAATATGTACACAACCAGACAGTCTATTTTACCAATAAACTAAATGGCAATCAATTGTAACATGTGCAGCATTATTGACCAAATTATAAATCTCTTTGTTAAACAAATGGTCAAACCATGCTGATTTCAAGTGTAGAACAGATGCTACGAATGGAAATTAGGGTGAATGCATGTGGTTTGCCAGCAAGCCATATGTGGTAATGCAAACTACAAACAAAGGCTTGTATATGTGCCAAAATTAATAGTCAAAACTTGGCATATAATATTAATGCTTTTGGACCTGTAGTCTCATAAGACCATCCTATTTTAATACATATCCTTTCTTCTAAAGAACAACCGTTCAGTGCAGTATATTTCATTTAAATAAAAAAAAACATTTGATGGGTGATGATGCAGTCCTCTAGGCAAAAGCCTATACCAAGGAGTGTATTAATAGAGATGGTCTGCACTTTTTGGTATTGAGGCCAAGAGACAATTATGAAGTTTTATGACACAGAGATCTAGCTTATGCAGGCACTTTATAATCACCAAAATTGCGTATGTTTAACCTATTTAGGGCATTTCATAGTTAAACTAACAAAGAATTCTGGAAGAACAGTGAATGTCTAAATCCTTACTTGGTCTGCATCAACCTCATTCCAGTAGTACATGCCAGGTATAAGAGCAAACCTGCAGAACTCTCCCTTGTAGCCTCGTCCTATAGTACCACATCCAATACCCCCTATAGGCACACCTAAAACATACAAAATAGTTTTGCAAGCATATACAAGTAGTTAGGTTTAACACAATTGATATTTTCCTTGTGTAGCAAGGATATGCCCTGGAGTACCAAATCTAATACCTCCTAAATGTACATCTAAACAATATAGTATTACCACATCCAATACCCCCTATAGACACACCTAAAACATACAAAATAATTTTGCAAGCACATACAAGTAGTTAGGTTTAACACAATTGATATTTTCCTTGTGTAGCAAGGATATGCCCTGGGAGTACAAAATCAAATACCTCCTAAATGTACATCTAAACAATATCCTATTACCACATCCAATACCCCCTATAGACACACCTAAAACATACAAAATAATTTTGCAAGCACATACAAGTAGTTAGGTTTAACACAATTGATATTTTCCTTGTGTAGCAAGGATATGCCCTGGAGTACCAAATCTAATACCTCCTAAATGTACATCTAAACAATATATTATTACCACATCCAATACCCCCTATAGACACACCTAAAACATACAAAATAATTTTGCAAGCACATACAAGTAGTTAGGTTTAACACAATTGATATTTTCCTTGTGTAGCAAGGATATGCCCTGGGAGTACAAAATCAAATACCTCCTAAATGTACATCTAAACAATATATTATTACCACATCCAAAACCCCCTATAGACACACCTAAAACATACAAAATAATTTTGCAAGCACATACAAGAAGTTAGGTTTAACACAATTGATATTTTCCTTGTGTAGCAAGGATATGCCCTGGGAGTACAAAATCAAATACCTCCTAAATGTACATCTAAACAATATATTATTACCACATCCGATACCCCCTATAGACACACCTAAAATATACAAAATAATTTTCCAAGCATATACAAGTAGTTGGGTTTAATACAATTGATATTTTCCTTGTGTAGCAAAGATATGCCCTGGAGTACCAAATCAAATACCTCCTAAATGTACATCTAAACAATATACTATTACCACATCCAATACCCCCTATAGACACACCTAAAACATATAACATTTTGCAAGCACATATTAGAAGTTAGGTTTAACACAATTGATATTTTCCCTGTGTAGCAAGGATATGCCCTGGAGTACCAAATCTAATACCTTCAAAATGTACATCTAAACAATAAATATTATATTTTAACACTTTGCAGGCACTGTATGTTTTGGAGTATAGTGTTGACTCGGAAGGCCTATCAAGGGAGGTTTATCATGTTTGAACATCAATGTTATCTAAATTGATGTATTTTTGGGCAATATTAGATTACAATATTGTTCCAATGATGTTTTACTACTTTAAGCAAAAGTACAAGCTGCATATTAATGAAAAAATATGTAGAGCAAAACATATTGATGCTTTCAAGTATGATAGCATGTCTTATCTCACTGTTGAGGTCAAACAAGAATGATAACAAGGAATTTCATATTTTTCAAATGCATGGAAGAAGAAGAAGCTATATCTATCTAAAATGGAGAGTACTTCACAGACTGATATAACTTTTTCCTTCCATACATGATAAAAATTGATCAGTTCTGTGCAAAGAATATATAGACGCACCTAGATTATTGGTTGAGGGTATATTCATTAAGCATAGAGGTCGCAACGTTACTGAAAATCAGTACCGGTAACCGTCACGCTAATAACCGTACCGTTACCGAAATACCGGTAAAAATATGTAAGATAAAATGCCAATGCGCTGCCACCCCCACTTTGTTCCTAACTCTCTCCGTAGCTTCTCAAGTCTATATGCATACATGATGCAAGACCGATTTGAACTCATACTGATGATTTTCACGAAATAGTATGTAACTATCTTACGAATCAAGATGTATTTTTAGTTTTAAATTAAATGTATTACACATTTCAAACCATTTCTCAACTGTATCAATAGCAAGCGACGTGCAGTATACATGGGGGTGGGGTAGGTAAAATAGATTTTATTGACTGTCTTGAGTTCTGGAAAGTAAACGGAGGAAAACATCCTGATGTGGCGAGTTTGGCTGAAACATATCATGCTATTCCTGCGTCATCCGTGTCAAGTGAACGCCAGTTGATCAGTGCATCTGGCAACACCATCACTTAAAAACGGGCACGACTTCAACCTGAGGTAGTCAATGCCTTGTTGTTCGTAAATGACTATTACAAACTTAATTCAGTTTCTGGATCTGAAGTTGACACTACAACTACACCGGAACTGCCAAACATAACTACAGCCAAATCTGAGTCTGAGCATGAATAGAAGCTACTACACCCGAACTGCCAAACATGGACATCACACCTGAACTGCCAAACATAGAAATCACACCTGAACTGCAAAACATGGACATCTAAATGTCGATGTAAATGTACGCATCGTGAAAATGGAAATTAAACGAAATAATTAAAAAAACGACGTGTCTTTTATTTTCCCGGGGATTATCATCGGTTAACCGGTTAATAATTTCAATACCGGTAAATGCTCAATTCCGTACCGAAACCGTATAACCGGAATTACCATCAGCCTCTAATTAAGCATGTGGAAAACTGAAATGTGAAGAGCATGTATGGAATGATTTATATCTACCTTAACATAACACAAGAAGCCATAAGTAGGAAGCCATTAAAATTTCTGAATATGAAAATAAAGCACTTTTTATGATGTTGTTTAATGGTCCTTCTTCCATATAGCTTTGAAATCTCATTAAAGTCTTGTTTTTGATTTGATCTGCGCAGTTATTTTCATGTTTTCTAAAAAAGGTCAGGCTAAATCCATTGATATGTAACCTCCAAACCATGATGTAAAAACCTTTAAGGTTCTAAAAGCAAGGAAAATTATACCCTATCACTCCTTAAATATATCATACCCCTTTAGATAACTTACCATACATGGGCTTGTGTTTGATGAGGTTATTGTGATCAATATATGGCCGTTTTCCATTTCTATACCTTGACAATGTGTATCCAATATACCTGAAAACATAAGAAATCTTGATAAAGAAAATTGCTGAAATCTCACAAGTAGAGCCTTTCTTAAAGAATGCCAAAGATATTAGTCTTAGATGGCAGCTTGATAACCATAATTAAATTTGTTTATATATACCATACTTAAATTTATTTATATATAAAGATGGACATAGAGAATCAAGGCCATAATGCAAACAGCTTCATTCTAAAACAAAGCATGTATAAATTGCTGGGATAGTGAAGACTTTAGATGAAACAGAAGAGGTGAATAGTTCCCATCACAATTCACTACCCCCTAAAGTATGGAGTCTTACAAAAGAAGCCACACATAAAATACTCTAGCCAACAACAAACATTTAAAAATAAATAGAAAACCTGGTAAATGGTTAAGAAGGTATAAGTAAGAAGCATTAAAATTATTACAATTGGTATTAAGTTACATGTATTACAAATATTTTTAAATCCCCCAAGCTAGCTAAATTTTAGTGAGATTCTTTTTGTATAATTCTACATCCATGGAAGTACCTACATGTATCTAATAGAGGCTTTGTTTACAATGATCAGAAAATGGCAATAAGCATAAGAATTGGGAAAAGAATAGATTAAAGTACAGGGAGGTAATTATTATGTATATTTGGAAGACGCTGCTAAATGAATGGTGCATCTTATCTGGCTATCTGCGTCATTTATAGTTAATACATCTAAAGTTCAACAAGGTAATTTTTTATATCATTTCAAATATTTTTAGCCCTGTAAGGATGGTACCCTCATCCCATTAGTTCAGGTTTTATAGTAGTATTTATTTTGAGGCCTAATACAATACCTAGACCTTGTCTTAACCAAACCCGTTTGACCCAGTTATCTACTCCTGAAGCGTATATCTGGGCCAGACAAGTTACAGAAGTACAGATTTTTCAATTTGTTGTACTGAATGAATGTTGTACTGAACGAAATAAGCAGCCGAGACTTCTCGATATTCTACAAGATCATGCACAGATTGCAGAAGAATTTTACTTTTTGCTTTGTTCAGTCGTTTCTTTCTTACTAATTAGTAGCCATCCAACGATGGAAACTTACTAGAAATACAAAATATAACACTGGGAACAAACATGTAAGAATATTTTTAACGCTTATTCAGATATCAGTGCATATTCTCTGGAGTAAATACACCAATTTTTTATTGGACATCGTCTGGCCCAGTATCTAGGACATTCCAGAATCAGGGAGTAGATAACTTGAGTTTGGTTAGACCTTTTTATGCTCTGGCCTAAAAACCTGAGACCCTATCTGTTGCAAGACTAACGCCTGGCGTAACCGTCACCATGTTATTTGGTGTTTTTTAAGTAGCGCAAGGATCCTGCCATGACCGTGGTAATGTTATCGTGAAAGCCTGGTATAACCGCGACAATGCTGTATTATATTAAAATGCCTGCCATGACCGTGGTAGGGTAATCGTGTAAGCCTGGCGCGACCGCAACCTTTATATGACATTAATGACCTTCATGTTTCGCCCATTGCTGTTGGTATTTTTTATGGATAAATCTTATTAATTGATCGTTATAGAAAGTATATGCTTTCGAATCGAAGCTCCTTGAATGAGAGTAGAGATATAGTTTGTTCGCAAATTATTTATGAGTAAAAATTAGGTTTTCGTTGTGAAATTAATACACATTTTTAGTAGTCTTTATTTACATATTTAAGGTAGTTAAACACGAAGAAAAATTGTCATTACAGTGTTCTCATGCTACTTTAAATACAACCACGGTCATGAGAGGCCTTGGAACTATTGTCACGGTCATACGAGGCTTTAACATTACCACGGTCATGACAGGCCTTGCAATATAATATAGCATTGTCACGGTTATGACAGGCCTTGCAAGCATTGTAACGGTCATATCAGGCTTTAACATTACCACGGTCATGACAGGCCTTATAAGCATTGTCACGGTCATATTAGGCTTTAACATTACCACGGTCATGACAGGCCTTGCAACCATTGTCACGGTCATACGGGGCTTTAACATTATCACGGTCATGGGTAGCTTGGGTCAACATTCATAAAGACAGAGACATATAATGTCTCTGGTAAAATATACAAATATACGAATATTTAAAAGTGGATAGTAAACAAATCGCTTAACAAACAACAATAAAAAATTCTTAAATTAAACGTAAAGGCTACGGCTGCACCAGGCTTCCACGATAACACTCATGGTCATGACAGGCCTTGCAATATAATACAGCGTTGTCACGGTTATACCAGGCTTACAAAATAACACTGCCACGGTCATGGCAGGATCCTTGCGCTACTTAAAAAACACCGAATAACATGGTGACGGTTACACCAGGCGTTAGTCTTGCAATAGATAGCATGTGAAAAACCTGCACCAACTATTAGACTACAATGCATAGCGCCCAGTACGCTGGGTACGCACAGGCAAATTCGCTCCAAATACAACCAAATTTCAAAATTCTCTTGGGGGAGAATCCCCCAGACCCCCAAACGCTCCTTTTTTGCTTTGCTCAACTCTTGTTCCCACGGTACTTAGAAAAATAGCGCTACGCCCATGCAATGTATCTCTAAACTAAAAAAATAAAACTCTAAAAGTAATTTAGTTATAGTTATAGTTTTCACTGCTTAGGTCGTCTTGACCTTTGGCCGTTCTTTAGATAAAATGAGCATAATTGTTTAGCATTGACCCCAATTAATTGACTTGTGTCTACTTCAAGGCTCTATAGTTGTATTTGGCTGGGTGATCTCTCCATAGTCTGTCAAGCTTACTCTTAAAGTGATTCAGGTCATCAGCTTCCACTACTTCTTGGGGGAGGGAATTCCAAGAGTTTACTACCCTTTGGGTAAAGAATCCTTGTCTTAAAATCAATCTGTTTTGTTTTTTCAAGATTCTCTTATTGTTGCCTCTGGTCCTTCCTATGTTATGTGATAGAGGTAGAATATTGCTAATTGGAATGTCATATTTTTCATTGAGGATTTTCCAAGTTTCAAGCATATCCCCTCTTAAGCGCCTGAACACAAGTGATGGTAACTTTAGGTCCATAAGTCTTTGGGAGTACTCTTTATCTTGGAATCCTGGTATGCATCTCGTAGCTCTCCTCTGGACTGCTTCAATAGCTTCAATATCCTGTATTAAGTATGGTGACCATACAGTGTTTGCATATTCCAAGTGTGGCCTGACCATAGCCTTATATAACATCATCATATTTGAAGGATCCAAAAACTGGAAAGTTCTTCGGATAAGACCAAGAATTTGGTTGGCCTTTTTTACCACCATCAGTATGTGTGTTTTGTTCTTTAAGTCATTCGCCACCATCATTCCCAAGTCTTTTTCACATTCTGATTCCTGGAGAACTGTATTACCCATAGTGTAACTGTAGTCTGGAGAAGATTTACCAATTCTTAGGACCTTGCATTTTTCACTGTTAAATTGAAGTTGCCAATCATTTGTCCAATTCATTAGGGATTGGATGTCTTCCTGTAGCTCGTCACAGTCATCCGTGGTGTTCACTTCCCGGTACAGTTTTGTATCGTCTGCAAACATTATCAGAGGGCTGTTAACAGTCTGGGGTATGTCATTTACAAATACGAGAAACATTACCGGTCCTAAAACGGTTCCCTGCGGGATTCCAGAAGTGACATCTTTCCATGACGATGCTTCTCCATTGATTATTACTCGTTGTTTCCTTAATTGTGAATTTCCACTCTCAGCATTGTCTGTTGAGGCTCGATTCGCGGGGTCGAATTGGTCATTTCCTGTATTTGCTCCGAGGAAGGATTTCAACCACTGGAGGGCATTACCCATAATTCCAAGATTTTCAATTTTCTTTATAAGACGCTCATGGGGGACTTTGTCAAATGCTTTCTTAAAGTCTAGGTAAATTGCGTCTATATTGCTACCACTATCGAGAACTTCAGTCCATTTTTCAGAGTCGTCAAGAGATTGGTTACACATGATCGACACGGTAGGAAGCCATGCTGGCATTGCGTCAAAAGGTTGTTTTCTGATAAGTGTGACAGGATCCTTTCTCTAATAATGGATTCGAGTATCTTACATACTATGGACGTTAAACTTACTGGCCTGTAGTTGGTAGATAGGTTTTTCTTCCCTTTTTTAAATATCGGTGAAATATTAGCTTGTTTCCAATCTTGAGGCAGCGTTCCAGAGTTTGTTGACATCTTGAATAGGAGGTATAGAGGTCTGCATATGGTACACCTGAGTTCCTTTAATATGCGGGGTTTTATCTTGTCTGGCCCGGGTGACTTGTTTGTTCTTAGAAGCTCCAGCTTTTTCATTACTTCATCTTCTGTGAAAGTCCAGGCCTCGATGTAACTTGTTATTCTGATATAGTGACCTGTTGGTATGTTATCCTTGTTCTCCTTGGTAAAGACACTAGAGAAGAATCTATTCAGCTCTTCTGCTTTATCTAAGTCACTAGTTGTTGTTGTGCCATCCTCTCTGTTGAGCTGGGGTATTCCACTCCTTGTTTTCATTTTGCTGTTGCTGTACCCCCAAAATTTCCTTGGTTGGGATTTTGCTGATTTTGCAATATTCCTTTCAAATTCCTTGATAGCTCTAGTTACCTCATTTTTAGCCTGGTTTCTCTCCTTAACGTATTGCTGGTATTCCTCTCCCTTCTTCGTTCTTTGGTATCTCTTCCATGCACCATGTTTCCGTTTGATTTGCGCTAAACATCTCTTATCCATCCATGCTTTTGCTGTTTTTCTAGCCTTGACTTGTGGGACATTTTTACTATAACTTTCGTCCATTCTTCTTTTGAACATGTCCCAGCATTCATCAATATCCTTGTCTTTAAATTCTCTGTCCCAGTCGATGCTCAGTTCTTCCTTCATCTTTTCATAATTGGCCTGGTTCAGTAGGGGGATTAATCGTTCTTGTACTGTAAACTCAGCCTGGTAATGAAGGACAAAACTTATTACTTGATGATCACTTTTCCCTATTCCTGCCTGTATCTCCAGATCTGAAACCATGTCCATTTCATTTGACAGTACTAGATCAAGGATATTATCACCCCGCGTTGGCTCACTTACATGCTGGTAGAGGAAGGTATCATCTACAAGTTCAGTGAATACATCAGCAATTCTTCTGTCAGGGCATCCTGGAGTTGTACAATTTAGTTCCCAGTTTATTCCTGGAAGATTGAAGTCCCCCATAATAAGTAAATGCGTTGGTTTTTTGTCACAATTGTTTTTTATCTGGTCAAATAGGGCTTCTGAGTTTGTTTCCTCGCTTGTTGGGCTTCTATATATACAGCCAATTATTGCATTGTCCTTTCCACAACTCATATTCAGCCATACTGATTCCTTGACGTTATGGTCTGTTTCAAGTTGATGACATTTTAAGTTCTCCTTAACATAAACTATCACACCTCTAGTATTTTCTTGCAGGTTGTTAGTGAAGGGGGTATACCCTTGGAGAGAAATTTGTGCTTCAGATAATTCATAGTCTTTTCTTTTAACATTAACTTCAACAACTCCGATTACATCTGGCTTCATATTATGGACTAACAATTCGAGTTCATCTTTTTTATTCGGAAGACTGTCAATGTTTGTATATATCACTTTCAGTTTATTTACACTATTTACAATATTTACATTACTGTTTTGTCTAGGGGTTACTCGTCCTCGTCCCCCGAATCACCCTCCTGCGTTACAATCAAAAGAGGCGGCTGTTTTGGCAGTTTGTTGATTTCTGGTGCTGGGGTAGGCTGTTCATTAATTGTCGTTTCCTGTCCTCCGCTCTTCTTAGCTTCATTAGATGAAGTATTTCCACGGGGCCTGGCTTGTGCAGTTGTGTTCCTGGGGATTATAACTCCCTTCTTTATGATATAGTCTTTTCCATTATTAGGTAGACTTCTCAGTTCCTCAAGCAGTCGACGTGAATCATCTCTTTCAAGGGGTGTCATATCAGGCTTAATGTATATGTCTCTGTAGTTGTCCCCTTTATTCCTCAACGATTTGGCATTACGTAGGATTTCATACTTATCCCTTGTTTCTTTAGTGACTACTAGCAGTGGTCGAGTTTTGTTCGGGGCTGGTTTTCCTAGACGGAATGATTTCTCAAGCTCGACTTCTAATTCAAGTCCATCCGCGATAAGGTCATCTGCTTTCTTTGTATCATCCAACAATCTTTGACGTGGTGTGCTGGCTTTACTTTCTGGAATATTAAATATGACTAGATTGTTTTTGCGTTTTTCCCTTTCAGCATATTCACGCAGTGATGCTGTTACATTTGTATTGGCTGGCTGAGGGGGCACATGTTCTGATTCAGTATTACTTTGAGTGGAATTGCTTTTCTCGGAATTGATTTGGGGTGATACCTTATCCTGCTTCCCCTGTATGTCGGCTAATTTTGTTGTTATTTCTCCGAGAACTGTTGATATTTGCTGTAATTGTGTCTCAACAAGGGGATCAGTTAAATTTGAGTCATTTGTTTTTGGTCTTGCCGATCTTGATGCTTGAACTGACTGATCTACAATGGGACTACATTGTTTACAGTACCAATGAATATTTTTGTGCTTTTGAAGAATTCCAATCAGATTTAGGGACAGGTCTTGGCATGTGATACAAGCCCATTTCAAACAACGCTCACACTGGATTTCTGCGGGTGGTTTTTTACAGAATTCACATGGATAGTCAATAATTACCTTGCCAACTCCCTCTCCGTCACCTTTGTCTTTCCTCTTGGTGTCTTTTTTTACCTTTACCTTGTTGTTTTTTGCAGCTTTCGTCGATGAACGTGTATTTTTTCTTTCACCGGAAGTGGACTCATTTTCTGCAGGTACCTTTTCGGCAATATTTTGCGACATTTCATTTTCAATCTCTGAATCCGATCCCTTTTCACTATCTTTTGCGATTCCAAGATCACTAAGAACAATATTCCCTAGAAGATTTACACTTGAATGTCTTACTCTTGGAGAATCTTTTGAAGCCATATTTAACAAGACCTTGGATGGGGCAGAGATATTTATGAAGAAGAATGAACTCTGGGAATTTTCCTCTTCTGTGTTATTACAAGTTGTACACAAGAAACTTTGCAAAACAACAAATTCGAACATGAACAATTTATTTCAATTTCTTACCTAAAAGTTAGACCAACTAAGGAGGGCAAAATGTGTATTCTCGGTATCGTCATGGGCCCACATTTTTGTTCGAACTTCTGATTAAGTTTAACCCGAAATCCATAATCAGGTACTCCAGATATTTGACGCCAATCTTTGGGCAAATCCTTCGAATTTCCTTCCAACATTTTTTATTGCTTACACTGTTTTCAGTGACGTCACATATTTTGATGTGCATTATTAGTGACGTAACACACACTTCCGGTTCAAGAAAAGTTGAAATTTTCGGAAATTTTTTGATTTGGCACTTATTTGGGCCAAGGGGCATAATATCAGTGTCAAATTGGTACAAAGTTAACTTCTGGTAAGTGAAACTATACATCGCCAAAAGTGATTCTGGCGATGCATCGATGTCTGGAACATCGATGTTTAGACCTAAACTCTGTTAAAGCATGATAAAAGGCAAGAAGTTTAGTTAGAAATAAAAGAGTTATCTAATGAATGGGACCCTTACATGGCTCCTAAAAGGTAGAAGACACTAAATGGTGTAACACTATAAGCTGAATTTTGTCCACATAGAGCATGTGCACAATACTAAAGACATGTAAAATTGAACTGTCAAAAGAACTGAAATATACTTACCAGCTCGCCTCTTCCGGAAGTTATGATACGTTATGGTGTAACTACGGTAATTAATTTTAAGATATTGAAAAAATCAACAACATTCAATTTCTAGGGTGTACAACCATTTTCGAGCGAATTTGCCGATATAATAACAATATTTTTTAGTTCCCCTAGGCTATATATAAACTTCATCAATACACAGTATATTCAACATAGGTTTTGCTTCTCGATTTTTAAATATCACTATGCAAAGACAGGGACTCATTTTAGGTAAAATAATTGCTTCACCAATGAAAATTAAAGGGAACGTTAGCTCACAAAATAAATAAATCTATTACAATGTTAAGTATATGATTTGAAAGATTGTCTGGATTATATGTGTGATCGATTGATGCATAAACAAACATATTCATTTCAACTTGCAGACCTCCATTCTGGCTCATGTATAGGCCTAAGACGCCATATTGCCTTATGTATTGTACTGCCCATGCGTGCATACTTAATGCGTGACGTCACATCGACAGAGATCAGCGATCAAGTTTGACTAAAAAATTAAAAGATCCACACTTAACAGCACAAAAATGATATCAATGAATGCCTATTTCATATCAAATATTAGTGTAGGATGTAAGGTTTAAAATTTTTCATGTTATTTAGTATTTACAGAAGCAGAGCTTGTAAAGAAACCAAGTTTTAAATTCCGATTTTGACTGTTGATAAAAATAAAGAAAAGAGAGAAAGAGGCGACTTGTTAGAAACAATGACATGAAATTGTGAATAAAAAAGATATTATTGTGGGTTTTATTTTTTGAGAGTTCATCAAATACACTCATGTGTATTAATTTAAATATGTATTGTAATACCTCTCAGTTCTACCAAAGATTATAAAAACTGATCGAAATGGCTTCGTTTTTCAAGTATAAAAGACAATACCCTACCCGGAAGTAGTATAACATGTATATTGTAAACTGTAAATCACGTGAATTGGCTGATGCAATCAGGATGTGACAAGTGCAAAGTAACTATGATGCAATCAGGATATGACTTGTGCAAAATAATTGGCTTCACCTAGAATTCGCGATCTTTGCTCTTTAGCATAACATGAAGACATGTTTTGTGTTTAAGCAGCTAGATTCAAATACAAACTAAATGAATAAAACATAAACCAACCATCATTTGTTCCAATCATGGCGAATTTTCAAGGAAATATGTGTAACTGAATGTAAATCAACAGCGGAGCTCTTCAATTATGAGGTTAGAAAAATGTAAAAATAAAAACAAAAATAAATCTCACAGAATAGAGCTATTTATACGATTCTAAGTACATTTTAAGTGCTCCATACATTAATGTAAGTATAAAAGCCATTAACCTCAACTGGGAAGCACTTTCCAACTATTTTTACGGCTTGAATTGTAAGAAAATGGCACTTATCTCAAAAATTGTGAAGATGAAGTTTATATATATCTGTATATGGGGGTGCGAAAATATAGTCATAGCATGGGCTAATTCGCTTAAAAATGGCGATACATACCTCAGAACTTGTATTTTGTGATTTTTTCAATATTTTAAAATTAATTACCGTAGTTACACCATAACGTATCATAACTTCCGGAAGAGGCGAGCTGGTAAGTATATTTCAGTTCTTTTGACAGTTCAATTTTACATGTCTTTAGTATTGTGCACATGCTCTATGTGGACAAAATTCAGCTTATAGTGTTACACCATTTAGTGTCTTCTACCTTTTAGGAGCCATGTAAGGGTCCCATTCATTAGATAACTCTTTTATTTCTAACTAAACTTCTTGCCTTTTATCATGCTTAACAGAGTGTAGTAAAAATCATTTTTTCTCATCCCTTTTTCCCAGAGACATGTTTTATATATCTCTGCTTTTTCCCGCAAATGTATTACATTTCTCATTCTTTAGTTCATTTCTGTATGTTCTCTGATATTTTCTTACTTTAAAAATGTCTAAGCTTGCCGAAATGAACCAATGACCTTCAGTACATCGTAACCGGAAGTACTGAAGTACTATTACTTATTTGTTGCGTTCAGTATTTTAGTGCATTTACGTGCTGTATTTTAGAGGACTTTTTCTCTGATCTTTTCCCGATGTACATCGATGTATGTCGGTTTATTCCTGAAAATTGCCAATGTACGCGACAACACTAACTTAGGGTTTACAGTTTTTTAGGCGGGGCTGCCCCGACCCTAATGTCTTTAACTATCGGAGTTTAATAGGGTCATTAGGAGCAGGGATCGTCCCAGATTAGAATTCATGAACTTCATGAAAAAATTTTAATTTTGAGCCCAGCGTTACTTAGAGGAGTTAATTTTTTTAAATACCCACTTAGTTAGTATATGCGATATGTTTGTCACAATGTAATCTTGTATGATGAATTGTTAAACTTACCACACTTTTGTTGTTGAACATGGTGTCATTACGCTGATTTGATTGAACATGGGCTTTTAACAGACTCTTGAAAGCCCATAGATTGTAAAATCACGACTTGTTGAAATATTTTTTCAAATAGACCCACTTTTGGAAGCATACAAGATTTTGCCGAGATGATAGTGTATACTTGGAAAAGTCAATGACCCTGGTAATTCCTCACATTAATGTGCCTAACAGTTTTTACCCCCCACTTCAACCCTATATACAAAAAGGGTCACTCCTGAAATAACCACTACTCTCTATTTCTTGGATATCTCACATTTCATCCCTTCTTGTGGTCCGATGTTTGATTATATCCAATTCTTTGTGGTGCTTTAATCAATGCCACCTTTTATAGTCTCTGGTGCTGATCTTTACTTTGTACTATCACTGATGTGTTTTACTCTGTTGTTTTTTACACAGTTTATTTTTTGTTTTTATTGCTTTTACTTTAAATCCTTATCTACACTTTTTTTATCTACAGTTTAAGGCCTACTATGTATATTTTCAACACTCTTTGGCAAAAATAAATATTTAATTTTTGACTTCATAGTACTTCCAATGGATTGATAAATACTTTATCTTTTAAAAACACCAAAAAACAGATTAAATGGACCACATCAAGGCTTACAATATATTATCAATTTTTTTTTACTATTTACAAGTGTAAATAATGCATTTTTATGTTACCATCACAAGTGGCGTTTGGCATTCAGAACCTGTAACAAATAACAGGTGGTGACATTTTGCTCATTAATGCTTTATTTCATTGTTCAACATTCTCTACATAGATTTTTAATTTTTTGATTATTGTCATATGTACCCACTACCCAATGGTGTTTACACTATGACAATCAGACCATTAGAAGGGATTTTATGTTGAGATATCCAAATTGAGATTACCAATTTATGCTGAGTACCACATATGCAAGAGAGGGGAAAGACTTACTTCTTATGCATTTAGTTACAAGTATTCCTTGCACTGGAGACAAGCAGGGGAGAAAGAAATTATTCTCATCCATAAATATTAAATTTACCTTTACTTTGAGAGGACTGCAAATAGGTTCATAATATTTAGCCAGTATTTGATCAAACATACTGCCTCCAGTCTCTGTAACTTGTGCATTGATTCCCAGATAAACATGAAATTGAGAGCTTTTGTATAAGTATTTCCAGTAAGAAAATGTATTTGTTTTCATGGTCTTACTTATTTTTAAACTTTACATTATGTATTTGAATTACAGGTTATTATATTGTTCCACAAGTCCAGCAGAGAACCATAATGTTGAAGCTACTCTTTACATCAAGATATTGTGCTAGACAGTTCACATATTCCACATGTCAGCAGTGGTCTGCTTGCTTGTATGGTTCTCCTACAAGATCTTACAATGGAACACCCACTGATGAGGGTGAACTGGACCAATTGGAGCATATGCTTACCAAAGAAGATAAAAGAGAAACTCGGAAAGAGTACAAAAGGTACAGCATATTATTCTTTAAAGTAGCAGCAAAGAAGAGAATGTAAAGGACTTAGTTGCAATAAGGTGAACTAGACTGAACGCATTTCTCTCTTAAACCTGAGTCATAAAAAAATTCTGAAAATTTTACACATCAATGTTATGGTCATCTTTGAATGGTAACAATTAATTTGAAAATATTTATCCACTATTTTGTATATATTTTTTTGTTTTTCAAATATCACTGTTTCTCATGGGAGGTGTTCACATTTCAATTTTTTATTTTTTTAACATGGGAGTCAATGGGAGGAAAAAATGGGACCGAAAAAAAGTGGTCAGATTGGGAGGTATTTGGATTAGCCAGGTGTTCAGATATACAGGTACTTCTGTATACACAATTGGAATGTATTTAGGTCTCTCATATTGTTATTATACAGAGAGTTTGTTTCAGAATAGTTATCTTAAAAAATAAAATAAAATGTATACTTTAATTTTGTCTATTTTGGGGGTATATTTTTTCAATAAACTTTCCTTTGTATAACTGCAATATTGAGAAATGTAAGTACACTAAATGTATATGCCATTTTGTTTTAACAAGGTTCGAATAGATATTTTATTTAAGCCTTGGACTCGGTGCATTGTGTGCTGAACCATTCCATGAAGATGTTGTTTCCAAATCTTTGCATGACCCGCAGGGGGAATGCAAAGTTTAGGGAACAACATCTGAGTGGAATGAAGCAGCCACAATGCATTGAGTCTTGGGCTTAAATTCTTTTCACACATTGCAAAATATTTTCTATAAAATCACCTAAAGATACAAAATCACTAAAAGAACCTATTTTCAATGAAACTTTTTGCAAGGGTCAAGTATTGGAAAACAATCTCAAATAATCTCAATCGCAATCGCTTAGCAACTGTACACAACAAATGCGATATTGATATTTCACACACTGTTCATTATGTGAATACTCTGTTCGGATTGGCTGGAATCAGACACACCTTGCCAAGCTATGTGTGAATTCAAACTCAAGAATTGGTAGAAAAGAACAAAAAACAATTGCACTAAACATTAAATTGTTGTCAAGCGGTGACTATTACTTTCAGGATATTTTTTACAATTTTTTTTTCAATAATTGGTTTAAAAGAAAAACTACGTTGAACTAAGGTCACCATATTACTACCAATCCTTTCGAAGCTGCTGATGCTTAATGTTATTTTTTATCTTTCAATCTCAATTTTGCCTTTAACACAATCAAATTGTAAATCATGTGTTACGTAAACTAGGGTTCAGAAATATTAGAGTTTTATACCAGACTATAAATTAACATGTACCAGTAACTATTTACATACATGTAATTGTATATGATGGTGAAGTCTTGATTTCAGAACATAAGTTCAATATTTAAATATGTTATTGTTTCAGGTTGAATGAAGCAGATCAAGCAATCAGAAAACGAAAGACAATTGAGAGAAAACACTTCAGAAAACCTCCTGAAATTTCACTCCTCACATATGCTGCCAAAGAACAAATACGGTTCTTGTTCAATGAGTACCCTAATGAATGGACTATTGATCGCTTAGCAGCAAGTTTTCCTGTTTCAAGAGAAGGGGTTATAAAAATTATAAAATCGAAATCTGTAAGGAAAAGTGAAGAACAAATTCTCCAGCATGATTTGCGTGTCAAAGAGAATTGGAAGACACTGAAGGATGGGAGGTCAGATATGGGTGGACCAATTACGGTGAAATATCAAGAGCTGATTTCTAGTGGAAAAATGAATCTTCTTCAGTATTGTATGGGAAACAGTAGTCTTCCCAAACCTCTTCAGAATTCTGTTACCAAGGTTACAGCATTGGAAGCAAGAAAACAAAGGCCCCCGGGGGTGTTTGAATCAATTATTAAAGACTATTGCAAGGAGAAAGATGCAAAGAAACAGAGTGATAAAATTCAAAGCATTATGAGCTCACAACTATTGGATAATGATGAGGAACTTAAATCTGTGCTAAAATCATTAATTCCCCCAAATTCAAAGGTCCAAATAACTTCCGGTGTCAGTAACAAAATGATAGAAGCCAAATATGAAAACATTGTTGACCAAATTGAACGTGACACAAGTTTATCAACTAATAAGCATGACATAAAACAGTCAAACATCGTTATCACTCAAAGTTTTGACAATATGCTTGATGACACAGGTATGTCCAAAAAGGAAAAGAAAGTGAAAAAGTATCATCGTGGGTTGTTGAGTTCCCAAAGAAATCTCATGTCATTGGAACAAATGCAACTTCAAGGAACTGGGAAGATCGGGTCTGATAAATCAAAGGAAGAAATCCAGAACTTACAAAGAGAAAATAAAATTCTAGGGCCTCAAAAAATGTCAAAGTTTGCACCTGATAATTTAAGTGAACAAGTTCGAAATTCAGTGCAGATTGATCAGTCCCCTAGTGGTACGAAAACACCATATATGTACTCCAGTCAAGATGGATACCAGTATCCATATGGAATGGAATCCACTGATGAGGAATTCATTGAAATACCAGAGAACAAACAAGAACCTGGTAAACTCTATAAAAAAGGTGATAAATATTATGACCATACCGGGGAATTACTGTATAGAGTTCCTGAATATTGAACTTGCTAAACATGTACTTCAAGAAAACACTGTACTTGGAACTGATTTCAAATTTTTACTGCCAACATATAGAAACATGTAATGAGTTCCAACGTATTTCTGCCGATATCTGTTACTATAGCAACACATTGAAGGTCAAAAAAGTGTTAATGCATTGTTTTTAAAAACATGGAACCTACACAAACATTTATTCCTTTGAATGATTAACCTCTTGAATACGTGAAGTGACGAGATTTCTCGTCACCTCAGAAATGACCTTGAAACCCAGAGTGACGAGAAAATCAGTCACAAAAGTTTTCACTGATATTGCTTTTATTTTAAAAATTTTCATCCAATTTACACAAAAATTGTTTTAAAATGTGTAGAAATGATCTCTGCCATCTAATTTTACTAAGTTGAGCATCTTAAGTTGTATAGGTAAGAAGTAAAATGTCACAAGAACACAAATGTGTACAATATGTCCCCACCTATGGGTAATCCTGTCAAATGATTATCCTAAAAATGAGTAGACAAGACTTTACCGACACAAAATGGCCATCTTAAAATTTACCAAGAATGACAAAAAATTAGTCAGTTCTAGATTTTCATACTAAGAATCACCCCTGAAAATTTGAAATTGATCCCTCACACAGTTAACCAGAAAACATGTAAACAAGACGTTACAGACAAGATTTGAGGACAGAAAATCCAAAATGGCTGCCTTGACATTTATCCAGAATGCCAAAAACTAATCTGTTCTAGATTTTCATACTAAGAATCATCCCTGAAAATTTAAAATTGATGTACCAAACAGTTCACCTGGAAATGTGTAGACAAGACTTTACAGACAAGATTTTAGGACAGAAAATCCAAAATGGCTGCCTTGACATTTACCCAGAATGCCCAAAGACTAATCAGTTCTAGATTTTCATACTAAGAATCATCCCTGAAAATTTGAAATTGATCTACCAAACGGTTCACCTAAAAACGTGTAGACAAGACTTTACGGGCAAGATTTTAAGACGGAAAATCCAAAATGGCTGCCTTCACATTTATCCAGAATGCCGTAAAAATTATCAGATCTAGATTTTCATACTGAGAATCATCCCTGAAAATTTGAAATTGATCTACCAAACGGTTCACCTGAAAATGCGTAGACAAGACTTTACAGACAAGATTTTAGGATGGAAAATCCAAAATGGCTGCCTTGACATTTACCCAGAATGCCCAAAAACTAATCAGATCTAGATTCTCATACTAAGAATCATCCCTGAAAATTTGAAATTGATCTACCAAACGGTTCACCTGAAAACGCGTAGACAAGACTTTACAGACAAGATTTTAGGACGGAAAAATCCAAAATGGCCGACAATAAAAAAGTGATTATGAGTTTTTGCTGAAATCTTTTTACAAAATTATCACATATACCTACTGTTAACAATAACATAAGCTTTTACAACAAAGTACACCTGAAATTATTTATAAAGCTACTAAAAAGTTAAAGCATGAAAACTGAAAAACACCATTCAATATGATAGAAAGTATTATCGTGCGCTAACTTTTCTTAAAACATTCAAAATGGCTGACATGACTGAGCTAACAGGTCCAAAACCTAATCAGATCTAGAATGAAGTGAGCTGAACAAGATGTTAAAGTTTTAAAAGCAACTGTGAAGCCGTTTTTCTTAAAGTTTGCAGACAAGGATTTTAGCATTTGACTTCAAAATGGCCGACAGGAAGTAGGTATCGAGTTAATTTTTTTTCATCCACATCTGTATGCACTCATAAATTATCCCTGAAAATTTGAAGGTGATATCTGCAGCGGTTTTGGAGAAAACTCCCGGACGTACGGACAGACAGACGGACGGACAGACGGACGCGCCTAGGCCGACAATATGGCCCCACACTATGTGGTGGGGACATAAAAAGGTGGCAAAAATGAAAAATTCTCTGATTTCATTCTATTTTAGAGCCTGGGATTCAAGAGGTTAAACTGCAAATTAAATTCAACTGCTCAATGATGTAATTTATTAATTTTGTATGATGGGTGCTATTTTATAGTAATATAATTGTAATCACCAAGAATAAATGAGTAAAAATAATAAACTATTTTTTTAAATACAAATGACTTCTTTGTCACTCTCTCTTTGTGCCAATATTGGATATTTTCAAACATTGGATAAGTTTAATTCCAGTGGGTTTAATCCAAGCTAGGTAATTAAAGATATTCTTTTTCGGGACCAACAGTTCTGCTTATGAGACACACCATCCCAACCTGATTGATGTAAATGTTCAGACAGAAGAGAGGTCAAGTTACACATATTTGAAATAATATATTAAGAACTTGTAATATTATGATCCCTGGGGATGTCTATTTTTCCTTTTTATTCATAATATTATCTAAACAAATACAGTTTAAAGACTTTTTTAATCATATTAAAATATATTGATCAAAACTGAAATTAGTAATTAATTTAAAATAAATATGCATTATAAAATTACATGTAAAATACAGTCATGTCAAAATCTTGGTATAAAATTAGAAAACTTCTGTTATGAGTTACACAAACAATATGGGCTTAGTACATGTATCCCCATCTGTATAGACAGGGTATGCCATACACCATTAAAATCATCATTTACTTCTGAAGTTTTACCACCTTCAAATCTACTAGACTAAGGCCAGACAAATTTGATCTTATGTTTACCATCTGTGTGTATGAATATTTTTTCACTTTACTCAACAATACTTAGTTCATGTTAAAGTAACAAACTTTTAATTAAGAGCCTGAAATACTACATGAGAAATATTTGTTATCATTCTAACTTGCACAACTTTGATACAAAATCTTCTATTAAATATGGAAGCTCAAATTTCTGGCATGCACTTTCCTAACAGATTTGGATACTCACTAAACAAGTTTATCAGTTTTAATATTTTCAGATAAAAACCTTTCATAGCATATGGTTTAATTTACATAGTTTGCATGCCATGAATGTATTTCTTTGACCATGTTGAATTGGTAGTTATTTACAGGTTGGATCACTTTAAATGTGATACTGTAGTTACATTTGGCAATAGATTAATGCCACTTGAAAATCATAATCATACGTCATCAAAATCACAAAATGACAGCACACTAAAATATAAAACATATCGTGCTAAACGTCATGGCTAAAAATACATGTACTGTACATTGCTTATACAGGATGACCAAAAAGCAGAACCCTAACCCTTTATTCAAGGATTTGTGAGTTCTGTTCTTGGGTCACCCTATAACTGGAAACAATTAACAAATTCAATAATAATCACCACAGTCACTGAATTATAAAAAAAATATTACTAAAATATTATTTAGCTGCTTTAAGCATACCTCTGTCATGGTTGTATGTCATAAGTAAGAGGAGGGAAAGCCCCAGAGTTTCAAGATGACAGACATAATTACCTCTCTTGCTTACCACCTTCGTTCGTTCGAATTTTCATCGGCTAGTTATCAAATACTACACTTCGATGGGATGTTATAATTGATATAGGCATATTCCGTACACCTTTCTTTATCTTGATGTGAAATGAGAAGCTATGATATTGGTTAACACGCCAGAAATGAACATAATATTATTCGAAGCGTATTTCGAAAATTTTGAAACCGCCATTGATGACGTCATTTGTTTGTCGACTTTTGACCAATCAGCGACCGTGTCATCTCAATACAGATTTACATTATAAGCGTATGTCATCTTTGAACCCTGGTGTTTCTCCCCCTCTGGTCATAAGTTAGACCTGTTTAAAATAAATTAAATAATAAATTCCAGTTGACTGGCATTATACACTATATATACAGTCTTAAAATATGTGTATTGTCATGGTATGAATTCATATTCAAATTCATATGAGGACACTATCCTGATACAGTGCAGTTTAGACTAGAAATTAAAGCAAATAATAGTTCTATATAAATATATATGGAAGCACTGTCGTTTACCCAAAAAAATGATATAGGCCTAGTAGGTTTACCAAAGGTACAGAAATGCATGATAATAATGTTCAACAATTTTCAGTTTTCTTTCCTTGAGCCCTCCTTGATAGACAACAGTAACTAACCATTGGTCAATCTACTGAAGGTTGCTTGATAAAATATAAAACATCTGTAAGAGACACATCATAATGTACCCAACTCCCACCTTCATGTTTATCCCCCTTTATGTCTTGCCATGTACCAACAGGCAAATAAACCTGCTTGCTTGTAGCACCTTGTTCAAGCACAGGCGCGACTAAAAGGTCGCTTCCTATCAAGAATTGATCAGAAACTGTCAAAGCAACATCATCATTTGGAGCAATCCACCATATTGGATTTATCAATTCTGAACCATCAGTTAAATTTGACTCGATATATTTGATCGTTTGTAAAAGTTTGGGTATAACAATGTTTTTACGTATGAGCAACAATTCGGAAGCAATCTCTAGTACCAGCTTGTTGTTATGAATACAGTACCATGGGGGTACTGATAGGTGGAGCACAGGAAGGAATATTGACAACTGAAACCAGCGAATAAATAATTCACTATCTGAGCAGGAATTATCTGTGAATCCTCCTACAGATGGAGGAATCACAAATGTTTTCCCAATTGCGCTATGAGCGAGAATTGCTGGAATGACCCCTTTGATCCCATTGGTTCGATTCCAAGATGACATCATAGGACTCATTTGCATAAAGATGGGAATGCTTTGCTGCCCATAATATGAGCTTGTCACAACCTTGGAATTAATACTCGATGCAATGTGACTGAGACTGTTTGAAAACTGACTCGGAGATGTCTCACGAGAGTGGAAATGAGGTTGATATGGTAATGAGCGAACTTGCCCATATTTGAACACATATGAATCAATCCCATATGAGCGCGCTAGTGTCTTTAATCTATCTATGAACCACTCCTGGGTTGTGTTATAAGTGAAGTCCAAGACTGCAACAATATTGCTATCAAGAGCTGTCAGACCAGGGACAACTCCACTTGCATCAGATACCAAAAGGTTTTGCCGAACAGTTTCATGGAAAATCTCACTCTCAACTGCAATAAAAGGTGTCACTGCTATGTTAATCTCAAATCCTAAATTCTCTGCATGGGCCAGAATTTGTCTTATATTCTCAAATCGTGCATTATCAAACTCAAGGTCACCTTCCACACCCTGCCAGCCTTCCTCTATAATAACAGTGCCGAGTTCATCTTCTGTCTCTTCTGAATGCTTTGCAATTTCATTGATGAATGAATTCAGATCGCCAGAAGTAAGATTTCCTCCATAAACTGCAGCCGTTGACCATACAGGGTGTGTTATGTATTTTGTATTGATTTCAGATGCGCTGGAGTTTGAGCTTTGATGATTTTTTAAAAATCCTTGTATTGTTCTTGGACTATTATCTCCTGCACTACATATCGTGTATCTCATTGATGATGTCTCACAATTGGAAGCATATGACACATTATCACATTTTGATGAAATGCACATTTCACCACTGTCAGCTGCATTCTTGGAATCATGGGAAATGCTGATGTATAGTGGCAATGACTGGTCCATTTGAATGGAAACGCCATTGCTATTGAACCAACTTGGATTTAAAACGGACCCAAATTCGTCTCCATCTTGAATTCTACCTGTCAAAAAGGAAGCACCATCCACTGTTTTATTTTCCAAGGGGTATGGATAACCATTTATGGTACCCCCTCCATACCAATGAGCATTTCCAAATTTAAAGCAATCCGTTAAATCATAATCGTAAACAAGGCTCCAGTTAATATCATAACACTCAATTGTTTTATCTTTGTAACCATGGTTACTTCTGCTTACGTTTAATTGTCCAATCTCCAAAAAACCAAGGCAAAGCTCATTAAGATTTTCATCTCTTTCTTCTTCCAAGGGAGCACAACCAACTGGATTTGTTTGCGGTAACCTAGTTCCTAAATCAGCATAAAGCACGATTTCTCCTTCAATATTGTCTAATATTAGCCTTCTGGATCTTCTCCCTAGTTTTAAATGGTCACCCAATCTGATATTGCCATTGGTATTTGGGTGGAAATACCATATAAGGATAGTGCTGACTATGATCACCACAGATAGAACCATAACAAATATCTTCAGTTTATATTCACGTGGTATCTTAGTGTAGGGGGTGATGTTACTGCCAGATTCAGGGAGTTCAACCTGAAGATAAAAGACAAAAAAATAAAGATAAACCAATTACAATTTTCTCTAAACAACATTCTAGGCAGATTTAACTGGTCAAAATATGCCACCAATTTTAAAGTGGGTTTAAGTTCTTTTTCAAAGTTGGTTTCGATGTCTTTCTCTGCAAGTAAAAGATCGCCTTGGCTGTAAGCATCTAAAAATATTGTAAATTGTGACAATTTTTTTCAAAATTAATTCTCAGTGCACCTCAGAAAAAGCATGAAAACAAGGCATTAACATGCAAAATGTCACCACCCACCATTTGTTACAGATGCCGAATGCCGTTTACCAGACGCCAACCTCTGAACACCATCACAAAAAAGTTGGAGACCATTTTATTACAATACTTCACCACTATTGGTAGTGACATAATGAACAATGTGTTTATATTATTACCTTTATCCAACTGTCATCTACACTGAGCTGATGTGTCACAATTGGTCTTGGGTAGCTACATCCTTTCTTCTCTCCTGATTCATAATCCTTCTTTCTTAATCCATAACCATTTTTGTCCTTGCCATGACCAGATCTTTTCTCATTTTCCAGTTTATTTTCAGTCTTACTAGTTTGGCGCTTAGTGACCTTTCTTGTGTTGCTTGCATTGTTTTGAGGTTTTGTAGGTAGTGCTGTCGCAATAGCATCGGCAGCTATAGTGTTGGCTCCCATAGACCCATCATGTGTCATAGGGAATAATGTTTCACCAATGATATCTTCTGGGGAATGAGTCTGACCATTGAATATTAGGTCTTCCGTTGATTCACCCCTTTTCATTTTGATTTATGGTGGTTAAAGATTTCATTTATATTTGGTCAAATTTGGAGTAATCATAATGCACCATATTGTTTGAGATCATCATCCAAGTGTTTCTTCACCATTCATTCTGAGAGTTCCTGAAATCAGAGTAAATGTTTACAAAGACAAACTTACCAACAACCCCCCCTCCCCCAGCGTCTAATTTGGGAAAAAACACATCCTTATATTTGGCTTGTCAATTTTCAAGCCTGGCCTGATATTAAAGTGCAACATAAAGCCACCCCTCCTATATAAGGGGGGGGGGTATTCTGTAGGAACAGAATTTATGACACGCCGGCCAGCTTTTTTCAAATGGAGTTCACAATATTCCAGATGAATTACCTGGCTAGAGACTCGAGTAATTCCTGCCCACCATTTTTCCTATTCCGAAGTGTTTCTTTGATTAGTTTCAGTAATGAAACGCTCCGTCGTGGATGTGAGAGCGTTTGGGTTGGACACTGTGAAACTGCGGTATACATAACTAACTATGTTTGTCATCTCTGAGAGTGAGGACTGGCAAAAGGACTTGATGCAGCTCCCTATACCTTATCAAAAATCCGAACATGACTGTATTCACACCTTCTATAAACTGTCAACAAAGTCAACATTTCATCCGGGATATATTCGCGATCAATACCCCTGGTAATATGTGTAATGTGTGACGTCATAACGGTGGGTCATAGTAATGGCGGACCATGATGAATATTCGAAACATTTTGGGGAGTTTTCATGTTCGAATCGTAATATAGACCTCAGAGCAGGGGTAATATTGTTGAATACACCCCTTAGGACTAAGCACAAAGACTTTCTAACCCCTCACTCCATTCGGTCGTTCTGGTTACAGAAAGCATTTGTGCCTAGCCGTGCGGGGTGTATTCGACAATGTAACCCCTGCTCTTCGGCCTATATTTCTTAATTATAACATGACTGTATTCACACCTTCTATAAACTGTAAACAAAGTTAACATTTCAACCGGGATATATTCGCGAAGAATACCCCTGGTAATACGTGTAATGTGTGACGTCATAACGGCAGTTCTTAGTAATGGCAGACCATAATGAATATTCAAAACATTTTGGTGAGTTTTCATGTTCGAATCGTAATACAGACCTCAGAGCAGGGGTGATATCGTCAAATACACCCCTTAGAGCTAGGCACAAAAGCTTTCGAACCCCTCACTCCATTCGGTCGTTCTGGTTACAGAAAACATTTGTGCCTAGGCCTGCGGGGTGTATTCGACAATGTAACCCCTGCTCTTCAGCCTTCTTAATAAAGTCACTGATCAACTCTGAAATTAAAAAAACTTCAGACTTTGCCAAAACTTTTGCTTTGTGAGCCATGGGAAAAAGTCCCTTCACTGTGGTAGCCTGGGCATGGAAAGTGAAAACAATAGGATACAAAAAATTAACATTTGATACAAACCATCGATGTCACAAATTCGATATAGTAGATAATGGAATAAAAAACAAATACTTGCATGTTGCTTTCCAAATGTTTTTCCTGGGTGAACTTTGACCCCAGCTTTTAACCTACCGGAAATTAACGATCATTATTTTTTCTAATGTAAAGCAAACAAAAATGTTTAAAAGGCAATACTTGATCAGACTTATATAATTGAAGTATAATTTGATATAATTATTATAAAGTTGATAAAATAAATCAACAAAAAAGTGTTCGGCTGTTTCCGTAATTTATGCTAATGAGGCGATTCGGCAAAGAAAGCGTGGAACAAGCATGGCCGCTCCAAATAACTACTTTGGATTCACCCCTGGTGGCACCCAGTACAGGTATTTTATACACTCTTTTTATTTTTAAGTAGCAGCCAATATATCATAGATTATAAATGAAACTATTTATTGGTTCTAAACTGCCGATTGCTCTCGAAAATGGTAGATGAAGTGATGACCTTTGTTCAATTTTCTGATTTTTTCCGGCTCAATTTTTCAACAATTTTCGTCGTTGAATTTATCACACAATTGCTTCTGTTGCCAAATTTCTTTTACGTTAAATTAATACCCTGGTGTAACAATAACATTTTGTATCTATGGTGGCACATGAAAGAGAAATTTAACCAAAGCGCAAATATTCATGGAAGCATTTTGTCACAAATTGGACACTTCCGGTTTCCTAGATTTCATTAATTCTTTGGATTCTATTTCAGTGCTCAACCAGCAACAGCCTACCCTACAGCCCAACCTGCATATGTAGCACAACCAGCCACTCATCAGGCAGCCTATGCTGCTGCTCCTAGAGCAGCTGCAACTTATGAGACGTATCAGACTGCCCCCGCTACAAGCCAGTATGCATACACAACAACACGAGCCCAGGTCCCAGTACGTATCAAAATGCATTTATTTATTTCATGAGGTATATGAGAAATGACCTTTCTTATATGCCCCACCTACTTTCTTTTGATTTGTGATCCTGAAGACCCTGGACGTAAGATTTCTCATATCATCATAACCTACAAAATCACCTGTACTGGACTTGTTGTTTACAAGACATATATTTTATCCCGATCAATTTGAAACTAAAAGCTAAATTATACCACGTCATAATTATGCCCAATTTCAATGCTTTGGCTTAGAGAGGCTTATGGTGATTATTACCACCAGTTCATTAAATGAATTTCCAGAAATGTAATGCATATCTATGATGTTTATTTTATATTCAACAGGCTGCGACATATGATACAACAAAGACATTCTACCAGCCAACTGCCCAGCCTGCATACACAGTCGCTGCAGAGACCCATTATCAAACAGCTGCCAAGCCTGTCTACTCAACAAATACATCCTACCAGACAGTCAGCCGTGCCACCACTGTACATAAAACTGTTCCTGTAGCTTCAAGCGCATCAACATATGTCTACCCAAGTACAACAGCATCGTCTGCAACACCTGCTGCTACGACATACGGAGCCACTTCAACATCATACACCAGCCCTACAAGTCAGTCTTCTAAAAATTACTCCGGTAATCTTCATTAAAGATTTAAAACTCAATGTTGTCTGTCTTGTTGAAGATTAAGTCTTTTGCTACTTTTATTAAGGTTTAAGCAATTTTATTTATACCATTAATCCAAAAAGCTAATGGCTAATTGTTGTCTGCTATTGTAGATGAACATCCAATTATAAAGTGTAATTTTAGGTTATGATGCTGCATTATATTCTGCTGCAACTTCATACTACCAGAGTAAGCAGGCTCCAAGTAGCACAACAAATTTTACTAAAAAGCCCTACATCAAGACAGCCAAGCCAAAGATCCCACCCAAGCCCCCACAGCTACACTACTGTGATGTTTGCAAGATCAGTTGTGCTGGTCCTCAGACCTACAGGGAGCATCTTGAGGGGCAGAAGCATAAGAAAAAAGAAGCGGCAGCTAAGGCTGGAACCGCCCAGTCATCAGCTAGTCGAGGTCAAAATCAATTGAAGTGTGAATTGTGTGATGTTGCATGTACTGGCTCTGATGCATATGCTGCACATATCAGAGGAGCAAAGCATCAAAAGGTAAGGTTAATTGGAATACATAGTCTCTACTGCCCAATTCGTCCATTTGTTACCTTGCACTTTTGAGAGTTAAGTGCTTCAAGAACATATATCTATTTTCTTCTCTTTACTAATCTCCATAAATCTGTTTTTATTTTCCATTGCACCTATTCAGTAGCAAAGTGTCTTTAAAGTTAACAACCATATTTCTTCAAATGCTGGAACATCTATGTCTTTTGAAGAACTGACCACATTTCCCTGGACTTAAAAGAAATACTCTTTATATTTTTTTGTTTTTTATATTGTTAGGTAGTAAAGTTGCACCAGAAGCTTGGCAAGCCCATCCCATCTTCTGACCCTGTTGTTGTTGTACCAGCTGGAAGCACTGCAGCTTCTGCAACCTCTGCTACCAAGGCAGCAGCCACTGGAACAGTGAAAAAAGTTACAGCCACCACTGCTGCCCCAGTTGTGAAGAAAGTGACTGCAACTCCTAAGATCACATTTGTTGGTATGTTCTTTGTATGATGTTGCATTATTACTTGCAATATCAAATTGTTCTGGTTTCACAATTCAGATAATTGCTTTGTCATCATACTCATTCGTAGATCTCAATTATGTTGACTAAATGCAGGAAGCGATAGTTTAAGTACAGTAGAACCTGAGTTAGTGGGACACCCTTGGGACCACTTCCGAGGTGTTCCAATTTGCACATTCTACTGCACAATGATCTCCATAGGATTTAAGCAACTGGGGGCTGTATCTTCTTGAAATTTGAATGTACATTTGCACCTAGCTTGAGAATCTATTTCACACCCATATGCAATGATCTCCCAAGCATTGAAGCAAGTGGGCATAGCACCCACCTCAGATTTTAAAAACAGGCTTGCGCCCACCAGAAAATCCATTTGCACCTACTTGAAAATGAGAAAAATTGTGAAAATATTTTCACCAATTTTGGTCTGAATTGTGAAAATGGGAATTTTGCACCCACTTGACAAAAAATCCTGAGGACAACATAGATATGAGTTCAAAATCATTGGGAAAACACTGACGAATATTCCTTGATACATTATAGGTGGCAACAAACTAAACTCCCTCAACAAAAAAGAGCAAGAAGTGGCCGCCCAAGCTGCTGCTGCTGCAAATGCTGCAGACAAAGATGACAGCCCAGTGTTGCCTGGAGAGAAAGAAGTGACCCCAGTTGGACACGAGTACATAGAGGAGGTGAAGAATGAGACTGGCAAGGTTGTTAGCTTCCAGTGTAAACTATGCGAGTGCAAGTTCAATGACCCCAATGCTAAGGAAATGCATCTGAAAGGACGCAGACATAGACTGCAGTACAAGGTATGTAGACTAGAGAGAGGACAGATGTTAATGAAGCGAAATACTTGTTTTGTTTACCAACTAGAGAGTCAGTCAACATCGGGCACCAAAATAAAGGCTCAACATAATTACTTAATCCAAATAAACCTGGGATTCAAGGAATCTGTGCACTGACCACATTTGTTTTACTCCTAGCAATTGTACACCTTACGTGAGAGGGTTATTATCAATTGTATCTTTTTTATTGTAGAAAAAGGTAGACCCAAGTCTCCAAGTTGAAACAAAGCCCAACATTCGTGAGTTCCAGAAGAAGTTTGAGGCAAAGATGAAGGCTCAGCACAGGATGGAGGAGGAGTACTACTGGGAAGAGAGACGCAGGTAACATTTATAAAATGTTGGATATAAAATCTAGACTAGATCAAAATAATACTTATGGAGACAGATCAAAATTTCAAAATGTTTCCCCTGTAATTGTAATTGTCATTTTGTTGTTTTACCCACTTAACATATTACCCTCACTAAATCTTGATCTGTCATCACCTGCCATTTGTTATAGGTGCCAAACTCTGAATGCCAACCATGATGACATTGTGCATGTTAATGCCTTGTTTTATATTTTGACCCTGTACATTATTGAGCTATTTGAATAAGAATTATCTATTCCTCAGATTTGAGAATAAAGCCTGCTTTTGGGGCAATAATTTTATGTTGCCTACTTTTTTCTCTAAGATTTGAAGAGATGCAGTGGGCACGTGGGCCAGGAGGACCTCCCTTCGGCCCAAGAGGACCTGGACCAATGGGAATGCGTCGTCCTGACACAGCAGATGATAGAACGGTCATGGCAAAACACACCGCCATCTATCCAAATGAGCAGGAACTGCAATCTGTGCAAAATATCGTGTCAAGCTGTGAGAAGGCCTTGAAGATGGTGTCTGACCACATTGCTGAAACTGATAGCGCTCCCAAGGTAAGTTTATAAATAAATAAAAAAAAGTATTTTCCTTCCAACCATCATTCCTATATATCTCAATAGGCCTCTTTATACATGACTCAGCTGTTAAGAGTGAGAATGTTGAACTTTTGGCCAACATGAGTTCATGAAATAAAGAATTAGATTAGATGTGGTTAGATGCCTTAAAAAAAGAATATGATGGAAAATTGTGTGATTTCTATGATATTATGAGTATTGTATATGTTAATGTAACTGCTTTCAAATGTTTTCTATGAATAAAAAAGTAATAAAAAAATAGAATGTGACTGACAGGATGTTAGTGTTAAATAATATGTGAATTCTAGACTTGACATTCAGTGTTATTGAATGCAGTGTATGACAACCGCAACTTCATCTCCCTTAATTGAACTTATCTTATTCCATAGGCTGTTGAGACTCCTACTCCCCCAGCTAAGAAGGGAAAGAAGGGAGCCAAAGCTAAAGTTGTTGTTAAAGAGGAGCCTGAGGTGAAAGAGGAACCCAAGGATGAGAAGGATGAGTAAGTGATATCTCAAAATTCTGTTGCCCCTGCTTTAGAATTAATAAATGAAAAATTGACAATGGTTGATTAGAATTGTGAAAGTGAGAATGTTGCATGACTACACTGTATTTGAGAAAAACATTTTGCTGTCCCTCATATATAGATATTATCTACTACGTCATGAGTATCAAAATTCTTATTGCATGATTTCCAGCGAGAAGAAAGATGATGCCCCTGCTCGTGCACTAAAGGGTGTCATGCGAGTTGGTGTGCTGGCAAAGGGTCTCCTGCTGCATGGTGACTTGAATGTACACCTGGTGGTACTCTGCTCAGAGAAACCAACCCGTACTCTACTGGAGCGTATTGCCGACAACCTCCCTAAACAACTAATGCTGGCTAACAAGGAAAACCCCAAGGTACTGTATAATACCAGGATTCAGACATACCATTGCAGGGTTTGTCATATTAGGTTTTTTTTTTTAAATATTGACCAAGTTTCTTAATTTACAATTTTGTCCTTTATGGTTAAAATGGAACTCTAACTATAACTGTGTTTCTAGAAATCATCAATGAATATTGACCAATTTAACTGATACACCTCAGAAATGAATACTTTGATATTGAAAATGATCTCATGTTATTTCAGGGAGCTGATGAGGTCTATGATGTTAGACGCTGTGTGGAGGAATGTGCAATCATTGTCAGCAATGACAAAGAACCTAAGGCCTCATGCACGATCACATTGACCTCACCAGTGATGAGAGAAGGGAAAGCTGACGCAGGTAATTTGTGGCTTGATTGAAGTCACTATTGATAAAATGATGAGGAACATAGCAATACAAAATTTGGCGTAAACTTGGCTCATAACTTAAGCCATCATAGTAAACATTGATGTGACATTCATTATTATCATAATATTAGATAATTTTGGAGTTATTTACATACATTGTGTATTCACATAATATTGTGCCTTCACACATTACATGGGGTTATATCATGTTTTGGTTTCATTTAGAATTGTTAGAAGAAATTTAACCCATTTCTCATGAGTACACATCAGCGTTTCACCTTATTACAGTGTGCCTTCAAATGATTTCAAATCTTATAATCGGCTCAATATTCTCATACATGTAAAACACATGTTATAATCATTTGCAACTGTGAGGAAACAAATGATACCGGCATATTCACAAAGCACAAAGAAATCCACATTAAACAGAGAAATTGTACTCTGCAGACTGATGGGTCGTCATTTTGTCTCATAATTTTTTTCAGGGCACACTGTTATTTTCAAAAATAGTCCCTATATAGTTTGCAAGATGTTCCTCAGAATCTAAATGCTTTACAGAGTAGTACAAGGAAGGCTTACCTAAATTCCCGATCCATGAACCTCTCCAATTGCAAAGTTATTTTGTTACTTTGGGCTCATTTTTTCATGTTTTTTTTACTTTGATATATAGTCCTTAGATACAGGGTGAAATCCAGAATTTTTTATTTACTTTTTTTATTTTACAATTTTTTCAACCCCTGATTGTTTAAGGAATATATGTATACCGATTTTAGATGTATTTGTTACCAGGTTTATATAGGGTATCAAATTAAAGGTCCTGCATGTTTAGAGCTCCAAGTATTAATTTAATTTTGTATGATTTTCACAAGAACAAGAACTATTATACACTGGGCTACACTGAAGTTGTATGCCATTGCCATGTCAACCATTCGTTGTGTTACATATGACTAACTTGTTTAGTGCTAAGCCTTCTAGCTGAACTATTTGGAAGATTTGCCGGCTACGGAGGATTTTTGACAATCATACTGTGGCGGTTAGGGATCGTTAGACAGTGCATCTTTATCGCTATTTCAATATGCATTTTACATTCAAGAAAGAACAGTGGTTTATTTTGGTCAAAATTTTGTTCCTTTCATTCAAACTTGTACACATCCTCAAAAAGAGCAGTATAAGCACCCTGACAGCAAAACTTTCCTCTCACAACCCTTCTGTGACCCAGAGCTAAGATTGCTTCCAGAAAGCAACTATTTACTGTTATGTACCGATGGATAAATGCTTATTTCTTCCAATAAGTTTGTTTCTTGAACTTGCAAGTCCTGAAATGATTTCAATGATGTCTTTAATCTTTGAATGTCCCAATAAAATGCATATTGACTATAAGTGACAATGTTGGACTTGCTAACAATTGCTAACCCAAGCGGTTGATGGTCAAACACCCTGCCTTCACTTCTAGAGACCCCCACAGTGAAAGATCCCCCAGATGTACTGGACAGGCATAAATGCCTGGATGCTCTTGCTGCACTACGCCACGCAAAGTGGTTCCAGGTTTGACCTTTACATTACTTTGCAGCCTTATCATATCATACATCACTTATTACATGTGCTGGGTTATGGTAGAGCCATGTTGTCACTTGATAACCAAAGAGTAACTTCAGTGTCTAAAAAAAATAATGGGGGATGGAATTAGAATAATTGTAAGTTGACCCTGTATCTATGACCACATCCGTGAGAATGGAGCTCAGGGTCTAATCAAGTGACCCTGGTGTAGACCATACGCCCAGTGTGAAACTGTATAAAACACAATTGTAAGACTTCTGGGTATATTCCTCTTCTGCCATACTTCAAATAAGACAAAACCTGCATTGAATACTACACAGGTTTTCTCTGTATTGAAATGTGGCATAAAATATACACTTAATCATCCAATTGTGTGGTATTGTGGGTGGGAGGGATTCACACATGTGTCATATGATCAATCTTAAAGGTATAGGTGCTGGAGGTTTCAACCCTTGGTGCTTATGTACAACAGGGGACTTCCTTGGGTTTGCTCAGTGGTAGAGAGATTAACTGTCCTTTGGTTGCGACTGACTTGATTGTTCAGAAATTAAAAATCACTTCCGAAAGTCTCAAGCTAATGAAGAATTGGTCATACATACTGCTACTTATTATGTGGTCCATTCAAAACTTTGCTGATCATGAGCACCACATCTTAAAATGTTGCTGGTCTGTATCAGATGATCATGCATATATTTTAATACCAATTATAATGAAAGAAAAAACTAAAAACTGATCCTCGGTTTCTAAAGCCATTCAATCCATTTGGTGAATCTGCCTGTTTCCATTGGACCACTAAGCTCAAGCCCTTATCAACGTTATAATGAAAAAGGTTTTCTGAACAATTTAGTTGCTTACATCAATTTGCATGGTATAGTCTCCAACTACTGAGTTACCCTGGTCTTCCCCTGTGTTACATAGGCAATTATGGAACATGTTTTTTCTAAAATGACAATGTACCAATGAACTTGGTACTTTTATCAGTTAAGGAAAATAACGTTCCCTCCCTTTGATCATCTTGAGTTTTTAAATTGATGTGAAGTTATGCACTCTACAGTTAAATATAAAATATTTGATATTGTAACCCTGCATTTTGTAGGATCTCATTCTGTATTTCAAACAGTTTCCTGTCTGCCATTTTGTATTGGGGATTTGTCAATTTGTTTTGTGATTTTTATTGTGTACAGTGCAAAGCTAAAAGATGATCCTTCTCTGTTTTTTGTAAACATCAGTGAAAATCATGGTCTTAAATCAAAGGTGCATTAACAAGGGCAGAATGGTAGATGATGAGAAAGGCTCCCATATCACCATATACATGTATTATAATGTCCATATGTATATCTATGTGTATCGCCAACATACTCAAACATTTCCTCAAATTACGTATCTTAAGTAATATAATACAAAAGACCATGAAATTCAGTTTTGTCAAAGCTAACAAATCTTTGACCAAAAGATTGATCATTGAAATGAAAATGAGGCTGGAAAGTTGTAACCATGACAACCGTGTCAACAAAATATCCTGTAGAGTGTGAGGGTTGATTATTAAACAGACACCATGAATATGAATGAATGATCTGATGTGAATAAAAATTTAAATAGGTAATAAGCTGACTACATGTGGTAAAATACAGGGAAAAAAAGATTTGTTCGTTAATCCCAAATGTTCTTCGTCATGCTGGTATACTCGGAATATCCGTAATTCACATATGTCCTGGGTCGTTTCCTTTCTTACCAATTTCTCTATAATAGAGTCCATTTTGAATTTTCAAAATGGTATAATTTGAGTATTTTGTTAAGAAAGATAAGTACATGTTCATTTGAATTTTTTTAGCAACTTAATGGATCAACTCTGGTTTAAATAGGGTCCTTATTTTCCATTCATTTTGATTCATATTCATGATGTCTTAATGGTACGAGGTTTAGCTCATGGATTATTTTGAGCAGACCTCGTACATATGGACATAGTTTGAGGATTTGAGCTTTTGTATTATAGGCTAGAGCTACTGGACTTCAATCTTGTGTCATAGTTATTCGTATCCTGAGAGACCTTTGCCAGAGGGTTCCAACTTGGTCCCCTCTCAACCAGTGGGTAAGTGGGTTTTATTCACTCCTGATTCCAAATTAGCCAATCACATATTCATGATTCTTAATGCCCTTCAGCAATGTATATATTCACTCTAGATCTACTGTGGCTCTGAAAGAATAAAGTTGATTCATTCCTTGAAGAAAGTTCCTGTTTCTAATGAGACAACCACATAATATTTCAATCTGGAACTGTTCTTTCAAAGTATTCCACTTGTACTTAATGCATAAGAAAACTCAACATGACATTTGTAGGCAATGGAATTACTGGTAGAGAAGTGTGTTAGTAGCTCCAATGGACCCTTGAGTCCCGGTGATGCCCTGAGACGGGTGTTTGAATGTATATGCTCTGGGATACTCCTGCCAGGAGGCCCAGGTCTGTATGACCCTTGCGAAAAGGAGCCAACAGATGCAGCCGGACAATTGACCAATCAGGAGAGAGAAGATATTACAGCCAGTGCACAGGTAAAATAAATTCAGTATGTAAAAAGTGGTCATTAGTGGCCAGTGTATTTATTTGAAGTTTTATTTTGTGATTACTGATCTATTGGAATGGAAGCTGTAGTAAATGTATATATCTGCTTATCTATATATTGTGAATAAAATTATGTTGGCAGTCTTGTAGTTCCTTTCAATATAATTGGCGAATATATGTAGCTCACCCTATGTGGTTCTTCTTTTCTGTACTTTTTCATTTCTATTTTTTTTGCTATATTTTCAGCATGCCTTGAGGCTGATTGCCTTCAGACAGATTCACAAAGTCCTTGGAATGGACCCACTCCCTGTACCGAAGTTCGCCAAGCGTAACTTCAATCCACGTAAACGTCGTCGCACAACCAGTGGAGCTGAAGGCGATGAAGGTGAAGGTATAATTATGGCATCATCAGACCTGTCAATTCTCCATTTGTTTGTGGGATTTAGCTTGAAACATCTTTAAGTTATGATTAATATGATAAACTTAGAAGAAATGCTGGTCTTGCAAGTGTAGAAGCTATTCCCACTTAACAATATTGAGAGGTTGATATGGGAAAGTAGATGTTCTCTCTCATAGATGTGATCTCTGAACCAGTTAGTCCTAATGAAACCGATCTGAAACTAACTCAAAATCAATATCTAGAATATCACATAAATATTTTTTTGATTTTGTACTTATTTTTAAAAAATCTGAAAATATTTTGAACTGTCGCAAAACTTACCAAATTATGAATCTACAAAAAGAACAAAACTGCTCGAAATCAACCAGAAAAATAAAGTGTATATTTCTCATTTGTGGTTGTATTTTTCCCCATTTCTGTCTTATAGTTGTTTAAAAACTCTTCTTATAACTTTCAGCTGAAGAGAAGAAAGACAAGAAAGACGACGACTCTGTAGAGGACAAGTAAACCTAGATATTTTCACGACAATTCTCAACAACAGACAACAAGTAAGGGACATTGGACTAACTTGTTGGCAGTTAATGTTCCTTGTTAACACATAGTTAAGACTAGTGCTGAGAAATGGTGAAATATGCAGTGTGGTACAGTTAAGGGCAAGACGGGACAGTTCAGTACTATGTACTGATACTCTATGCTTAAAATTGTTCATTCAATAAACTAGAGTGCTGTATAGGAGGGATGGTAATCTTATGAGGACTTACTAAGTAAGTGCTGTATCAAGTAGAACTTTACTGCAGCGCATAGATCACCACAGCTGTACTATACATAGGACTACAATAGGGGATCTCGCATGGCATCCCATACTTTGAAGTAATGATCAACTCACTAATCTTATGGACAGTTTTCCCAGTTTTAAGAACTTTTGAACAGATCAACTGTGGAAAAAATTATATCATCAGAAATTCGGGTGAACGTTTTAGTTTTTCAGTACTTAATCATCAATCATGGAGTATTACGGAATCACAGTGGACATTTCAGTTAGGTGGAATATACAGTTTATTTAAATTTGTAAATAAATGTGTTCTTGGATGCTATATTTGTAAATGTCCATACCATTAATGTACAGTCTTTTAATAATTGATTCATACTGGAGCTGAAATTATGTGGTTCTAATTCACTGTCTTATGTACAGTCCCAGAAATGACCTTAATATGTATTGGGTTATGTTCTGTTTAGTCATAATTTCTTGGGGCTGCATTTAAGACTGATTATTATTATTATTTAAATATTGTGATAATCAACATTATGGTTCTATGTAGTTATGGACAAGATTCGGATAAAATGAGGGTTGGATGGTACATAATTGTAGTTCTAATTCATACATATAGATGTCACGTTATTAGATTTAGTGTCTAGTTAATCTTGTTAATCTGATGTCATATTATATTATCATTGTTCTATAATGTCATATTATCCAACATAAGCTTAGAATCAAGAAATAATGGAGACCCTCTTTTCTTGAATTCAGAATAATGTTGTTATTTTAACCAAAAAGATTTCATGAACAGATGAGCATAGGTTATGTTTTTATTTCCCATTGGTATTTTACAAGAAGCACTTCTATTATACAAAGTAGTGAGTTACATTATAAATGTTACCACAGATTATGATACATAAATCAATTTAAACTTATTTTCACTTTATATATATAAATGTTTTGTCGAAATAAATGTAGATGGTTGAAAATTGAATGATTTTATTCAGTTTTTTATTACATTATCACAGAGTGGTTACAATAGTTCTAACTAGCTCCTGTATCGAGCAAACACTGAGTTAACTTTAGCTATCAATGACTTTGGAGACTGACAATAGATGGCATAGCATTCAGCAAGTTTAATTTCCATCTCTGTAAAGATGAACTCTTGGCGCCACATCTTTTATGGAGATAAGTTCATCTATGAATACAATGAATGTCTCCGAAATCTCATTTACAAACTTTTAATTGATATTGAACATTTTAGTATTTATTGCCTTTAACTAGGTTTTAATTCAATCTCTTTTACTTATGCTGGTTTCATCTTTCATGTTGTACTTTACTTAGATCTGTAAGCAATTTGGGGAAAGTACCACTAAAGCTGACAGTAATAGACAAACACTTGTATTGAAAAAGAGACATAAGGAAACCCAGCACCCAAGCTTATAATAATAGCCATTATCAGAAACTGAAAGACCATGGGAAATTCCAGTTATCTTGGAAGTCTACGGTTCCAAATAATTTCCATAACTCTTGCAAGTTCAAAATAATTGCTGGATCTGAATTGATGTGATGGGAGGAACAAATCCAATATTGATTCGTAGTGTTCAAACGGCGTGTCCACTTTCACAAGTCGAAAAATTACAAAATATTTTGATTTTTCATAAAATAAAGTTGCAGCATTTTGTAATAAGAGATGGTATGAATTTATACCCTGTTCATAAAAAAATACTGGTAGAATACTGGGTCATATTTTTTGTACAACCGTTACCCTTGAAGACAAAATAGATCTTAAATAACATAACTTGTAGTACAGTAATTAAAAAAAAGTACCAGACAAAATTCTCCTCTGTTCATATTACAAAAATATTAACAGCCGTCTTGGTTGTTCTAAAACAGCATTCAACAAAGGAATGCTGTAGATTGTGAAGTAGTTGACACTTCTAACATGTTAAGTGACATCTTTGAGAGGACATATACTGTTAGCAAGATAAATATCCTGCATTTATTTGCAGACAGTGTACTCTAAAACCAGGCTTCTATAAACCATTTTAGGTGGTCAGGTACAAGAATTCTTCATATATTTTTATCACACTTTTCAAAATGCTATATTCTTGTCGATGAGTGCTGATTGGTATGAGTCTGTCAGGGTAGGCAATATTAATCATTGTGCCGTGTGTCTTGTTTGATAAAGAGTTAATTTAATGATGCCTTAAACATGGGACATTCCATTCATCTTTGGCTTCCAGAGACCATTTTGACTGAATGGGAATTCAATTGTTCCTAAGGATTTGTGATTGTGTTGTATCAGAATCTTCCATTGAGTTAACAGCCATGCACATTTACTCCGATCCATCACCCGGCGCCTGGCCGATTGAGTATTTTAATCAATATTCTATTCAATTTTGAACTAAGTACTCAAGTGGCCAGGCGCCGTAGTGAAAATCGGAGCAAATGTGAAGGCATAATCGACCCTTTCCATATAAATGGAAAAATAGATGGCATCATGGGTGTTAGTTGGGCCAGAATATGTGGCAGCCAATACAGACTTGCCAACCTAAAATGAAAAAATTACGGGAGATTTAAAAAAAATTGCGGTACTTTTACGGGAGTTTTTTTCAAAATCCGGTAGTTTTTGCGGGAGTTTTTTGAAAAAAAGCGGGAGTTTTACGGGAGGTTTTTGAAAAAAACGGTAGTTTTTACGTGAGATTTAAAAAAAAACGGGAGTTTTTAGGTAAATTTTGAAAAAAAACGGGAGTTTTTACGGGAGATGTTGAAAAAACTGGAGTTTTCACGGGAGATTTTTTAAAAAAGGTATTTTTCGCGGTGAATTTTAAAAAACGTGACTTTTTACGGAAGATTTCAGAAAAAACGGGAGTTTTTGCGGTAGGTTCTGAAAAACGGGAGTTTTTACAGTAGGTTTTGAAAAAAAACGGGAGTTTTTGCGGTAGATTTTAAAAAAAAACGGGAGTTTTTACGATAGATTTCTGAAAATACTGGAGTTTTTACGGTAGATTCTGAAAAAACGGGAGTTTTTACGGTAGATTTCTAAAAAACGGGAGCTTTTACGGTCGATTTCGGAAAAAAAACGGGAGTTTTTACGGTAGATTTCTGAAAAACGGGAGTTTTTACGGTAGATTTTGAAAAAAACGGGAATTTTACGGTAGATTTCTGAAAAAAACGGGAGTTTTTACTATAGATTTTGAAAGAAAGGGAGTTTTTACGGTAGATTTCGGAAAAAACGGGAGTTCTTACGGTAGGTTTCTGAAAAAACGGGTGTTCTTACGGTAAATTTTGAAAAAAACGTGAGTTTTTACGGTAGATTTCTGAAAGAACGGGAGTTTTTACTTTAGATTTTGAAAAACGGGAGTTTTTACGGTAGATTTATGAGCATTAAATGCAGCGATTTAATTGGTTGAAATTATTATGACGCATGCGCAGTTTATAAATTAATTAGAACTTATAATCTAAGATAGATGTCACTTACGTTTATTATTTCACAGCAGTCCCTACCAATATTGCGCCTTATATTGCGGGAATATTTTGTTTAGCGCCATATAAAAACAAAATGTATTCTCCCGACAGAAGTATGACAGAATATGAACTGGCCCCCGTTTGTGGACATTTGGTGTGCAAACTTATACCGAACTGATCGCAGATAAGCAATTTGAATCATGGGAATGAAGTACTTTTAAGTTATTTATGAAAGTATCGATAGTGAACCATGGGAGCCAACCTTCTTGGAGTAAAAGAAAGAAGCGTGCCTGCAATAAGCAAGGTCACAAATTTGTCATATTCCTTTTAAATACGGTAGATTTCGACAGCAAAAAAACGGAGATTTTACGGGAGTTATACCAAGAATACGGGAGATTTTACGGGAGTTATACCAGAAAACGGGAGATTTTACGGGAGTTATACCAAGAATACGGGAGATTTTACGGGAGTTACACCAGAAAACGGGAGATTTCAGCAAAAATACGGGAGATTTTACGGCCATATTTTTAAAAAAAATTACGGGAGATTTTAGTAGAAATACGGTACGGGAGTTTTTACGGGAGAAAACGGTACGGGAGTTTGGTATTTTTTACGGAAAAACAAAAAATTTACGGGAGATTCCCGTAAAAAAACGGGAGGTTGGCAAGTCTGCAATAGCAAGAGTCACTCAATGTCTTGATTTAACAAGTGATTCCATTTGGATCAACTTAAAACACCATTGGAATCTAACTATATGATTGAGATATTATTGAGATATGGATTGCTAATTATGGGCATTCACTTTTTAAATAATTTTTGTGTATGTTGTGATGGGGAATATCTTGCTGTAAAATTATTTATTTTGCCCACCACCGTGTATCCATGCCGTGTCCCGTTCTCTGCCCCAAAGTATTCACATTGTTGCGAATGGTGAGCCTACACAGCCTAGGTGTGACAGCTTTTCAAAGAGAGCACTGTTGAGACCAACCGTTCACACTACAAAGAAGTTCTGCTAATCTACAAAGTCAAGAAGGACATCACTTTGGGACACAACAATGTTCATGTTTTGCAATGTTTACTTAAGGGAGGGTTGCATGCACTGATTTATTACACTATTATTTATCCTACAAATATGTTAATTAGCTTTTAGAGACGTCCAACTTTATGTTCTGCAAAAACAGACATGTGTAATTAAAGAAAATACATGCAGAGGTTTTTATCTTAAACGTTTTACCAATGTGTCATATGTCGAAAATGTTAACAATTTCATGACTGCCTTTGCAGAAGTCCCCAAAGGCCAAACAGGCGCACTTAAGCTAATTTCAAGACTCCTTTGGAATCTGAAGATTTAAGACAAGGAAGTCAACACTGTTATTGATTGTTTACTTATCTCTCCTCGCGTGTCAACAACATTGAAGTTTGATGTCAAAAGCTTAGAGGGCTCTATCAGTTGGTCATAGCTTAAATGCCATGTGTCTTGTGTAAAATCTGAAAATATACTTTGTGATTTTTTATCTGTGTTTGTCTGACATTAAAAAAGGCCTCTGTGGTACATAAGCCATTAGCTGTGATGATGGGAAAGTCATTTCAGTTGTAGATAGTATGTAAGATTCTACGTGTCAGGGTGGACTGTACTATGGAGATAAGGTTTAATAGCTATGGTTTAAGGTTCTTTTATGTCACCCCCAAGAAGTAGTGACATGTTGTTATAGCCTTTATTCTGTGACTGGCCGTCATTGTCACCACTCAGCATCTGTAACAAACTGTTACACGTTTGTTACCATTTGCAGCTTAATAGGATGTGACTTGAACTTTCCACCAAATGCAGAAACAAATTATAGATTCAGATTATAGTACAGAGAGGCAATGTTGTCCATGTAGGTAATTGTTGGACACTCAATGTAGGCCTTCCTTTGTCCGACAATCACATGGATGACTTCCCTGACCTCAAGTAGTAACAAAGTAGGATTTAAGAACATGTAACATTTTTATACATATATTACATATTATTATATACATATTAGACATATTGCAAGAGAAAATTTCCTTGCAATATATTTTATTTTACTCAAGTCATTGGTATAAGGAACCTGATCTATTGAAGGTACATGAGTTTCTTCTTTTGTTTAGTATTAGTTTAGTTTAGTATCTTTCCTGTACTGCAGAGCAGCTTTGTGAGTTTTTATTGTACCTAAAAAAGGTCGCATTCTGATGGCCATCTTGGAAGTTTTTAGATAAATCTTGTCATCGCTATTTCAGGAAAACCACTTAGTGGATTTACTTCAAATTTTTACATAGTACTATGTTACATGATATAAAATTCTAGAGCTGATTAGCTTGTCAGCGGCCATGTTGCATTCTGGTGGCCATTTTGGAAGTTTTTAGATCAATCTTGTCATCGCGATTCCAAGAAAACTACTGGCTTTACTTAAAATTTTCACACATGTTACATGATAAGAAGTTCAAGAGCTGGTTAAATTTTTGGTAGCTATTTTGCATTCTGGTGGTGATCTTGTCATTGTGATTCCAGGAAAACCACTTATCGGAATTACTACGAATGTTTACACTACATGGTAAAAAGTTCTAGAGCTGATTAACTTTTCGGCAGCCATCTTGCATAAGTAGTAAGTTAAGGTAAAGGCTAATCAACTCCTATTTGACTTGATCTAATAAAATTTGTTTTAAAGGAATTAGGCATAGAGATGATAAAGGGGTAGACATTTATTTTTTTTGATGGTGATTATTTGGTCTAACAGCTTCCCATTGACCCTTTATTAGGTCACATGGTGAGCTATCGCAATCATGCACTTGCCCGTCTGTCTGTCCCTCAGTCTGTCTGGCTGTCAACAATTGTGGTGCATTTTAAAACCTCTAGTCTCCTATAACGATTCCTGTTTTAAATTTTTGTTCATTATCAATAGAGTAAACCCCCATGAATCCTCATTCAAAAGCTCACTTATTTTTCAAAATGGCTGCCATTTTTGTCACACTTATGTTACACACCATGTTAGCCCAGTACCCGTGGTACTATTTATTTTAAAATGCATGGACATGCACTCAAACTTTTTCACACAAGGTCAGTGTTTTCATTAAAGCATGTACTCTGTTCTGATAGTGTAAAAAGTGAAATAGAATGTCTGACTATGTGTGAATATTAAACAAAGTCATGTAAGCATCAAACAATCTTGTTACAGCGTAGTTACTGATAAGATCATCTATATGGCTAAGTTCAAATTGCCAGGTCACTGTGTTAAATACTATGGTAATGCAGCAATAGAATATAACTACTCTCAATAAATGAGTGCCCTTTAATGGTATACAAATCACAATTTGTACTAAATGTGTAACATCTTTGAGAATTGAAAATTTCGGTCATTGGTTATTTTTAACAAATATGCCTTGGGCCTATGTTCAATAGAAAGACATTGGAATGCATAACTTTATCATTTTAAACCTATTCACATATATTCAAATCATCGTCAATCAAAGTTCTAAAACAACATTGAATGATTGAAATTAAATTTGATAGGTTTATAAAAAATGCATCCACTAGACAAATGTTTGCTTAGACAAAATTCAAATATCTTCTGCAAAGTACAAGTTATTGACATGCTAATCTGAAATTTGAGTGAGGATAATTTATGGATTGTGAAGTAGCGAAAGTAATAAAGTGTTGAAATTATCAATTTCAAAGCTTGAGGTTTTCAAAAATTATTCAACTTTGAGCTGAGAATTAGAAAGATTAGGTGTATTAGATTTAGTATATGAGACATACCCCATTTGCCTAAGATTCGGGTTTAAATGCTAAAGATGAGCAAGGGACTGAGCTGTTTATATATCTTCCTTGATGGGATGTTACGACCTCAAAGTGTATGCCCATGACCCCCCCAGAAAAAAATTTGGGCCTAAACATTTTGTAGGGCCTTAATTAGTGTGTTTTTTACATTACTTTTTTTTGGGCCTTTTTTTAAGGCCAAATTATCAAAAAACGGGCCATAAACTTTCAAAATATGGGCCTAATTTTAGGATTTAGGGGTTCAAAAGATGTGGGGCCCCCTTGTTAACTTCTGGATCCACCAGTGCAGCTTGACTTACCATAGAAATAATACCAACTAGAGGCTGAATCTGACATTTTCACAAGTTAAGTGTGTCAAGTTTGAGAGTGATTTTATGTTCCTTGTGAATTGCTATTTAATGATTATTTGAATATGTACATGTAAATAATCAGACAACCCATTCTGCAGGTATTATATGCCGACTAAAGCATATCTCTTATTTGACTATCTTTTTACTGTGTCTTGAAAATACATGGTAAATTGTTCAGAAAATGATATATCATAAATTATGTTTAATTGAGTAATAAAGGAGGTATAGATCATGAGTAAGATTTAATTGAGTAATAAAAGATGCAAATATTATGATGGAGGCGATATATCTGACTTGTCAGAGTAGAATAAGAGAGGAGTCAACTGGGATCTTCAGCAGTGATTTAACTGGATGCTGCACTTGGCTGAGAAGCTGAAAATTACATTGCACCCATTTGAAAATACATTTGCACCAAGTTGACAATTTGTAGATTTATGCATTTTTACGCAGAAATGATCATAAAGTAGAATTCTGCAAGGATAGTTAAAAGTAATATCATGTTGCACTTTATCCACATTGGGCTGTATCACGCGGTACTAACTTTGACCGTTAATTTGAATTTTTGACCTACCAGATGTTTGAAAATCAAGGATTGCGAGTCTTATACTGCACCATTTTTCTTCAAATTTGTTCCATTCAAAGCATAACCTTAAATGCCTTTCTGTTGGTACAGTATTCTGTTAGACAGAGTCCCTACTTCCAGCGTCATTTTGGTCATCAGCTGTGAGAAGGGCTTCTAACAGCTGGGGACCAAAATGCTGCTAAAACGAGGGACTCCAGAAAAAGCAATGTACCGACAGAAAGGCAATTTTGTTTTGCTTTGAATGGAACAAGTTTGAAGAAAAATTGTGAAGTATGAGACTCACAATCCTTGATTTTCAAAGATCTGGTAGGTCAAAAATTCAAATTAACGTTCAAAGTTAGTACCGCTTGTGTATAGGTGAACAGTTACCTCTGTATCATAACATGAAAGTTTAGGCTAGACAACAAGTTTGTCATTTTTAATAAAATTTCGTCATTAATCCTTATGACTTAAAAGACGTCCGCCAGCCGGATATGTCAGTTTGATATGTGTTTGAGCAACATGGGCCTCTCAAGTCAAGTAAACAGTTAAATGATAAGTGATTTGTGGCCACGTTATTTTTATTAGGGACATATTCTATCATCAACCCTTATATGATTGATTAGCATTGAATTAAAAAATGTCAACTGTCAAGACGTTTGTACTTTTGGGTAGAATATCGATATCCGATTCAGGGGGATTGTGTTGTAAATGAAAATATAGTGATTAAATAAACGCAATATTCTAAGTAAATGCAAATAAAAGCCTATGTCTAGAGTATAGCTTAACCTTTTATAAATATACCTGTTGATTTCAAAGCCTCTATCATCCAACTTAAAACGGATCAGTGTTTGCTATAAATTTTTCTCATAATCTCTGCTCTCTGATTTAACTGTTTAATTTCAAGATAACCCCTTAAATAGCATATTAAGACATAAATCAATACACTGTTGTTTTAAAGTTACAATTTCTATTGTTTTATCTGATTGAATGGATTATCCCACATGATTCATGCTATGACCTCTGGGAAGGGATGTCCTGTAATCGAACACTCATCTTGGAGATTCCTTATAACTTGAGCATAAAACACAATCTGTTGACACACTGATTACCAGTAGATTTTTTGTCTGTGTAATATACATCTCTTGCCACAGGAGATCACTTCCCAGAGCATCCCAGTTGTAGTAGTTCTTCAGTTTGACCAATCAGATTAATTAATCTTAAGATATTTGTTTAATTCATCGATAGGCTGAAATAAAACCTAGTTTTTTTGAGCCAGGTCGAGTTGTTTTGAACTATGCTAAGGTACACATTGCCATATTGAAGATTGGTGACACTTTTACAAATCGTCACCCTTTCTAAAAGTTTATGAAAAATCCTCACTCATGACATTAAACTGAAAGGAATAATTTCTAAGAAGTTCCATAAATATAACTTTCATGATGTTCAATTACTATTAAGTGGCTTATTTATTTATTCACCATAGAATAAAAAAGATCTGATGTTCATTTTGGATCCTATTGAAAGGGTACACACTTAAGTTTACTGTGTGTGGGGCAACTTAATTGGCCTTACATCAGATCTGTCTCTGAACAATTCATGTACAAAGTCAGCACGAGGACAAAACACGTCCACTAAATGTTTTACTAGTGTTGTCTGAATCGTGGATGAATTTAAGCTGCTCAAACTTCACTTGCGCTGAAACACAAATGAATATAAGATGCACTTAGAGTTGGCATCAGAGCCGATGATATATTCTGATGACAGCATGGGATCATATCATTCATAACATTTTTAAAGACACGTGGAGAGGTATCAATAGATAAGAATACAGTTTTAACTAAACGCAAAATAGTCTAGCTGTACTGAAGTCTTGAAGTTCATAGAGTAGAAATGAAGTGATATAATGAAACAATAACACTACTTTACTCGGATTACGTAATGTAGGAATTCAGTATATTGTTTATAGATTTCAAGTTCATGTTGCTGATAAAAGAAGCGAAAATATTTGGCTGATTGCAAAGTGGTAATAAATTTTTTTTGAAGTATCAGCCTCACCCAATTAATACAAGAAGCAGAATTTTTTTATTATCAGAGAACGGGCTGTGGAATATGATTTGATCAAGTACTTACTGTTTATTTAAACGAGCAGGAGATAACCAAAGTGAATGTTAAATCAGGTGAAATCGGCACCTTTCCGGTAAGTTTCTTTTTCTCATATTTTATTTAATCACAGGTTACTGTGTTTCTTTTATTTTGAATATACTGTACTTGCGGATTCAAAAAATTCTTCGCTGAATCTCCTAGAAGATTTCATGTCAGTATAGAGCTGATATAATAGTATAGCATTATTACATGCTACATTATTGCATATTACCAGATGTTATACATATATATGTGTTAAAGCATGCATGTCATATATTTGGCAGAAATATATAACTTGTTAAGCATACATTGTATGACATACATGAATGTGAAATGTAAGGTACATTTGACATGTTTGGCATATATGACATGCTAGGCATACATATGACATGTTAAGCATACAAAATACATGACATGTTTAGTTTACATTTTACTTGTTGTGTATTTACATGCACATGTGTGACATATGCCAGTATAGATCATACATGGTCCTAAAGACAGACATGTAAAAGTCCTGCATATAAAAAAATATGTCCGTCATATCTGGTTCTGAGATATAAATCATATGACATGCCATGTTAGTGCTTTACTGTCTTCAAGAACATGCTATATCACTAGCATCTGTAAACATTTTGACACAGATTGTATTTAAACATGTGGTTTGTCTCAATTCAGCAAAGGTAATTCATATGTCATTGACTAATGTGAACATTATGACTTGTCTGAATTAAATTATGGTTTTAATGGTTGAATGTGATTAATTCTGAAACTGACCCTGTTTTTTCTACATTTGGAAAAAGAGAAGTAAAAAATTACCAAGACTGGAGAATTAGCAAATACTTAGATAATAGGGTATTTGAATCCTGGTACTGGTGGTGAAAAACATGTTTCTATCAATCATTAGTGATCAAAAACTCTTTTTCCCTGTTTAACAGAAATTTTAGGCAGAGTAATGGTCAAATTATTGAACGATCATTGATTACCCTATTCAACCCCTATTGAATTCACATCACTAATGTGTGGTCATCATTTTGACTATTTTTATTCATCAATCAATTTAGAAAATTAAGAGCTCAAATATTTGTTCAAGGAAATATTTGATTACTTTGGTCACCTATAGCCCACTTGTTTTTAACCTGTATTTACATAAAAGATAATATCCTTTCAAAAGAGTTTATGCTAATAACATATCACAATTCTGTTTAAAATTGAAATATATCATCATCTGATTTTTAAACACTCATTGACTTATTTCTTGTATTGTAGTTGGTAATTGTATATTCCTCCCATTTTTGCATTTAGAGAAGTCTTTAATTAATCTGTTACTAAGGGCATGAAATGCTATCAACATCAAATAATATCCTCCTCTCTGTTCTATGTATACCCTTACCAATAGTTTAAATTCACTTCTTTTAAGATTCATCTACATAATGATATCTCATCTGTGATCCTCCCTCAGGATGTGCCTCTGTTCATTCATCCGCATTACAATCATGAGCGTATTTAGTTTTTTGGTTCATGTTTTTTTTTATTTTGTGTAATCTCAAATGTTAGGTTAATTGCACCTTTTTAGTCAGTCTGTCTCCAAGTTATCAACATATTTGGTTTTGCTATAATCATTTAAGTATTTTTACCTTGTCTTCAATCTTGAGAATTATTTTTGAATAAATGATCTTTGATATTTACGATTTTGTCAAAAGGAAGATATTTCTGGTCACCAAATCCCAGGACATATTTTATTGTATTTAGTGGAACATTTAACTCGGATTTTCATATTGATATATTGATTGTATGTACACATATATATGTTGGATTCAAATACAATAAGTCTGTTTTAGAGAAACACTTTTGTAACCTCAAAATCCATTGTTCCATTTGGGTGGTGTTCCACTTACAGATATTCTTTAGATATATTAAGTTATTGGTACTTAATAACTTAATAGTTTTATTAAATTGATGGTACTTTGAATTGTTCCACTAATGGATGTGTTCCATTTACAGAGGTTTTGCAGTGTTGTTTTTGCATTTCTTACTGCATTTAGGAAAAATAAAGTAATTGGTTATTTTACAAATGGCCGGAGGGAGAATTGTGAAAATTCTATAGAAAGTGGAAAAACCCTAAAATCAAAAACCTTATTTTCAAATATTTTCATTGCCAATCATTTGCACCGAGCTCCCAAATGGGACTTAAACATTATTTTTCCTTGGCTGTTTATAAATTCTCGAATTTCAAATGTTAATAATTGGATTTGGAAATGAGCCTTCAAAATGAAATATTTTATGTGAAATGTTCAATTGGGTGCTGATTTCTTTGAAGGTGGAGTGGAATGATAACAGAATTTCTGCCATGATTTCATTCGTAAACTTTTCAAAGAAAACTAAGTGCATATACATTCCGCCGATCCTCAGACCCTGAAGATAATCATTGCTAGTTCAATAGATTCTGCCTTATGAAGTGACATGATCATGTCAAAATGACCAGATCAAGTATATAACAGTAACCAGCCATGACGGATAGAGTCACAGTGACCAGCTGTCTTGTAGAGTGAAAATTGATGTAAAACATCTCACACTGTTTATGACATGGATCAAAAAGCAAGTAAATTCTTCAAACGAAATTCCAACTTTTGTTGATCATATTTGCAAAACACTGATTTGTTACAATGAACTTGATATCGAAGAAAGAAAATTCTCATGATGAATTTTCAGCATTTGTTGACCATATTTTCGAGTAGAATTTTTTATTTATATTACCTACAATGCATTTCACTTGTAATGCTTATTTGCAGTGCTGTTTATTCATAAATAATCTATTTGCTTTGTAGAACCTGACTCCCATCCAGCAGTTGGAATCCTTCTCTATAACAGAACAGTGGAGTATCAGATAAAGAAAAGATTTAACAGGCACATAAAAACATAACCATTTGAGACACATATTTCGAGGAATATAGACATTTCAACAGAGTTAGAGGTTTTCAGCTGCTATCTGAGACACTTTCAACAAATAAACTTGTTCATCTTCAAGACACTTTCAATAATCAACTCTCACATCATCACAAGCAAATATACTGTTGTCTGCTTGAGACAATTTCAAAAAAGGCAAACGCAGTGCCAAGAGAGATACCATTTACAATTAGCAGAAACATTTTCAAAGAGAGACACTTTCAACAATTAGCAGAGACACTTTCAGAAAGACAACAATTTTACTCTCAACAATCAAAGACGGATTCATTAAGGAGATACAAACCCAGTAAGAACACAGCAACAACACATATATACATGCTTCCATTCAGGTGTATGCCAAGATTGACAGATTGTGCAGAATTAAAAATGACAAGATGATATTTATACCCAGGTAAGTTTTTCACACATTTTGTAAATATAATTATTATAAAGACACAATAACACGCCCGGTGATCGTGAAAATGGGACGGAGGGGGGAGCAGGCAATTTCCGCTAGAAAATTCAACAAATCTGGTAAAATTATTTTTTCAAGACAGAGTTTACGATTGAATTGCAAATTGAATAAGCGCACGGTATGATAAAATATGTTAGGTATTCTAGGATTCTTTTTCAACCGATACTCTTTTAAGATATACGATCTATTAAAAAAGGCGCAACGCAACCAACGTGCAAAAGTCAACGTTTTTGCTATAAATCAAGCAACAATGGACTACACGACCTGTAATAAATACTTGTAAGTGATGTTATCATAACTAAATTAATGTCATTGCTGAATTTATAAAATAAGTTTCCATACGTAAAATAAAAAATAATCGAAAATAATTAAAATGGGACGGAGGGGGGGAGGGGACAGAGGGGGGGAGTAATAATTCTATAAAGTGAAACAACTTCACACGAATTCTTGTATTTGAAAAATGAACTCATTAACTTAGTAAGAAACTGGATGATTTACCCCTGGAGACTGAAAAATGGGGACATTTGGAGTAAAAGGACTTAAAGTCGCGAAACATCTCTAATCATGTCTTGTATACATATTGCTCCCCCCCCTCCGTCCCCTCCCCCCTCCGTCCCAAATTCATTATTTTCGATTATTTTTTATTTCACATATGGAAACTTATTTTATAAATTCAGCAATGACATTAATTTAGTTATGATAACATCACTTACAAGTATTTATTACAGGTCGTCCAGACCATTGTTGCTTGATTTATAGCAAAAACGTTGATTAGTGCCTGTTGATGGCCTTGCGCCTTTTTTAATAGATCTCATGCCTTAGATGCGTATCGTTTCAGAAAAAATCCCAGAAAACCTGACATATTCTACCATACCGTGCGCCTGTCCATTTAGCAATTCAATAGTAAACTTTTTCTTGAAAAAATAAATCTTCCAGATTTGTTGAATTTCCTAGCAGAAATTGCCTGCTCCCCCCCTCCGTCCCATATTCACGATCACCGGGCGTGAATAAACTGACATTGATTTGATGATTAAATTGATTAACCCCTAGAGTGATGGATAAATCAGAGTTTCACAATAAAATGTTGCTAGCTTTAACATATTATATTCAGTTTACACAAAACATTTATTAAAAGGTGTGTAATTTTTCCATGTCCTGGAATATTACCAAAATGAATATCATATATACACACATTTTAAAGTGGTACTGACTTTGACATATTATATTCAATTTACAAAAAATCTGTATTAAAGTGTGTGTAATTTTTCCATGTCCTGAAATATTACCAAAATGAACATCACATAGACACACATTTTAAAGTGGTACTGACTTTGACATATTGTATTCAATTTACACAAAATATTAAAATGTTTCTGATTTTTCCAAGTCCTGAAATATTACCAAAATGAATATCACATATACACACATTTTAAAGTGGTACTGACTTTGACATATTATATTCAATTTACAAAAAATCTGTATTAAAGTGTGTGTAATTTTTCCATGTCCTGAAATATTACCAAAATGAATATCACTTATGCATACATTTAAAATTGGTACTCATTTTGACATATTGTATTCAATTCACACAAAATAAGTACAGTATTAAAATGTGTGTAATTTTCCAATGTCCTGAAATATGACTAAAATGAATATCACATACATATCACATAGTATATACATACATTTTAAAATGGTACTAACTTTGACATATTGTATTCAATTTACACAAAATCTGTATTAAAGTGTGTGTAATTTTTCCATGTCCTCAGATATTACCAAAATGAATATCACATATACACACATTTTAAAAGTGGTACTGACTTTGACATATTGTATTCAATTTACACAAACTATTAAAATTTGGGTAATTTTCCCATGTCCTGAAATATGACTAAAATGAATATCACATACATATCACATAATATATACAAACATTTCAAAATGGTACTAACTTTGACATATTGTATTCAATTTACACAAAATCTGTATTAAAGTGTGTGTAATTTTTCCATGTCCTCAAATATTACCAAAATGAATATCACATATACACACATTTTAAAAGTGGTACTGACTTTGACATATTGTATTCAATTTACACAAACTATTAAAATTTGGGTCATTTTCCCATGTCCTGAAATATGACTAAAATGTATATCACATACATATCACATAATATATACAAACATTTCAAAATGGTACTAGCTTTGCCATATTGTATTCAATTTACACAAAATATGCATGAACATTTGTGTAATCTTTCCCTGTCCTGAACTATGCTTCAAGAACTGTCACACCTTGGTTGGTTTTATATTTTCATTTTGTTTATTCGACTTTCACCCAGTGATTGACTCAAGGCAAAAAAACATGTTGCAATGCTCATCCAAGCATTGGAACAACTGAGTTCTGAGATTTTACAACTAGCTGAAAATCTGTTCACACCCATTTAAAAAGTAGTCATGAAAAAGTGGAATATTAGATTTGGAAACTCATAAAGTAAAATGCGAATTTTTGATCAAAAACATTTCAAAACATTACATTATGTAAGATATGATATGATTAGACATGTTTTCTCTTTCTCTTTTTTAGGATATTACTGCTTTTGGCCCTACTGGTGCTGGTATCTGCTATTCCTCCTAAATCAGTAAGTGTACCTTATAGCATATCAACAGCTTTTCCATTAATTATCCCAATGAACAAAGTCCTGGGATATAGCAAATGCCTCCATCTGTCTGAATGCACATTTATCTATGTAAATACTAGAATATGGATTGGCTTTTTTTTGTTAATATATGTGGGACTTTTCGCTAAGCTTTACATTTTTATGTCAAACCAAAGTAATAGATATTATTGTATGATATTGTTGTAGTACTGGTATATAGAAAAGGGTTGTATTATGTAAGGGATTTGAGGAAACAATGTTTCTAATTCTGAGATCTCCTATATACTCGTAATGAAGGAATTTAAGAGTGCAAATATTACATTGTTTTTTCTCTTTTGGCTTAATGATACTCAAATCTTGGGTTTTTAAAGGAGATGGCAAATGCAAATATTATATTGTCTTTCTGCTTGGCGCTTCAGAGAATGCAAACTGTCATTTTACAATTTTACAATTACAATACAATGTTTCTTATATCAAGTTCAATTTTAAAATTATGTAAAATATTGTTATTGTCGGTACAATTCCAAGTTTTGCTTGTGGATTGTCCACTTAGCAACAATTATTACTTGATTAAGATACTCTTTTTCTTTACCTAAAATACTTTTTCACTATTGTTTATTATATCCAAAATGGTTGCCTAAAGGCATTACTTTCCTTCTCTACAAAGTACAGCTTTATTTTATCTAAATCAAAGCCATTTTATAGTTATTTTTGCAAATATTGTAGCATCTTTCTCCTCTTTTATTCATACCTTGGTCTAAAATATTTGGGGTAATCTATGATGTGCAGTATATGCCTGGTGTAGTATATGCACATTGAAGACAATCAGGAGTAAATAGTAAATTACTTATATTTTCACTTTTTCAGTTCTAACTTAGTGGTTACATATTGTTTGTTTGCCATTTTTGTGGCTGGCATCAGTTTTTGGTATTCAACACCTTTATGTGTAAGAAATTGTATCACTTTTGGAATTTCAACCAGGTGGTGATATTTTGTAATATTTTAATGCCTTGTGTGTTCATTGGGATTTGCTACTTTTTAGCTTTGCTATTTTCTAATTCTTGGTGTGGTATCTAAGGTTCTATTACATAGAATTATATAATTGTATAGCATGCTGTTTTTGCTTGCAACCTTTCACTCATGAATCTATTTCTTAATTTGATGAATTAAACGCCACAAATAAGTGATTTTACTATCAAAACCCTTGTAACAAAATAAGTTATAATAGATAATTTGTGAATTCCAAATTTTTGAAGTAAATTTGTAGATTGAATAATCACATAGTGAAAAATGCTTGTTAGACATCTCATCTCATGGCATTGAAAAATTATCATTTTCTCCCATGATCTTCGGTCGGATTAACCTCCTTATACTTTGCCCCTTGCTCTTATAACTTATTATTTCATATAGTGATACTGAGGTCAGTTTAACCCATTGTTATTAATTATTTAGATGCCACAGTCTTTCTGTGTAAGTGTGTGACTCCAAATAGTATCATACAAACACATATAAATATAATTTACACTGCAGTGCAAGAAAATGACGATCAATAAAAGCTTTCTCTGAAAAATGATTGAAAATAAAATTACAAAATCATATAGGAGAACTATTTTATATCCCACTATTATGGGAAAGGTCAAGTCTATATATTGTACATATATATTGTCCTTGTATTGTGAATGTATTGGGTCAAGCCTATATATTGTACATGTGTTGGGTCATGCCTTTGCATTGTACAATTCAATCTGGCGAACAAAGTTGTTGATGATTCTCCTACACACATGTATTTCTAAATGGACAAGTTTGTTCCAAGAACAATTGCTACTGGGGCTTACATCTTCCTGATGAAGTGTTACAGCATCCATTGCATTCTGAACAATGCACTGCCTGGGTGGCAATGAGGAAACATGGAATCATCAGTCCTTTTTGATTCGAAGGTGACTGGGGACATGCCATCACCATGAACAAGGACCAGTAAGTTGTTCACTAAGTTTTGGAGGTCATTTAAGCACCAGAAGGGACATCTTAGGAGATAAGCAGTGGTTTCAAGAAGCCAATACCACCCAAACACTGCAAATGATATGCTGAAATGGTTTAGGCAATGCTTTGGTGGTCAGCTCATCAGTTGCAAAACGCAAACCATACGGGCAGCTCATTCGCCAGATCTAAATCCCCCAAATTTTTATCATTGAGGATTTCTCAAAGCCAGTGTGTATACTGACAGGCCCATAACAATCCTAAGAGGGGAAGAACTACCCCAATATTTACCATTCACATTAATGTGTATAAGTCAGGGTCATTAACAACTTTGTTCACAGGATTCGTTTGTGCATAGAGAGAAGTGCCCACTTTGAGCATGTTTTGTAAAAAACTGTAGTTTTTGACACAATTAACAGATTATCATCAAACTTTCAGAACAAAATTCACATTGAATGAACTAAATAATTCTGAAATTTCAAGGCAAAATATGCAAAATTGACCGAGTTATTCAACTTTCTCACGGTCCTGTTTTTTTGGACACCCTGTATGTGCATGCCTTGGTATCGTATATATATTTGGCCAAGTAAGTGTTTATTTTTTTACTTGTTACTTGTATTAGGTCAAGTTTTTGCATTATACCTGTGTTAAGTAACACCTTTGTATTGTGAATGTATTAGATCAAGCCTACATTGTCCAAACCAATGTTTTGTACATGTGTTAGGTGCAAGCCTATGTATTGTACATGTCTAGCCTAGCATTGTACATGTAGGGGTTTATGTAATTATATTGTACATGTATAAGATCTACCATTGCATTGTACAAGTACATGTGTTTTCCTGTTGGTTCTTGGTTATTCTGTATTCCTCCAGTGTTGCCCTTTGTACTTTATCAGTATACTTTATTTATAATTTATAGGCCAACTGACAAAATGATCAGATAAATGCAATTATAAGAATGTTTTGTTCTGTATATACTTGATTAAAACTGCAGGGAAAGTTAGCACACAACACCTGGTCCATCAAAAACATAATTTCAAAAACAAATTCCTAATAATGCATCTAAATACCTTAAATGCAATAAACACTTTAAGGATGTTTAGGGGTATTATGAATATGATTTATATAATGATGTATCACAAAGTTTTATTGCTGGTTTATGGATTCATCTGGTTTATTGGCTTTTTATGTTTGTTATTTTAAAAGGTTCCCCTAATGTGCACATATTCTAAACAAAGTGTGTAAAAATACTCTACTTAGACTGGTAATTTTATTCTAGTAACTCTTAACTCATTTAAATGCATTCTAGCATGTTAAACACTGAGCTTTAAACTTATTGTTTTACTGTTAAACTCTCACTTATAATTCTTCAGCTCCAAACTAAAAAAAAATGGTGAAAGGTATGATAATGCTTGGTTACACTTGCATAAATATTCCATTGATATTTTTTATCATTGGTGAGTTTTCTAATTCCATACATCAAAAAGAATGTTATTTGACAGTTGAAATACATATAATAGACTAGTATAGTGATTCTACGCTTCATGTTTCATTTTCATAACACTGAATATTTGAACATGACAGGGGTTGCATAGGCCTGTCTGATATGAGACCTCAAAGTAGATACTTGTAAAATAGAATAGATCACTATGAACTCATCCAAGAACCTTCTAACATTTAACAGCCCAAAGTGTATCACTAAAATTTTCTTTCAACAATTATATTCTGGTTATATTCATTTTGACAATTCAAAGATTGAGATTTCTTCAGAAGTATATTTTACTGTACATGTAATATGTTTTTTCCCTTGAACTATTCAACCCTAATTAAAGATTTCATTATCTATCGGTCAATACTATAGTACAGTTGAACTTGAGTTTATAATTTAACATTGATTCCTTCAAGGTGAAGTTTATATTTCTTTAAAAGCTAATCTTGCTGACTCCATTTATAGCAAATAAACATTTTTGTTAAGTCTTTGGCTAAACACAAACGCTTCCTGTTAATTCAGGTTCATTCGCGTTAATTTGTATTTTACTGATCTCAGTATTGTCTAGAATTTGATAATATTTAATTATCATCTCTTTGTTTATTTAGGGAAGTTCAGTCATTGGGGAGATATTTCTGTTGTGAGAATATTTTTGAAAGGTGTGCCTCTGGTGTTTCTTTCAAAGGGCGACCTTATCTCTTGTTTTTGATATTACAAATTTACTAGCAGCACTTTAGGCAGCACTTGACTTCTCCTTAACAGAAAGCTGTACATTCGTGATATGTCTAATTGCAGCATCGGTTTCTTTGCAAAGCTAATAAACACAATACAGCTCCTCCTAGGATCATATCAGGAGCCCCACAATGATGTTTATCAGTCATAATTGTGGATCACTTGAGCTAATAGAGTTAAAGCACAATTCATTCCATTACATTTGTAGTTTAAATGAATACAATATAATAGGCAATATGGTGCATAATCAGGCCCATAGCCAGAATTTTCCAAGGGGGGTTCATTTTTCTAAAAAAAATTCTAGGGGGGGTTCACTTTGGCAAATATGGCCAAAAATCACTCAAAAATTAGTCAGAATGGTGAAAACTGCATGATTTTGAAAGAAATTTTGGCCAGGGGGGGTTCGCCCGAACCCCCCGAACCTCCCCTGGCTACCGGCCTGATAATACTCATAGTAATCAGTGGTGGAAGTAGTGGGTGACTAAGTGGGTGTATACTTCCCATGAAATTACTAAAAACATAAAAAAAATATATCATGCCTATGTTTACTTGGAAATCATATAGGTTGATCCATTGCGACATCCTCTCTTGTCACCGTTCTTCCTTTGGTCTAATGGGTTTCCCTTGCCAACCTCAAGAACCTTAACTTCTGACTCCATTATGTTACACGAAAAATGAAAATAAAAAATGCTCTGTATAAATGAGACACTTAACACTCTATCTGCTTCACTTCCTACTGCACCCTACTTAACTGAATTCTTACACAAACCAGGATGCAGAGGCCT